CGTTGTTTGCGTATATCCTGAAACGAAATGTGTATGGTTTCCTTCTCCCTGAGTGTCACTCCAGTAACAATTTATAGCAAACTTAACGTCGTCTTTAACATCATATCCTTTACCTTTTGTCATTCCTGACCAATCCCAATATCTATGCTTATGCCAACCTGCTTGAGATGTACTTAAATCTATGTAGTGACTGTGTGCAGGTAAATTTTCACCTGAAATCGTTTTACTTCCACCTGTTTCCTTTGAAGAGTTTGCACAATACAAAAACCTGTCGACTATTTGTTCCCATGCACCAACACCAAACATTACTTGAGGACCTCTTGCTTCCATAGATGTATAAATAGAACCTACTGGGTTCATTAAATCAAACATATGAGATATTATAGGATTGTCTCTTTTGAACTTAAAATATAGTGCAACTATTTCAGGTTTCTTCTGGTTTGTGTTAGAATATTTTTTATAATATAATCTTATGTTTTCAGGGTAGGTAAAGTCTTGACTATAATATTTATTTCTGTCATCTTCATAATAGTATACTATTCTCGTTTTTTCTATTGCATTATATCTTTTATATCTATAAAAATCTAAATATAATGTTAGCTTTTGTTCATCTACATGTGGTGTTCTAACGTCATCTCCATAGTCATAATAATATGGTGCTGGAGCTGGGTCAGGCAATGTCATATCTGCCATTTCATAAACTCTTAAATATTTCTTTTGTTCGTCTCCATAGAAGTTTAAGTAGCAGTTGTTGTCTAATGGAACTTTAACTTGTGTACCATCGTTCTTTTTATAGCTTACATACATTTCATTGTTATTTTTCGGAATGAGTTTATACCGTGTACCATTTTCTAAGGACTGTACCAACTGCCATCTAAAATATTTATTTTCTTCATTGACAGAAAGGTCACCAACAATAGTCTCAATATTTTTTGTTCCCATCAAACTTTGGTATATTTCATTGACATATGTTTTATCTGCTTTATTTTCAAGGCTAACGTTTAAGTCTGTTATTTCAGAAGATGTATGTGTATGTCCAACGGCACTTTTCCTGTTTAAGGTTTCTTGTAAGTTTGTAATATTTGCAATGGTATGTGTATGTCCAATGTCACTTTTCCTGTTTAAGGTTTCTTGTAAGTTTGTAATATTTGCAATGGTATGTGTATGTCCAACATCACTTTTCCTGTTTAAAGTTAGTTGTAAGTTTGTAATATTTGCAATGGTATGTGTATGTCCAACGTCACTTTTCCTGTTTAAGGTTTCTTGTAAGTTTGTAATATTTGCAATGGTATGTGTATGAGTCTTTTTAGAATATTCTTTGTCAGCTCTTGTCACTTCACTTGACATTTTATTGTCAACATATGTTTTGTCCGCTAGTTCAGGATGAGTATGTTCTTTTGTTGCATATGTTGCATCTGCTCTGTCATGTTCTTCTTGAACTTTTTCAATGACATACTCTTTGTCAGCTTTGTTGTTAACATCTGCTTTTGTTGCATATGTTGCATCTGCTCTGTCATGTTCTTCTTGAACTTTTTCAATGACATACTCTTTGTCAGCTTTGTTGTTAACATCTGCTTTCAAAAGAAGTTCATCTATAGGTTTCTCGTTTAAAGTTCCTTTTGTTGGATTTACACAGACAGTATGGTTCTTACTGTCTTGAAACAGAAACTCATCTGTCATTGGGTTTATCGTCAGTTTTAAGTTTCCTTCTTTCAATGACTCAGATATCTTAGAATAGTTTGAAAAGTTTGTTGTGTTCTTATTTAGAGCTTGCAAAATGAGTTGTCGGTTGTGTTGTATTTCTCTCATAGACGCTGTTTCATTCGACATTTTTATTCTAGATAAAATATGCTTTCAATAGAAAAAGAAAATTCAAGAGTTGCTACAACTAAACCATTAGATGAACTTTTTACTAATGTCGGTCAAAAGTTTGAGACAGAGACCGTAAAACATGAAGGCTATCGTTTTGACTACCCGTTAAGATGGTTAAGAGACCCATCTGTCACAAAAGCTATTGGCTTTCGTAGAATGAAGTTCATTTCAGAAGCCATACATGGTTTCCCATTTACGGTCGCTTTTGAAATTCGATACTATAACAAAGAAAAACGTATGTATGAGAAATTTGAACAGGGAAAACTTTTACAAGTGAATTTGCTTGTAAACTTAGAAACAACTCTTCAAGCTTTTCAAGAAAAATAAACGATATCTATCTCGAATATGCAAACCAGTTTAACATTGACGAAGGAGAGTACCATCTCGATATTATATATGACAGGAAAAATGCAACTGTTAAAATCAATAGAATAGAAGACCTTGGAGAAGACGTTTATATTTCTACAAAATATAACAACTTGGCATGGTATAGATTTTTGAGGATGTTAAATCAGCCTGCAGAATATCCAGTACACCCGAACTTTTATGAAGTCGAAAACCCTAATGGAACATATGAAAATGTTTTCGACTCAGATGCTATTATCGTTCATGCTTCATTTTCTGGTGCACAAAACTCTTTTTTATGCTTGGCAAATGACTTTTACGAAAAACCTACAAAGCTATACGAACCACCGAGTGGAAGTATTTCAGACTTTCAAGTATGGTTTACAACAGATGGAAGAAAGAGAATAGTTCCATTATACCATGCGTTTTACTTAGAACTTAGTCTCATATACAACTACTATCGAACGGTAAAAATATAATTTTAATACGGTTGAGGTGTTGGATTTGGTTGCCAACTAGACTGTGGTGCAGGTTCAGGCTGTTGTATAACAGGAGCTTGTTCTTCTGGTTCAGGGTCTTTAGGTATAATACCAACGAACTGACCTACTCTTTTACCAATATTTTTGACTCCGTTCCAAATTCCTCTTCCTACGGTTTTTATTCCATTCCATATACCTCTTCCAACATTTCGAAAGAAGTTTCCTATTCTTCCAAAGAAACCCATTTTACTATATGTAAAAATCTAATGTCCACCTAGTCTCTTACGTTTCCTGTTGAGTTCCATAGCATTTTTTAACTGGAGCTCATACATTCTATTTCTCCTCTGGTAGAAAACATACTCTGGGTCAACTCCTGTGTTCGCGTCATCTGCATAGAGTTGTTTATATCCCACTTCAGGGTTTGTATAAAACTCTTTCCATCTCATATTTGCATACCATGGTGGTAAGCCTAACGCAGCGTCATTTGACATGGCAGTTTGCATTTGTACATCTGTTGGCACTTGACCATAGTTTGCCATTGCAGTTTGTATTCTAACTTCATTTGGAATATTCTCTGGGTTTGGTTGTCCAGGTTGCTGTGCATTCGCTAAGTTCTGTGCGTCCATTTAATATTAGATAAAAATATCTCTTACGAGTACATATGCTGAACATTTGCTGGTATTGGTTCATCTTCATATTCTCTATATCTTTCTGCCACGTCAAATAAGTAAATGACACAATGGAAAAAACCTAAAACAAGTAGTCCTATTTCAAACCACATTTAGTTACCAATAAAATTTCTTTGTTATGACACTTTTTCCGGTTTATAGGACCTCTCTCATATTCTATCTTATCGTATCTAAAATCATAGTCATGTATATCCTCTAACCATCTCATGACACTTTCCAAACCACTTTTATCGGATGTAAAGTAAAAGCATGGATGGTTATGTAAAACGTCTAAAGTTTCTAAAGAGTCTCTCAAAGTCCAGTCTACTTGGTATTGAAAATCGTATGTGTTATAGAACGGTGGGTCTACTATAAAGAAAACATTTTCCTTGTTTTTATATTTTTCATACAACTCTGTCCAACGACATCTCACAAACTCTATACCCTCAGTATATTTTCTATGTCCTCTTTGAAAACCTTTGTATAGTTAAGATATAAAACGTTTGACATAAGTGTTTCAATGTCATGAACTCTTATAGAACCACTATACAATAGTCTAGAAGATATACTATCCCAGTCAATATACTCTGCTTTTTTCAAAACCTCTCTGACAGTATTTTTCTTATCTAATGGTATACGTTCCATCTTACCTATAGGTATCTTTTCTTTCAACTCACTCAATATTTTGTTTGTGTCTGGTATATGTTTGAGACGGTTCATATAGTTGTCGAAGTCATTGCATATAATCTTTGAGTCAGGAAATACAGTATGGCACAAATGAGATATATAGAAACTTCCACCGAACAAATCTACAAATGTTAGACCATTCGGTAGTTTCTTAAGTTCTCTCAATAGAATATCTTTACATCTACTCTTATTTCCAAAGAAGGGTAACGGTGGTTTTGTAAAATTCATTTTATATACAATAAAAATGTTTTTTCCCTGAAAAGTGACAGAAAAGTGACAAAACATGAAAACTACTCGGTTAAGGTCTTGTCGGTTTTGTAAAATAACCATCCTATCTTGTTAAGACTTCCTGGACTGTTGTCAAAATGTCATGTTGTCTCATTTTTTCAGAGAAGTTCGTTTAACCGAGGGACCGAGGGACCGAGGGACCGAGGGACCTGGTGTTATACTAAACATCTTCAGGGGGCTAGAGGGGCGCAGCCCTGGAAGCCCCAATACCTTTTTTTTTTTTTTTTTTTTTTTTTTTTATTATGGATAGATGATACAGAATTGATTGTGATTTTTGATATGTTATTGTTGTTAATGATTTCAAGAAACCATGATTGAGATTGCCGCTTGCTTAGAGTACTGCCAATGATACTAACGTAATCAATTATTCTATATTTATAGTGATTTGATTTCCATGAAATTTTTGATTTTTCAATAAATTTCAATAACATGAAGGGAGAAGATCAAACATTGTTAGTCAAATATATATGTTATGCTTTCGTTTTTAAAATTTTTCAACTTTATATATTCGTAAGATTTTTATTGTTTACCTTGTTTCCTATGAAGCAAAATTATGTTATTTTAATGCTGTTTCGTATCTAAATAAATTTTTATCTTGTCTTTTCAAGTTAATAATTAAATATTGCCTGAATCCGTTTATTCTGAGAAAATATTTAAAAATTTAGATATCTTCATGCCATGCATATGACCATGATGGTCCAGGCTCAGTTTTGAATTCAGGTCCGTTGACCTCATAATGCTTTGGGTAGCGGCGGTGAGAATTATGTTCTGATGACTTACTAACACGTCCAGATCTACGATATCCTCTATATTGTTCGCAAGCGCTAATAGACAGGCATGCTGCCATGGGAGTTTGTCCGCTACGGAGGGAAGTTAAGAGCTTCCCAGCGTATTTATCAACAACCAAGTCACAAATATCATTTAAGGAATCGAGTGACTTGCACATTGTTTGAGCTTTTTGTTTGATTTGGGCTTCATCAAGGCCATGAGCAAGAGATTTAGTTAATTCTTCCGAAACTGTCTGGCAAATGTGACATACGCTGTAGCTGAAAGATAAGACACTGAATAAGAAGAACATAAAAATGATAATCGGTTTCAGCGGTTGGCAAATTCGTCATTTGTCAATTTTAATTGAATAAAATATTATCAAATTTCATATTCAATAATTTTGAAGAAAATTGGAGGAATCATGTTTCCTCTGATATTTTCAAAAATTGAATGAATCAATAGAAACTGCTATAAATCATTGCAAATTAATCGCTAATGAATAATTGGACATCAGTACATTATTGAGATTTAATCATCTAATGAATGTCAGAGTCCCATTTATATCAGGAAAAGATATCAATGCAAATTCATTCCCTTTTCATATCATGTTTATCAGAAATAAGGATCTCGTATGGAGAAAAATCTTCTCCAACTCTAAAATGCAGTATGGAGAAACTTATATTTTGGAATTTGGAGATCCCAGCCGTTATTTCTCTAAACGAGATCCTTATCAGAAATGTTTTAAAATTGACTTCCTATATATAAAGAAAATAATACTTGAATTCCTCTAAACCTTTCTTTTGGCTAAAATCTTTTGTCAGATTTTTTTTTGTAAGAACTTTCTTCAATTAATCCCTGTGATATTGTATATACGTTTGATACAGATCACTACTTTTTAGGAGATGGCAACTTAACTAACAAACTCAACGGATTTTCTGGTAGATCTGCATGTAAAATTCAGAAATTAGTTATTCCAGAAAGATTTAATGGATATCCAATTACAGAAATTGGGCCTGCAGCCCTACAAGATGCACCTGCTCTTACAACCCTGATTATATTAGCTCCTATTACCATAATAAAACAAAATGGTATTCGAAATTTAATCCTTAAAACACTAATACTTCCTGCAACGCTCACAAAAATTGATACAACAGGAATATATCATTTTAAAAACCTCGAAAAAGTTATATTTCCGTTTGGCACAAATCTGAGCTCAATTGGATGGGGGCTCCTTGGCATAGTTGTTTCTCAGGAAATCAAAATTTATTTTTGTGGAAATTTACTCATACAATCTGCGCAGAGTCCTTTTTCTGAAACAACTGCAAAAATTACTGTTTTTGTTCCTGAAAATGGTCCAAGTACTTTTCTTGGGAAAAACACTACGGTTTTACCTACATATGATTTAGGAATATGCTTTAATTCTTACTATTTTGAGCAAATTTGTAAAACTTTTAATCAAAAATCAATTTTTAGCTTATGTACCATCATGAAATACCTGTATGTTTTTATAGTAATGTAAAAATTTATTAATATTATCATATTTTAGATTTTCATGAAAATTAATCTTGGAAGTTTTTCTAAAATTAATTTTAAAAACTATTGTATTACATATTTAACGTTGATTTGCGACATTTATCTAGCAATCTATTTTTAATTTAAGTTCCAGAACTAAGAAGTGCCTCAATTGAGATCATCATTAGTAATATAAAATAAACATATCATCTTTCAGCTAATCGCATACAACTCGCTAAATTTTCTTTCATATATGAACTTGACATAATTATTTTGTTACATATTGCTTTTAATGTTGCACATTTATGCTAACATTGCATTGAAGATTAATGTTTAGTCAGCATGGATATTAAATACTATGAATTTTGAAATTTTATTTATTGAGTTATATCAATATCTCTATTGAAAATATGCTACCTACTATATACTTATTATTGATTAGACATTAAGCTTAATATCTTTAAATTAAATATAAAAAAATCAAAATTTTTCATTATCAAACGAGAAATTAATACTTTGTAATTAAATAGCTGCCATATATAACACTATAGATTATTCTAAATGTCTTTCTATATAAGCCTCCCAAGATCACTCATTAGTCTTTCAGTTTCAATAGTTTGTTCATTTTTCAGAGAGGCATCAAAAGTTTTTTTTCAAAAAAATGAATGACCTATCCCCGGTAAATTCAATTTCTAAATAACATTTATTTATCATAGAATCTTTCTGTTTCATGCTATAAAGAAGTTTGATCACGATTAATTTACTTCAGAAAACAATGATATAATTGAATACAAAACAATAAAAATTATTCTATACTAATATCAACTGATGATAATGAAGACCAAATGATCGGCAAAGTTAGACATTTTAAGTGGACAAAAGAAGAAGATCATCTACTAACTCAATTAGTTAAAACAATCCTTCCAACAAATTGGAAAACAATTGCTTGATATTTTCCAAATAGAAGTGCTAGGCAATGCAATGAAAGATGGAATTTCTACTTATCGCCATATATTAACAAAAATGAGTGGACTAAAGAAGAGGATGATTTACTGATAGAGAAATTTAAAATCTTTGGAAGAAAATGGGCCAGAATATCAGAATTTTTCAACGGGAGAACGCCAACAAGTATTAAGAATAGATATTTATTCTTACAAAGAAAAGGCATTGTTGATTTTGATTCCATATCAAAAGAAATTAAAAAACAGAAATATCATTACTTGGATATTGAAGATTTATTAGTTAAGAAAAATTAGTATTAGTTTGGAATAAAATAGATATTTTCTTTCATTGTTTGACAATCATCGAGTTTTCATATGAAACGATTATTTTTAATTCAAATTTGGACATTTATAATTGAAAGAATCGTTATATGCTATTTTCGTTTTAATTATATTAACACAGCCATTTTCATTATAAATAATTTTCAATGTTTTAGATTTTTGAGAACAATTCAAATCAATGGGTTTAAATTCAATTCTGATTTACACACTGATTCAATTTAAATTTTAAATACTTATAATTGCAGATCATGAATTAATCGACAAATCATTAAAATCTGTCACATCCATTGAAAAATTCAATTTCTTTCAAATTGATTAGATACCGTATACAATAATCGGAATTAACATAATTTTGGCTATCCATATATCACATCAATTGTTATGGTTTTTCTAAATGGGCGCAGTTCGGAATTTAACCTAATTTTGGAATGAGAAAATTGAATTTTAGATATGTCATAAATTTTTTGATTATAAATGGATATTTAGCAGAATTATATGGAACATAATATTCATATTGATACTTCCGCCTGATGAAAATATATTAAATCATATAGAAAATAAGGAAATCTCATTATGTCGGAAATTTCAGATTGAATATCAAAAACTCTATCTTTCAATTTAGATATTTTAATTATAAACTTAAATATTTTTCAATAAATGTATTGCTTTCGTAGCTCAGTAGGTAGAGCGTAGGTCTCATAATCCTAAGGTCGCGAGTTCGAGCCTCACCGAAAGCAATTTAATTTTTCTTTTTTTCTGAAAAAATTCAATTTAATTTTTTTCCGCACAAAATATCCTTTTTAATGAATTATTTATAATAAATATGGACAAAATTTATATTAGTAATAGTTTATTTTTAATATTAAGCTTTCGATAATACGATTTTCAAAAGTTTGAATTATTTTGATTACATCCATGGAAAACTTCATACTCCGTATCAAAGTACGAGAAAATATCATCATCTTCTTCGTTCTCTTTGATTTCTTTTATCTCCATACATTGCGCGAAATGTAAATCTTCTCTTTGAATAAGATCAAAATTTCGATCATAAAGGTATGCTTGCTGATCTTTAACAAAGAATCTGTGAACAACAATATTCTTTCTTTTATCTCTATTGTAAGTTATAGCTGCAAAAACTTTTCCATCATTGTAAAATGATATGTAACTAATTTTAAGCATTTCATGCTTTGCAATAAACTGAGCAATGCTGAACAAACTTTCATTTTTATCTCTGCATCTTTTGAAAGAATCGTGATATATGCTAAATATATCAACAATTTTTTCATCATTCGACAAATCATATTTTTTCATGTTAATGAATGTCATATTTTGAAGAATTGATTTTATATCATCTTTCCAATGATATTCTATGGCGATATTTAAAACAAATTTCCATCTATCTGCTTCTCTTGGAAGAGGATCAACAATATCAAATCGAGCCAGAAGCTGCATTAAATGGAATATGTTCATGTCTGGAACTTTTGGGAAATTAATTGTTCGGAAAATTTCAAAATTGTTTCCCGTTGTATATTGGTATTTACTCATTGTTCTTCCCAAGCTATCTCTATCTGATTTCGCGAGTCCTTTATATATTGTTTTCATCCATACTGCAATTTCATGGTTCATTGGATCACAGTTTTTCTGGTACTTTCAGAAAAATTGATTTTATTTTTAATTGAAAATTTGAAAGGGTGTGGTTGAAAAGCTATGAATTCATACATAAATATCTTTCTTTGCTTTGTTTGAAATAATTCAACAATAGAACGATTCCTAAGTTTTTTAGCAACCCAAAACATATCGTTTTTCTTTAAAAACTTTGTTGTTGAAGATATGAATTCACACAAAGATTTCTAAAAGTGACAATTTTTAAAAGCTTTTTCTTCTTCCATTTTTCATCCAGGATAACTATTTCTCATATATAAATTCAGCAAAAAATTGTCCTGTACTTATAAATTTTTACTAGCATATGGATGCAGAAGATATTTAGATCTTTTGCTAAATAATTAAAATAATTTTTTTTTATCACGAATTAATAATGAAATGCGATAATCTGATTTTACTCTATTTTGTGATCATAATAATATCTGAATTACTCTGAATCGAATTATGATATAAAATTAGAAATAAAATACCAAACAATCAAATTTACTGATATATAAGAAGTATATTTGAATTTATTTATTCATGAGGATGATTCTTATTCTAGTGAAGCACATATCGTCAAAAATCATGAATTTTGTCATAAATGATTAGTGGCGTGTGACACCGATAATATTAAATCCGATTTTTTAAACGGCCACTTTTTGGTCCATGGATCCAGGAAATATTGCAGATGTGATTAAATCTCTCATGGGAACTATAGGAAAACCAATTGGGTCAAATGAATACCCAAAGTATCCTATGGATTACCAGATTTCAAGCGAAATGAACTTTTTAAATGTTCATTATCCAGGAATTTCGCAAGAAAAGATGAGAGCATTTGAAATTGGTAACAAAGCAGATACCGCCCTAATCCAAGGTTGCATTAGTGATGCAAATGAAATGGCTTGGAAAGCGATTTCACTTGATGGAAATGCATGGGACGCATACAGAGTACTTATTTGCTCACTCGAAGCAGATATTAACTCAGATTATCTTACTCAGATCTTGGCTGCCAGAGAACTCATCCGTGTTGAACGTGAAATTTTCAAAGATATTTGAACCAAAGACAACAGAGATTTTTACAAGTACAGTTTCGGTAGACCATACATCAGATTACTTAGCAACCTTTCTTCATTCTCGTACAATGGAAAATACAATGATATTCACGTGAAATCTTACGAAGAAATTTTACGAATCAACAGATACGACAATACAGGTGTCAGGGCACCAGTTCTCATGGCATACTTGAATTGCGCAATCATCAACAAGTATCACCTTAAAGAGATCGGAATTTGGCCAGAAAGAAACGAAAACCACATCAAAGCATTGTTTAAGACACCATTACTTCCAGATCAAACCAAAGGATGCTGGGAAGAAGGTTACAAGAAAGAAACACCATATATTTGGTACCAAATCTTGTTCAAGTACATGAACAAAGATCCAACATGGGTTGATCTTGTTAAACGCGAAGACAAACAAAATCCAAAACTTTTGAAAGCTCTTTTAAACGAAGAAAAGCTTGAAGGAAATGTTCGTGATCCTATGAGCAAAGACCAAGCAGTTTTAGTTTCAAACACATTACTTTCACCAGTCATCATCCGTGTTCCAGGCTTTTTGGGAGATTTGTACAAAGTTGTTCGTAATCGACCAATCAACACTCGTGCTCCTAAGAACATTGCAGCATTACTTTACGGCATTGATGAATTAGATCCACAATGGAAATCAAAGTCAGAGAAATGTCTTAACGAAGCACGTGAATTGATGCGAAATCGTAAATTCAAACAAGCAATTTCGAAACTTTCAGAAGCAAAGACATATTACAACAGAAGCATTTATCCATCAATGCACATTGAAAAGTCAGGAATTCCATTCGCTATTCTCTCTAATCGTGCACAGTCTGCATTCCAAGTTGGTCGATACGATCTTGCACATCTTGATGCACGAATTGCACTTTCTCTTAATCCGAAGATTCCTCACATCTACAAGATTCTTCCATCAATTGCAGATAAATACCATTGTCCAAAATCTAAAGAGTATCTGTCAGAAATTGCATCACAGGCCACACAAGAACACACAGACGAAGAGTGGGAAGAACTTGCAAAGAAAGCAATCGGCCGACTTGGCATGAAAGCACTTATTGGAGAACGAGTTGGCTTTTCAACACAATTAATCGAAAGAGAAACAAAGCGTGTTTTAGAAGACATGTTTGAACCAATTTCATTCAAACCAAACGAATTCGAACTCCTTCCATGGCTGACCGAGACAGATATTGAACAAGGAGTTATTTAACTTATTTAACTTATAGAATAAATACTTTATATTAAATTTTCTAAATAATTCAATTCATTTGTGCCAGTTTGACATATTTTAAATTTCTTTAAGGGTGCACTTACGCCCCTATGACAGGGCCTTCAACTCGATTGTTTAAGGTTAAATTTCAATCATACTTCACGCCAATTGTCAAAAATTTGAATTAAAGTCAGATGGGCGTAAGTGCAGCCTTAACATCAGCACAATAAAATTTCAAATTCAGGATTGTGCATTTATCTGCACGATAAAAGTTATCCTCAATTATATTTATTTATTTTTTTATTCATTTTTTTTTATCTAGAAAGATGTCGCCAGAAAATCCCTTGTGTCTTATTATATAATTGTTTGATAACTTGAAATTTGTTACTTCCATGAACAACTCGACATGAAATAATAAGTGTAAGAGGAATCCCAGATTCATTAATCATTCGAAGATATTCAATAGTTGTGTTCTCTATTAAAAGAGGACATCGAATAGAATTGCACTCATGGAATGCAAATGCCGAAACACTTTCAACTGAGAGAGGAAAGTTAATGTATTTTAAGTTCTTGCAATCATTGAATGAATATGATTCAATATGTGAAACACTATCTGATGAAAGACTGATGTTGACAATGTTGTTGCTGTGATTGAATGAATATTGACAGATAGCATCACAATTGATAATTAGAACATCATCAATTGATTTGCTTAAATGATAAATAAGATCGAGTTTAGTATCATTTTGATAATAAAGAGTATTATCAATACATTTGTATTTATTATTATTTGATATGAAATTACTGATGTTTTTAAGAGATTCACATCCTGAAATAGAATTGATTGATATATTTGATAGAGAATTTGTTTCTGAAAACGCCATCGATTTAAGATTGTTGCAATTAATAAATGCATATTCTGAAATCTGTTCAACAGATGATGGAATAATAATATTCTCTAATGAAATACAATTCTCAAATGATCTTACTCCAATATATGATGCTCCTTCCATAATTGAAATTTTTGACAACTTTGTACATCCAGAAAAACATTTCTCTGGTACATTAGTTATATTGACTAAGTTTACCAAGTTATTGCAATTTTCAAATGCATTACTCTTGACAAATAAATACGGAGACCCGAAACTCATCGACATCAATTTTTTGCAATCTTTAAATGCCGAAAATCCTAATTTGGTTAAATTTCCCAAATGAGAATTAAATGAATATAACTCTGAGCAATTTCTAAAAGCATTATCTTCAATTATAAAGAGCTGTGAAAATAATTCAAAATTTATTTTGTTAAGTGCTGAATTTTCAAATGCACTTACATGAATAATTTCTACTGTTTTAGGAATTGTTATTTCATAAGAGTTGCTATTTATATATCCCCAAAATTCATATATTTCTGTTTGATCATAATTCATAACTAAACAATTTGTGTCAATAATAAGATTTGGTTCATTCATATATGAAACGGAAATATTTGTGATTTTTTAATTGAATTAGATGAAAATAATGTTTTGTTAGTGAATGACATCCTTAATTTTGGAATTGTATCAGATATAAAGAAAACTGCATCAACAATCATTAATGCATTAGGAAAAATAATAAGATCAAGATCGGTACAATCACTAAATATAAAAGAACCGATTTCTAATGAACTTTTAAATGTAACATTTATTAGATTTTTACATAATCGAAAAGCATTAGAATTGATCTTTATAATATTTTCTGGTATTATAATTGAAGTGAGTTTTGTGAAGGTAAAACAAAATTCTCCTATGGTCGTGAGAGATTCAGGAAATGTTATTGATTTTAAATCAGAAAAGGAAAATAGATGATCTCCTAAAGTTGTAACATATTCTGGTATTTCAAATGTTTCAGTTTTGTTGCAAATAAAATACAAAATACTTTTGTTTGCTGATAAAACAGTATTATTTACAAATATTAAATGTTTATTTCTATCATCAATCGAAAGATTTGTTAATTTGGAATTGGAAAATGCATATCCACTAACGTTAATTACTTTCTCTGGAATTCGAAAAGAAGAAATTAAAGTGTTAGTAAATAATCTATAAACTAGAGAAGTTAAATTCGACCCCTCTTCAAAAATTACAGTTTTTAGTTTAGAACAACTATCAAATGCACCTTCACCTATTATTTCTAAAGATGCCGGAATTATAATATTTGTAAGTTTATAAGCATAGTAAAAAGCATTCTCTTGTATTTCAAGAAGTCCTTCAGAAAAAATTACCTCAACAACACTAGAGCAACCAGAAAATGCACCATTGGAAATTTTTGTAAGTTTGCTGCAAGAAGATAGATTAATTATTGTAAGATTAATGCATTTATTAAAGCTATATTTTCCTATTACTGTTAAGTTAGGATTTTCTTCAAATGTAAAGTATTGTAACGAACTACTTTTTTCAAAGCAATGATCTTCAATAATTTCGCATTTAGATGATATTCTGAGATTTGGTGAGGAATCTGTAACTCTTCTAAGTGTTTTACCATCAGCCGAATAATAATCACTAGAAATATCTTTGTATTCAATGAATAAAACAATAATTATCATGATGAATTATCTATTGTTTCTTCTTACGATGACTTTTTTTGTAATGATAATGAGAATTAATGAAAGGATTCATAAAATGAAAAAAGTGACATAAATCTTATTCCATTATGTTATCTCCATTCCTTAACGTTGTTCAGCTTTTATATTGATAAAATGCATAAAAATATTTGAAGGAAAATTTAAAATTAGTCTTCTCGATCGGATTCAGAGTGCGTAATTTAGCATACTTACCGAATTAATTTCGCACAACTTTTTGTATTTTCATGTTTGTGTTTTTTTGCTCATTTTTTTGTCATAACCGTTGTGAAATAAAATTTTATATCACAATTTTTTTTTCTGAAATGTGGAGTCATACAGCTCCCATTCAGCAATTCACTAATACTTTTCCGAGGAAAAAGAAATACAGAGTAAGACCTAAAAAAGTCACATGGATAACAATACTTACGTCACATTATCAATCCGGTAACGTAACTCCAGCCAGAAAACTATCTCCTAGACTGGCACAAACGATGCCCGTTACACCAGAAAGAGTATTCAGACCATTTACAGGTACAAATATCTCTTTCAATCAAGAAGAAATGAGATTGTTAGAACCAACACCAGAATTTCAAGAAACAATGAGACTTTATAGATCTCCATCAATACTCCAGCAACTACAAAATAATATACTCGAACGCGAACAAGATAAAGTACAAATTAAACAAGAAAAGAAAGAAGAAAAGAAACCAATCAAACAAACAATTGAGAAATCAGATTCATTTATTTCAATCAATCTAGATGACGATTACTATTACAACACTGATGATACTCCAGAAGAAGTTGAACAACCTGTAATCGAACAAATCTTCGAACTAGGTGAAGATAATTCAGTTAAATACCTTAAAAACAGTGTTTGGAATCACTGTCATGAACGCGATAACCCATACAGCTCAATGAAACTAAGAAAATTAAATGGAAAAATTATTCCAACGACATTCGGTCCAGTTATTGATCTTGTACCTACACAAGGTCAAAGGAAAGTCAGAGATGCCATCGATGATAACTCAGTTGAAGGAGATTCTCTCAACGGTTTTTCGAAAGATCAAATTTTGACAGCTCAACAAAAAATAGAAGAAAAGAACATCCAACAAGAAATGGCAACAACATATTGCGGACATAAATTGAGAAGTTATATCGAAGGAAATGGCATTTCTGCACCAAAATTTTTAGATGATTTGGATTTCTCAAAAAGTGCAGCCAATCCAAAGATAAAAGTAAAGATCCCAAGAGTTCCCTCCAGAAATTCAAGGCAAGGATTGAATTAACGAAGAATTATTTTTTATTAATTTGTTTGTAAATGTTTTAATTTTATCCTAATTTTCAAATAATTATTAGAAATACATTATCTAACATAATGTATAGAATGACATATATTGCATTAAATATCAGTTTTAATTCTTATGATGCAATTTTGGTGGGATACTTGCTAATGCAAAACTAATTTTCATCTATATTAATGATCATAGATTGAAATGAATTACCTCATTGAATTTTTATTAGAAAATCATTCATTATTAATCCTCTATAAGGTATTCTTAATTCGATATTATCTTATTTGGGGAAAAATATTATTATTTTATCTAGCTTAAAATATGATTTTTACCTTAAGGATACCCTTACATTGCGTAGTTAGAAAGAGAATCTGATATTGTCATGATTGCTAAAGTTTTAGGCTCCAGAAATGAATATACATCAAACTGAAACAATTGATAAATTGAATGAACTTTTGAGAGGTTCTCAAATAAAAAAAATTATCTAATTTTTTACAATATTACTATTATTTTATCCACATATGTATATATAGTAATTTGAGAAAACTTTTAGGAAAAAATAAGTTTAATAAAAATCTGAATTTTACTTGTTGTGGGATTGTTATTAATTGACACTCCAGACGTATTACTATTAGTTATGCGTATGCAATTAAAGTATTTCTGATGGACAAAATGTGAGATTTATATCAGATAATTCATTTCTACTATTAAGTTATTCATTTATGAGTTTGCACTTATTCGCACTAAATAAATAACTATTAAAAATTGTTTTAATTAATTGACACCATATAATAGAGTGAATTTTGTTTGATCAAACAACAATAGATGATAGATATAAAGCCAAGAAACTTGCTATTAATATGCTCTACTTGCTATTTCAATGTAAGTATGATATTTTCTAAATGTTTCGTTCAGATAACTTAGATATATTAGTCAAAATTTGAAATTTTAATAGCACATATATTAAAAATAATTATTATTCATAAAAGATTAATGAAATAGTAAAAAAAAATCAATCAAATTATAAAAATACAACATTTAGAAGAATTCTTATTATCCTTCAAAAAGTCAGTATTTCTGCTGTAATTTTCTACAACATTGTAGTTATTGCACTTTGTCTATGGATTTGTATATATGTTATATATAAATTATATATCTAAACTGCCCATAAGTGCAATTTTTATATAAATTGTTTATTTCTTTAACAATTTCATATGAAATATGCTTTTTTAAGCGTATCAAAGCTGTGTTCTTAATGTGCATGGATATATCAAGAAAAATGTCGAAAAAAAATGTGAATTCACAAATTCACTGAATTTTCACCTTTTTTGAATTTTGCTACAGCACTAATATTAAATAATACTAAAATCTTCTGTCTTTGTAAAAGAATAAATTCTGACAAAAAGTGCTCGTTTAAATTTAATGATCATCTGTATGACTAAGTGGTAAAAAGTGTTTATGACCAAAAAAGGGTTACATGCTTAGTCTATTTTTCTGATAGGATACTCTAGATTTACATGATCTCCGTTTTTAGATTCTTCGACAGATTTTATGATAGAAAACCAAGATTAACAAATTTCCGGCATGTTAATGAAGAAATCTGCAGCTACCCTCAATATTATTTCAATAATCAGTATCGTTTCTCTTACAATTTATTTTTTTCTCAATAATTTAACAAGAAATAACAATACACACTTGGTTTTACGTATAAAAGCTAAGTGTCGAACTTAATCAACTTTACTTACTTAGCAAATGAATATTTTTGTGGTTGCGAGTTCTGAATGCTGAAGTTTTAGATTTCTCTATAAATGATATCATTGCACTTACAATGTTGTTCCAGCCTATCGCATAAATCATAGAAAATCCAAAAAAAAAAAATAATATAAAGAAAATTCATGTCATGAAGTTCAAAAAATACCGTGTAACATTAAAATTTGTTATGCATAATACATTTTAGCTATTATTGATTTTTTTTAATTTTCGAGAAATTGAATGGTGAGTCCGATAGAGAAATTTTTAAAAATCCTAGTCCCTCATAGAAGTAATTTCCCTCGTCTCCCATACTTCCAAATGGATGCATATGACATAAACTTTTATGCATTACACAAGTGGCCAATAATATCTATAGAGTAAAAAATTAGAAATTTAATTTTTTTATATGATAGTTATATTTCAGATTTGCGAGCGTAACTTTTTTCTCCATGGCATACTTGTTTTAAGAGCAAATGATCAAAATCGTCCTTCAATTATTGAAGGAGCTGATATCTTTTGAAAATTGAATTGAAAGGGTATTCAATTTTCAAATTTCCTCTCAATTTTGGAAACATATCAACTCTATGAATTAACAATTATGTGCCTTCACAGTTTATCAGTCATATAAGGTGCTTATAAAGAAAAAAGTTACGCTCGCAAAATATGTTTTTATATAGATTTCACATAAAATAATTATGTAATTTCTAAAAAGAATATTTTTGTTCTTGAATATTAAAGTGTATTGTAGTTTAAAAAGTTTTAAATATGTTGCTAAAATTTCAGGTTTATAGCTCATGTCTAGCATGACTTCTTCGTATGCGCAAAAAATCTGACACGTAAGGGTATCCTTAATAAAAATTTTTGATATCGGGATATGATATTCATTTAAATATTTTTGTATTCGTTAATATATCCACCGATTTGATTATTCAATTTACCATAAATTTCCTGAAGTTCCCAGCCTTTAATGTATCTTGGTTCTTTTGTAACTTTTTTATAGGAACCTAGGAATTTCTTCCTTTTTTCGACTGTTGTCTTACAAGCTACTATATTAGCAGCAGTATATGCTTATCTGACTGTAACTTGGTAGTTACCTCCGTTCTTAACAACTTTAATCACTGTTCCAAAAAGCTTTGCGATTCTTCTTTCTCATTTAGCTTGAGCATTAAATTGGATTTTATTAAACAGTTGTTTTGCATAGGCAGCCCATCTGCATCGATCAAAATAATTTTGAACTTTGTCTCTATCAATTTCAAAATCACGTGAAATTGTATCAACAAGTGAATTAAGGTCTGCAGTGTTATAGTCTCCTGATCTTGGTCTTGTTTCTAGCAAATTAAATTCATAAGGATGGTCAGTTTCGCTGTAGCTGTTTGAAACTGCCTCCGGTATCTTATAAATGTGCCTATGGGAATCAAGATAATTTTCGACTAAAGCTAAGTAAAGAAACATCTTGAATTTTCTGAGATTTTAAAAATTTGATTGAATGAAATTCAATTGGTGGCCAAAATCAGTTATGACGTCAGGAAATAACGATTATCCGTCATGAATATACATGCATATTGAATAGAAGGACATATTTAAGTCTAAATTTTTCAATATACTTTTAAGGTTCTGATAAAATCTAGTTAATCATTGAAAACTATGACAGATAAATTACATATATTTCGAACAAAATTTCTATGAAATTGAAAAGTACTCAATTTAAAATTTTATCATTCTCATCATACTGTATCTTGATAAAATTATAAAATTTTTCATAAAAAATTTATAATTTTGAGATTACCAAAGAGTTGTTTAGGTTTAATTGCTTCTGTAGTATGATACAAATACCGAAATCACAGATAAACTAAACAACTACGATTTCTCATTAAAAAAATTTGTAATTTGTTTAAAAGTTTAGTGATTTTATTATATATAACTAATAAAAGAGATAAATAATATATAAATTTAGATTTTTATTATTATTTTGTGTTAAATTAAGTTGGAAGCAGCTCCCGATTTTTCAATGTTGGAAAAAGCCTTTTCTCTTCTCAATATAACAATAAGAGCTATAGCCAAAACAATGCAAAGCAAAACAAAGAATCCAAGAATAATTAAAGAAGCGATATAGTGTGATTTATATGTCTTCTTCTCGTTTGAAGGTATTGGTTTGTCTCCATCATAAAGTCGTAAGAAGTATTTTCTGTATTCAGCCAATGAATGATCCAAATAAGACTGTTCATTGATAACAACGCGGTTTAAGTCTGTAGCGTTAGTTAGTATACATATATTGTGTACTGAGGCACTGCGCGCCTCCTTACCCATTATATGTGAATTTGACACTTTACGAAACCGTTAACGTATATTTTACAACACAAACGACAACACTAACTTAACCGTAAATATTTACAAAGCCACCAACCACTTCACCTCACTAACGTTTTCACAAACGACTTCACTACTGTAAAAATAAACGTTCTCACTTACAAAAGTATTGCAACTCCTCCCATTGCTGTGCTTCACACAATACTTCATATTCTTCAGTATCGCTGCTGTCGCTCCAATCGTCAGAGTCAAAGTCACTGTCAAAATAAATGTTAGTAAGTTTTGACAAAGCTAATGAAACACGTTTACCGTTTGTATCGTATGCTTGTATAAACTTTCCATTCTTCATTCCTTCATAAACGCTCAAACTAACTTTACCCTTTCTCCCTCGTATCTGATAGAATGTATTTTCACGAGGAACGAAGAACAAATTCTTGAACTCATGACCGTTGTAGTTTGTTATCTCAATAGTTTTCGTCATTTATATAAAAATAAAATAAAAAATAAACTTAAAAATTAATGATATCACCACCCTCACACGTATGAAAACATAGCACAAAAATAAATTTAGGTGAAGTGGTGAAATCTCACCTCTTTTTTCACCCGGTTTTTCACCCTGTTGAATTCATTGCTTTATAACTCTCTTCCTTGGTTTCTTTTTAGTTGCTTTCTTCACGACTGTCTCCAACTTGACTGTCTTTCTTCTTCGTCCATAATGATACCAATTACTTCCACCAGTCAATGGGTCAAATGGTCGTTCATAAGGGTTTCCATACATTCCATAAGGTCCGTATGGATAAACCGCTGGTGGAGAAGAAACATTTTCTTTAGTTCCATCGACTCTATTTAAATGCATTGTTTCACCTTTCATCTGGTCATTAAAGTCTTTTGCGTGTTTTGCAAACTCATCGTCCTTTCCTAAAGCATTTTCTGACTCAGTCGCAACCAAATTGGATGCTTTATTTATGAGCCCTATTTTATTTAATCTTAACTTCTTTGCAACCCAGCTTCCAATCTTCCCTTTATTTGCATCTAATGTCTTCGAAACCCTTCCTCCACTCATTTTATTTACTGCGTCATAAGCTCCAAGTGCTTTTGCTCCAAATGCTAATGCTTTTGTTCCCATTGCGCCTAAAGCTACCCAAGCTACCATTTACACCATATTAAAATCATCTCTCTTCAATATTATCTCATAAAAGTTCTCGTTACTGGAGAAAGTCAATGAAACATAAGCGTTCTCACGGGCTTCGCCCTCACCGCTTTGCGGTCTATCTAACTTCTTTCTTATCTCATCTATACGCTTCAAAATGTCTGAACAATTGCTAACATCTTCTACAACAGTTATTTCATCATGAATGACCTTCAAGAACAAGCTCATTTAATATGCTATTAAAATCATCTCAATAATGAGTCCATCCTTTCCGTCTTTGGGTAGCACAACATCTTTCATTGAAGAAGGTTCGACAAGTCTTATGTTAAACTTACTGACAAAGTTTGTTATACTATAATGCTTTGGCGGCGAATACATGTAGTTTGAAAGACATAATATAGATTCTTCAGCAAATTCACTTATACTGGATTTTATAACAATGTTCTCACGAGACCAAATACCACCAATTGACAATCTTGTAAGCAATCCTGCTGAACCTTCTACTGTAAACGTCGATGGTAACATTCCACGAAGGTCATCTATTGACATCGTTGAGTCACTGTATTTAAATATTTTCTTAAGGCAATCGTCATTATCTAACCATGCAATAGCTTTGAAGTTTTCATTCGAATATACATCTGCTTCATTAAATGTAAAACCTGACTTCTTTGCAGAGATGACTTTAAAATCTATTGAGTTTGTTTCAAAATTATATGCTATGGTAACTTCTGAAGGTAATGGATGCCCTTCCGCAGTCAGTTGTTCTCTCACTACCGTTTGAAGCTTTGTATTAAAAACTTTCATGTCATCTCCTGTATCTAAGTTCACATACACAGCAACAGGGAAACTATCTTGCTTCTTTGTTTCTTCATTATATCTCAAAACATTAAAGTTCTTCAATAATATTGTTCTTCCTGCTGGAATACTTCGAACCTGTCTGATTTCAATAGCTTTCTCACCTCCTACATACTCTACCCAGTGTCTTGGATATTCATAAGTATACTGACTTTCTTGAATTTTGGTTGGTTTCATCATAACATGTTCATAGTATATCTTTATACTCTTGTCAGTTAGACTCGGTGCTATGTTCTGAATATTTCTGACTTGCATTTTTAATGGAGATAAAATGAAGCATTTAATACATGACGTAGATGAAGACATGAATGAAAGCAGTGAAAAGCTCAACAGTTCTCTCATTCTTCCTTTCAGTAAGGACTATGAGTTCTGTTCAAATGGTGTTTATTTCTATTGTGGAAAGATGGGTTAAGGTAAGACATTTAATTTAATTCGTCATATACTCATAACAGAGCGTTTAGGAAACGACTCTTACTATGACCAAATCATTATATCAGCAACTTCAGACTCTATGGACTCAACAGCGAAAACATTTATGTCAAAAGTTCAAGCCTCTGTCGTTAAAGTTCCAGACAGTGAACTCATTGAATTTCTTCAACGTTACATTCGACGTAAGAGGAAATATTATGCCATCGTTGAATTTATACAGTCAGGAATGCAAAAGACTTCTGAGGAGATGGAAAGAATTATTGACAAACACCACTTACGTCAATACTCAGGAGTATACGATATGAAACGACTTACAAACTACATTCTGTCAAAACTTTCAAAATACCCCTTCAAAAAATATCCATCAAACACTTTATTAGTTTGTGATGATTTCGCTGGTAAAGGTTTAGTGTCAAAACCAGACTCACCATTAGCTAACATCATTACTAAAGTCAGACATTACCACTTAACTGTAGCAATACTTATGCAAACATGGAGGTTTTTAGCTTTAAACATAAAACGTCTCATAACTGACTTCGTTATCTTTCAAGGTTTCTCACGTTATGATATTGAACTCATTTGGAAACAGTCAGGTATAACATTACCTTTTGAAGAAATTTGGGAAGCATATAAGTCTCTCATCTCTCCTCGTTCATACCTTGAGATTCATATCATGACTAATACCATTAAAGTCAAAAATATTCCATGGGAACGACCAACATTGTTTTAAAGTTTAACCTTCAATTGACTGATGGTAAACAAATTCCATGCATCTCTGTCGCCATTTCTGTTAATATTTTTGCTGTCATTCATATCATCCACTTCCCCATCCGTTAGCTTTTGAGGATATGCGTTAGAATAGCTGTTCTTAAATGAAGGCTTTTCACCTTTGAGAGCATAAACTCTATAACTTTCTGCATACTTTATGTTTGAACCTCCTGAGCCATCATTGACATAAATTTTTATAGGCTTCCACCCTTTGTTCATGTTCCTGCTTCTTCCCTTAGCTCTTTTGTTCAGTAGTTCTACATCTTTATACACAGCACCTGTCTCAGTGAATTCAACAATATTTTCATTCGTTAGCTTTACATTCAAACCCTTGTCGAGTATATTGTTCATTTCATACATATAAAAGGTTTTTATTCTATATGAAATGAGAAGCAAATCCATCTTAGCTGGTGCCGTTAATGTTCCAATTGAACCAACATCAAATGTTGACTCACGAACGACAAACAATATTGTCATAAAGAACTATAGTTCGGAGTGTTTGAAAGAAAAAGAACCAGATCTTAAGTCGGTGAATTTAAACACAGCTTCAAACGCTAACGCTACATCAGATGTTAAGTTAGAGTATCCACCACTGGACCAGGTTCTTTCAAGAGAAGCCAACGACAACCCTTACACAAATGTTCAAACAAATCCTTCAGATAACGTAGACCATTACCTTCTTCAGTTATACCAAACAATTTTACTCAAAGACGATAAGAAGCTTTTGACAAATCTTATAAGCAAGAACCAAATAATTCTAACAAAGGAGGACCTTGAAAATGTTATATCACGAATAACAGGGAAACAATGTGTCATTGACTATCTCGACCCTGAAATCGAATGCTGTGGTCAAACGCCAATATTCATGAAAATAGGTAACATCCGCATCATTGAAACACCAGGTACTCCAGGAGTTGAGTTTAAGTATAAATATTCGAACGAGTATACAAAACTATCTACTGACTATAAGCTTTGTTTGAAATATGTTTTAGTAAATTAAAGCAGTCAGGACCTTCGGTCTTGGCGCTTTGCGCCGTCAGTCAAAAAATTTCAAGTTAGCAATTTGTAATATCTATCCAAAACTTCTTCAACAGTATCGAACTCATCTTCATAATGCAAACCTAATCTTATTGACTTGGTGCAGTTTTCACTAACACAATATTTTTCTGTTCTCTTGACTGACATAACTAACTCATTTGTTTCATCAAACAGCAACAACCAAAGTTCATGACCTAATACATAACATTCATACTTTATATTTTTAGCTCTGAGTTCTCTTGTAAGCTGTTGCATTTAATATTTTCTAAAAAGTCAACTTCAACAGTCATTCGCACTGGTGCCTTCAGTTCTACAGGCTCTCCTTGAAAGTCAACAAGTCTGAATTGCATGTCTTTCAAATTATGAGGACTAATGCGAACCCATTTACCTAAATGAGTTGCTATGACAGGAACGTTTGGAATGAACATTGAATTGACTGCATAACAGAAGGATTTATATTCTACTGAACCTTTACTATTAACTCCTGAAATGCCTGTGACATTAGCTATTTTTGACTCAATGTACAAACAATTGCCATAACATACGTATGGAACAGATTTCATCTCAATCGTTTTGTCAACACTTTTCAAAGGAAATGTCATATGGTATGCACCTAAAAGAAGTTGTACTCTATGACTCATTCGTGTTATCTTAAACTCTTTCTCGCTGCTGAACTTCAATGCTCCCTCAGAAGAGAGTTCGACATCTATGTTGTCAATAGTTTCTTCATTTATGAGAGTATCTATGACTCCAGCAATTTTATCTATTCTATACCCAGCTCTGTTAGGAAATGTTATAACACTTCTTTTGTCATCTATTTCAATCTCTATGAAATCTGTTTCATCTGTTATGACAAAAGTTGCGATAGTATTGAAGTCAACAACTCTGAAAGCAAGAACTTTTAACAAGTAATTTAGACTGTAGTGCGAAAGATGAAACAAATGAACAGTATCTTTATGACATGCAGGACCTCATCGACAATTTACCTAAACTACCTGAAATCCAACACCAAAAACTAACCATTCTCGAATTTGACGAAATTGAAGTCAAAGCAACTGACTCAGTAGAAATTAAGAAATTCATACGTAAAGTAAATTATGAATTCCTTGGTTTTCATTGCAACCATAAAGTTATGGACAAAGATTGCGACATGGTTTATAAAAATATTTCTGACCTTTACAAATCCGAAGAATTTAAGACATACGATAACTTTGTTACATTAGTTGCAAAATGTGTTTGGGAAATAAGAGATAAAGATAGAAGAGGCAAAGTATGGAACGAACTGATAAAACCAGCAGCTTTTGAGTTAAAGAAAACCATTGACGCCTTAGTTGTTCTAGCTGGTTTTATTTCGGTGTATAACGCAAAAACGATGCCGCAATGTTCAAAATGTAAAGCAGCAATAAGAAAATATAACTACTCAGTCAAAGAGATAGAAAGAATGCGAAACGACTATGCAGACTTAAAGAAAGAAGCAGAAAAGCCAGCAGAAGATAAAATGGATATGTTGACATTTCTTAATAAAAACTATCCAACAGCAGAAGATTTCCTTCTGTCTGACGTCAAGAAGAAATATAAAGAGACTTTCGGCATGATTAAAACATTCAATGTACTAAAAGAAGAAATAGAAGCTACGAAATTGTTTAGGATTTCAAATATACATCGTACAATTCATGTAAAACGCTTGTGAAAAAACAGGTGAAATCTCACCTCTTCACCTAAAAATTATTTTTATTGAATTCAGCACAAACCCTCCCGTTAACTAATAAACTTGACGATCAGACGATTCTCTCTTCGTCAATTATGTTCGACACTGATAACATTAATGATAACATAAACGATAACATTAATGATAACATAAACGATAATATTAACGATAACATAAATGCTCCATGTCAATTATGTTCGACACTGATAACATTAATGATAACATAAACGATAACATTAATGATAACATAAACGATAACATTAACGATAACATAAATGCTCCATGTCAATTATGTTCGACACTGATAACATTAACGATAACATTAACGATAACATTAATGATAACATAAACGATAACATTAACGATAACATAAATGCTCCATGTCAATTATGTTCGACACTGATAACATTAACGATAACATTAACGATAACATTAATGATAACATAAACGATAACATTAACGATAACATAAATGCTCCATGTCAATTATGTTCGACACTGATAACATTAACGATAACATTAACGATAACATTCATTTTTGCATTAATCCTGCTGTGTTGTCAAAATGTCATGTTGTCATCATTTTTAAGAGAAGTTAATTAACCTGGTGACACATGGTGACGTGGTGACACCATCAGTTATTCAAAAATAATTCATAAATGCCTTCCTCCTTTCGTACCTGTTGTCAAAATGTCATGTTGTCAGTAATTTTAAGAGAAGTTAATTAACCTGGTGACATGGTGACGTGGTGACACCTTCAGTTATTCAAAAATAAATTTTCTTATAAAGCTTCAGGGTCTATTTCTTCAACCATTTCACTTCCTTCGTCAATGTCAATAGAAGCTTCTTCAACCTTTGGTAAGAATTTCTGTATAACATCTTTGTTCGTTATTGTCTTCAGAGATGAAGGATAATATTTCACAGATGTTTCACCCTTCTTATATTCTTTCTGTTCGGAAAGATTCAAAGCAATACTGAAGAAGTCAACGTTAGAGTTCTTTATGACAGTATAATGAGTATCTTTGACATTCACGAAGAAACTCTTTTGTTTCAAAACTACTGCTAACTCTTGTGAAGTATAACGTTTGCGGTCAATGACGATAGCTAATGGTCTGACATACTGACCAAACTTAGATTCTTTCACAAACTTCTTGTTAAAGATAACATTAACATTTGAAGCATTATTGAACTCATTCTTGATGGTAGTAGCGAGAGCATTGTATGAAAAGAACTTGCAATCTTGCATGTGTTTCATTAAAATAAAAATATTAAATTATTTTGAAAAATAACTTAAAAAAATCTAATCTAATTTTTTCAAAAAATATTTTTTTATTTCCTACTAAAGATGTATCGGAAGTTGTCTAAGTTAGAACACTCGGAAATAAAACAACTTCTTACAGAAGCTAATATAGATGTTGCAAAGCATTACGCAACAAACAAAAAAGCACTCGCTGACATCCTCAATGACTATAATGGTGCAATAAGTTATGATAGAATTCATGAGTTCATAAAGCCGCAACGCGGCGAGGACGAAGTCCATGCAAGAGCATTTCCTTTAAATGACGTTGCTATTGACTTATATCATAGACGTTCAGTACCTCATGAAGTAAGAAGAGAAATGTTTGACATAACAAATGCGAACGTTGGTGAAACAAGAAGAAGAGACGACACACTGAAACAACAGAGAAGAGAGATGTTTAAAAGTGCTATAGAACAAGTTCGCAAAGTCAATGATGTCATTCGTTCCATTGACGACAAACCAAAAGAAGGTGAGAGATGGTTAAAGAAAGATGAAGAGAATAGGAAGAGGAATGTTAAGACAGGCAATAGACTCATTGACTTTAACATCGAAGCTTTAGATGAACCAAACAGAGACTACTTACACAAACATTTCGGTAAGGTTTTCATGAGACTCTTAGAGAAGATTAAAATAAACTCCCAACAAAGATGGATGGTATGTTATAAACTTGGTGGAAAGTATGAATGTTCTACGTTAAACCTCAATAATATTGGAACATTACTACATCAGCTCTTGAAGGAGAACTTTATATCAGAGATAGAAGCAAATGCTGCAGGTATTGTTGAAATGCACTATGACTTCTTCTTGACTAACATAAAGAATCTTACTGAAATAAAGATGTATGATTTAACAGAATATGAAGGCTTAACGATGTCAGATGTAAAGAAAGGCAAACCAAAAAAGAGACCATATAGAGATGAAAGCACACTGACAAATGACCAGAAAGCCATTTTGGAAGCTCTTAAGCAAACAGGAAACCCAGCACTTATAGAAAGCTTTTGGAAAGATAATGGTGAAAAGAAGTTTTATAAGAAGAGAAGCGGTCAGTTCTGGAAGTATCTTTGCACATTACCTATAAATCTTGAACGCTACCAAATCTTCAATGAACTGAACAAAAGAACTGCAACACTTATGACAGAAGATAACTGCTTCGTTTCTGCTTGCATTCAGGCTGGAGTAAATGGAGAGACTATTGACCACATGAGAGAAGTCATTCGTGTTAGAGACTTTCCTCAAAGTAAAGTACAAGAAATTTCTGACGCAACAGGTATAGCATTTAATGTTACCATTGGTTACTTCAATGACTCAAGACATAATGAAATAAAGAGATACATACCAAAAGAATGCGAAACTGTTAGAACTATTGACTTACTTCTTGTTGAAGACCACTACATGCTAAATGAAAGATTACCAATGACAACATATTTCATTCGCAACTATATAGAAATCTTGAAGGAGTGTGGTGGAATGAACATTGAGAAACAGATGAAGATTTATACAAAGAGAGAGAACAAATATGTAGTTCGTTATGATAGAACAACACCGTTATGGGATGTTATGAAAACATTGTGGGAGTGCAAATATTTCGAACCTATTTCTTATGGAGAACTTTTCACATATACGACTGACTTATATAAACAGAACCTTGCACCATTTAAAGATTTGACATATGCTCCAAAGTATTGTGTACAACTGAAGAAGAAAGCCGAGTCAAAAGAAGTAAATAAAGCTAAATGTAAGTTCATTCCTGAGCACGTTTTCTTTGCTGACTTTGAGTGTAGCACTGATGGAGTTCATAAAGCCTTTAACATTTGTTATGACAGTGAAGATGGTTCAGTGAGTGAAAGCATTTGGGGTCAGAACTGTGCAACAGAATTTTTGGAACGACTTCCTGACAAGAGTTTAATATATTTCCATAACCTCAGTTATGATATAAACTTCATCTTAAGACACATGACAGAAGTGAAAGGAACTCCCATCATTAAAGGTTCACGAACAATGCAAATAACTGGCTTATATAAAGGTAAAGCAATCATTATTAAAGATTCATACACTGTTATAAATAAGAAGCTTAAACTATTTCCTGAAATGTTTCATTTGCAGTGCGGTGAAAAGGAAGTATTTCCATACAACTACTACAGCAGTGTTTTGTTAGCAAATGACAACAGAACTGGTGTCATTTCTGAAGCATGTAAGTTTATCCGGGATGCGGATACGTTCATGAAAAACATAGATTCCATCAAAGGTTGCAGAATAGATGAAAACCACTTCGACTTAGAAAAGTATAGCACATTTTATTGCAAACAAGATGTAAGAATTTTAAGAGAAGGTTTTGTTAAGTTCCGCAATGATATATTAAAAGAATTTGATTTAAACGTTTATGACTACGTTAGTATTTGTTCTATTGCTAACAAATTGTTTGAGAACAGAGTGTACTTCCCGAATGGAAATTTATATGACCTCTCAAATAAACCAAGAGAATTTATTTCACGCTGTATTCAAGGTGGAAGATGTATGCTGTCAGATAACATTAAACAAAAGAGCGAAAAGAAACTCATTGCTGATTTCGACGCTGTTTCATTATATCCATCAGCTATAGCAAGACTTTATACTTTAGAAGGTATTCCAAAGGTTATGAAGAAAGAAATGTTAAGCACAGAGTATCTCATGAAACATTTATTCGATGACGACCAAAAGGAACCCATTGGTGAAAAGTTTATGTCTGGCTTCTTTGTTCTCATTAAGATAACAGAGATTGGAATACATAGACACTTTCCTTTAATAGTTTGTGACCCTGAACTAAATCCAGAACTTAACGTTCCCAGAAGTTCAAACACTTGCTGTTTAATGTATGTTGACCATATAACATTACAAGACCTCATAAAATATCAAGGTGTCAAATGTGAAGTGTTGCAAGGATACTATTACGATGGAAACAGAGATATTAGAATAAGAGATGAAGTAAAGAAGTTGTTTGAGTTAAGGTTAAAGTATAAGAAAGAAGGAAATCCTTTGCAAGAAAATATAAAGCTCATTCTGAACAGTATTTATGGCAAAACTATTCTATCTCCTATTGAGTCAAAAATAACCATAGTAAATGACAAAGATGCTATAAGATATGCCATCAGAAACTACAACCATATAGTGAAGTTCGAAGGTTTGGATGGTTCAGATAAAACTATTTTCAAGCTAACGAAAAGCATTTGCAGACACTTTAACTTCTGTCCACTTGGTGTTAACATTCTGTCTATGTCGAAGAGAATAATGTGTGAAGTATTCTGTACTGCTGAAGATATGGGTCTTCAAATATTTTACCAGGACTGCGATAGCATGCATATTTTCAATGAAGACATACCAAAGCTTGCAGCAGAGTTTAAGAAGAGATACGGTCGCGAACTTATAGGAAAGAACCTTGGTCAATTTCATTCTGACTTCGCAGAAATAACACCTGGAAAACAAAGTTTAGCATACAAGTCAATATTTTGTGGAAAGAAGACCTACATAGACTTACTCACTAACGATTTAAATGAAGTTGCATTCCATGCACGTTGCAAAGGTGTCAAACAAGACGTCCTTGCTTTAACAGCAAATGAAATGTTTCCTGAAGCTATACAATGCTATTACAATGAAGATAAGAACATTCACATACCTGTTGGAACATATGACAAAGACTCTGAGTTCAGTTTAATGAAACTTTACAAAGCACTTTATGACGGTCAAGAGATTGGATTTGACTTATGTAAGTCATGTCAACCTTGCTTTGAAGAGAAGTTTAACTTCTCAATAACGACTAAAACAAGCTTTATTCGTAAGTTGAAGTTCTGAGGTCATTTATTTTTGTCAGCAATGAGGTCATTCGTGATAAAAATAAGTCGCTAGCGGCAAGGGCGAAGCCCATGTGGTCATTTACAATACTGCGATGGTAGAGTTTAAGAGTTCTGCTTCAATGAAGAGACAGTCCTTATGGTCTGGAGGTAAGAACACTGGGCAGTTATGGTCATGAGTGGAGAACATGTCTATCCAAAACTCACGATTGAAGCCAGTTAATTTATAGTATTTAGGGTTAGGAAGTGGTGAAGTTCTTGTATGACCAATGAACTCATTTTCAACTCCCTTACTTAAGTTTGAATATAATATAGCTTGCTTTCTATCCCAAATGCCAGGTGTTACAATCTTTGAAAATTCATTTTTCCTCGGAAGCATTGCATCATAATTGAAAACATTTATGAAGTCTTCACTTGGTTCAGAGATTTGAAATCTTATACGTAATGGATTTTCTTTCTTTTTAGCTACTTCATTGAATGGTGAATATATAACAAACCGACAGTCATGAGTTCCATCTTCATTTTCATTAAATTCATAATGAAAGTCTATAAGTTGTGGCTGACTACCTTCTTCTTTCAGTTGTGCAAGAAACTCACGTAAAGGCTGTAAAGTTTGTACTTCAATGTTAAACTTTTTCTCGAACATCTCATTAAATGAAATCATACATTGCAACAATGTTGTATCGTCTTTAAAGTATTTGTATATGTGAATGTTTTGGGCGCTTAAAGACTGTTCGTCATTTTCTATCTCGACTTGAAGTATAAAGTCAACCTTTCTGAAAGCACGTGTTATATACATAGATGTTATGCCAATGTACTTCTCTTCATTTATGTTCACAATCCAGTCTGTTGGAAACTTAAACGTTACTCTGTTCCCCTTTATTTTGACGTCAGGGTTTTCACTACTGAACGCAACAGATAAAGGTATTTGTCTATACATTTAGTTCCGATAAAAATAAACCATTTACTCTTTCTTTGCTTCAGCTTCTTTAGCTTTTGCTTCAGCTTCTTCTCTAGCTTTTTTCGCCAGTAGTCTGGGTTCTTTTGTCTTCCAGCAGCTAATGCAGCAAGTTGTTTTTCACTAAGTTTTCTCTTTGGTCTCTCTGGCTTTTGTTCTTGTTTTTGTTCCTTCAGTTCGGATAAAATTTGCTCACGAATTTCTTTCTTCAATGCTTCAACATCTATGACCCCTTGGGTCTTGTCCGTAGGGCTTGTCTGAGTCATTTGACTGCAGATAAAAAACAAAATTAAAACTTTAACCGATGTAAAATGAGCTTGTCAAAATCAGAGCGAGAGTCTATTATATTAAATGACGCAAGAGGAATACAACATCCTTTCTATTACGTAAGTCAGAGTAAAGATGGTAAAATATACGTAAGAAAAAGAAAGGTTCCATTAGCGAATGCAGAAAGCGACAACATTAAGGTGCATGGCACCGAGGGCGAAGCCCATGTTAAGCCTTCTATTCAAACTGAAAAGTCAATAGAACCAGAAGAAAAGAAGCCAGATGTACTTTCAATAACGAACCAAGAGCTTATTGCAAAGTTCGTGAATTTCATTGAAAAACAAACCGAGTCAAAGAATCCTGACCCGCCAGTGAAAGAAGTTGAGACAAAAGAGAATGTACAGTTCATTGAAAATGTCAAGAAACAACTTCCACCACGAATGCCAAGAAGAAGAGTGAGAATAATGAAGTAAATAGATATTTTTATCTGAAGTAAATACATGCAGAACGAACAGCTAAACGAATTTACTCCAGCAGAGCATATTCATCAGATTCGCTCATATTTCGATATCATAGACAATGCAGTTCAAATTGGTGACACTAATAGAAAATATTCTGACGCAAAGATTCCATCACAACCTGGAACTGCTAAAGATAACACATGGGTAACATTCAATCTCTCACCTCCTGGTGAAAATATGTTGGACCTTTACAATACATTCATTACGTATAAAATGGAAGGTCAATTTATTGTAGATAAAGAAATTGGTTCAGGTTCCAATAAAACAAACCCACCAGGATTTTGGATTGGTTTCGATGACGCTTTCTATGCAGTTGCTGGATATCAAATCCTTGCAAATGGTCGTATCGTATATTCTCAAGACAACGCAAGAGAAGAAGCATATATAACTTCAAACTCACAAACTACCGAACAAATAAAGAAAGTAGATGTTTTCTCAAAGACTCGACATGAAGATGTATGGAGTCATTCGGGAACATGCAGAACAGGACAAATTGTTAGTGGTCCAATTACAGCAGGAAAATCATTTGATTTTAAGCTTCGTTTAAGAATTCCTGTTAGAAGATTCCTTCCATTAGAAGCTATTCGATTTATTCCAGCTTTTGCAGGAAACATTCAGCTTAAAGTAAAGTTCAGTAGCGACGCCTTACAATGCACATCTATATCTGTAAATGATATCATTGCTTTCAATCCAACTCTTAAAGTTGCATTTGCTTCAGATTCAAATCCACCGACAAATAAATTTGTTCCATGGAATGAACCATTCACTATGATAACGAAGGCAGTAGAAGCTAGTGGAACAGTTACTATTACAACTGTAACCCAGCAACTATTTCGAACAAAGATGGATTTTAATGAATGTTTCATTCATCCAAAGTCATTCTCTTTAGACCCTAACATTTATACAGAACTTGTAGAACATTATACAAACGAGGCTTTATGTTTTCCTGTTAAAGTTATGGATTGGATTCCTATGGACGGTTCATTCTCAAAGAATACAGATAGTTCAAGTGCAACATTTACAGCAGCTTATACGCCTATTAATGTTAAAAGTATTTGGGCACTATTTAGAAAGAAAGACAACTATTATGTTAATTTTGAGAACCCTAAGTTTAAATATCTTCAGCTTTCCATGGGAGCTTATGGAAATATGCCTGCAGAACCTGAAAAATCATATGGACCTGTATTTTATGAAATGGTTGCGAACGCTTGCAATACAAACAATGATATGATAGGATTTAATGAAGATGTTATGAGGTCATTGGTGGATGATGGTAGTGTGGAACATAAATGGGATAGCTATGACAACACACATTTCTTATGTGGTTTTCCAACAGAAGTGGACTTTTGCTTCCAGCAAGGTCAAACATCTACTGCTCCAATAACATACAAATTGTCTGTTAAAGGACCTATTGAACTAGCAACTGAAAATGTACCAAAGCCACTTATTGGATTTATGAGGGATTGTTGCTTTGCCATTCAGGTGCGTGCTAATGGCATCCCCATAATAAGATTAGATGACTATAACTTAGCTACGGACGACAGTGAGGAATAAAGGATGAACGTTTATTTTTAAAGCTTATAAATGAGTTCTTCATCAAGCTCTCGTGAACCTTCACCATCTATGAAACAAACTTTACCAAACGATTATGGAGCACCTATTGAATATTTCTTACGAGCTGCACAATGGCAAAGAGCAGTCTCACCAAGGTTAGGTGTTCCACCAGCTCCTGTCAAAAATAGCATTTGGTCAAGTCCTTATATAAGATATGGTCTCCCACTAGGTTTGCTAGCTACAGCAGGAGCAGTTATGATGTTGAAAAGAAATAAAGCAAATGTTGTAAATAATACTGAAGTAGCTGAAGTTAAACAAACTCCAACGCCTTCACAAGCAAAACCTTCAATGACTCCTGAACCTATGGAAGTACAAACTCCTGTTCAAAAGTCAACTCCTAAACCTACTCCTCAAATAAATCGTAAAACTCCTGCGTTTCCTTACTGAAAAAATAACGTTATTTTTATTTAATATTAAAATTTTTATTTGATTGAAATGACAAATAAAGTCACTGAAGCAATGAAACAAAAGTTTTTGGTAGAATACATTAAATCAGGAACTATTCCAGAAGGTTTTTACATTCATACTATGAAGGATGGTAGAGTTCAGTTTAGAAAGATAAAGCAACCATTAGATAGAGAAGGTATATTAAGGAAGATTAAACTTCATGAGGACAACATTGCTGAACTTAAGAAGAAGTTAGAAGAGTTGGAGAAAGGAAGAGAGTTATAAAGCAATGAATTCAACAGGGTGAAAAACCGGGTGAAAAAAGAGGTGAGATTTCACCACTTCACCTAAATTTATTTTTGTGCTATGTTTTCATACGTGTGAGGGTGGTGATATCATTAATTTTTAAGTTTATTTTTTATTTTATTTTTATATAAATGACGAAAACTATTGAGATAACAAACTACAACGGTCATGAGTTCAAGAATTTGTTCTTCGTTCCTCGTGAAAATACATTCTATCAGATACGAGGGAGAAAGGGTAAAGTTAGTTTGAGCGTTTATGAAGGAATGAAGAATGGAAAGTTTATACAAGCATACGATACAAACGGTAAACGTGTTTCATTAGCTTTGTCAAAACTTACTAACATTTATTTTGACAGTGACTTTGACTCTGACGATTGGAGCGACAGCAGCGATACTGAAGAATATGAAGTATTGTGTGAAGCACAGCAATGGGAGGAGTTGCAATACTTTTGTAAGTGAGAACGTTTATTTTTACAGTAGTGAAGTCGTTTGTGAAAACGTTAGTGAGGTGAAGTGGTTGGTGGCTTTGTAAATATTTACGGTTAAGTTAGTGTTGTCGTTTGTGTTGTAAAATATACGTTAACGGTTTCGTAAAGTGTCAAATTCACATATAATGGGTAAGGAGGCGCGCAGTGCCTCAGTACACATGATATGTATACTAACTGCGTTAATAACCATGTCTTTGAGATGACCTATTTCATCTGTAATATGCAAAACTGTTCCCCAAAGATATCTGATTTTGAAGATATTCTTATCCTTGTGGTAATTGTAGATTGTTTCTGTGATGCGATCAATGTTATCAACGGTCATGTTATAGATATGAACGCCAACGGTCTTGTTTACCTTATGATCGTTCAAATCTTTCAAAAGAGCTTCTTTAAATGTTCCGGTTTCAATAGCATCACGATAAGTATCGTACATATTTGGTATATTCATTCTTGTAACAATATCATTGTGATTGGCAAGCAGAATTATATGTTTTCTGTATTCTTCTGGAACGTATTCCATAGATGGTGCACTGGCAAATCCAATGGCATTGATATTACGATCCTTCATATCTGGATCGCTAAGCGCCATATGGCCTAAAACTCCTGCCATACTTCCACCAAGAGATGTACCTGTGAAAATAACAGGGCCATTATGTTTAAGGATGTAAGGCTTTGCATGGTTGTAGATGGTCAAGCCGGAATAGTAAAATCCACGGTGTGCTTTCATTGTTCTTGATCCAAATGTTGCATCAACTTCTTCGTTATCATAATCTGTCTGCCAATCGATAGGAGTAGATGTTGATCTTGTTACAACGAATAGAATTTCGCCATCTTTGTAAACAAAATGGTTCGGTTTGTATAATGCGTTGTCTGTAAATGCATATTGAAGGTTTTCCTTAGGGAAAGTATTCCTAACTGCATAGATACACATATCTGCGGATCTGTTCAGCAAATTAATTGTTAAATTATCTAGGAAACTCATTAAAAAAATGAAATCCTCATATCAATTCAAAGCAATTCAAAATTTGAGAGCATTCTGATTCACTTTGATATGCGTTTATAAAGGTACATTCACTAGGCGATAACAGTAAAATGGGATGAAAATAGGATAAATAGCATCCCTATATAGTGCCTAACAATATTTATACGGGCCAAAAAAATTTGGCTAGAGATTTGGCTAGTTAGAAAATTTAGAAAATTGAGAGGAATTTTTATTTTCGAATTTTTTTGGAAAGTTAAAATTGTGATTAAAAATCGTTTTCCGGGAGAACTAAGCATCTCATCATATATTTAAATCGATAAAAATATTAAATAATAGTTGAATAGTATAAATACATGAAATTATGGCTGAATATACGGAAAAAATGAACATATTTGACATTTTTGAAAATTCATACATTAGTTGGTGACAGACTAATAAACTATACTTTAGCTAAGATTGATATATGATTTCAACAACACATGGTTAAAATCGTAAAATTTTTTTAGATTTCAAAAAGATATATATGGTAATATAATGGAACAGAGTCAGCAAATAGCATGTTAAATATGTTATAATTAACTTTTTATTAGATCCAATAGTAGATATCGAATGGTTTCCAGCTTTATGGTTAAATATTTTCTTTTCGAGCTTCTCTTTAACTGTTGTATTAAGGTTGTAAATTTTTGATGCTAGAAACTTTGGAATCTTCTTTGCTGCTGCATTTTTTCTTGAGAGTTCTTGCAATTTCGAATAGATCTGCACATTGTATGAAATAGGGGCTTTAAAATATCTTGAAAACAGAATAGGACTGCTTTTCCAAAGGAATGCTTACTTGTAAATCAGAGAGTTTCAAAATTGAGTACAAGATTATCATCATAACTTTTGATTTTGCTGCGAAAAAGGAAGACAATGTATTAACAAATCATTTACTGTTGTTCATCAAAAGAAGAAAACTTTGATAACAACTAATGATGATAAAATCAAGCTATCTTTTAATATTTTAAATTGATAAGACATTCAAAATATTTGAATGGTTTAAAATATTTTCTTTTAATTTCAATAATATATTATCATGATTATATAATCAAATTTAAATTTTTATTCAAAAAGGCAATATTTCAAACTTTTAATTTCAATAATCTTAATTCGGCAATAAATGTATTTAATTGTAGCAAATTTAATGATTCTTCGTCATGGTTAGCAATTTGGAGCTCATAAATTAATGATTTCTTCAAGTAAAATTCTGCATTATTTCAAAAATCAATAATTCTCTAGTAACTTTTCTTCAAACCCTAACCATTATAATATATGTAAAATAGAAAATAATTGCAAAGAAAGATAGCCGAATTTACTGGGTAGTTCTTGTGATGCGAAATAATTGGAAATTAACACCTAGTTTTCACAGCATCATTCTCTTTTTGCTCTCATTTAAATGCATTCGCACACTTTAATTTTGAAATATAAGAGTTTTGGAAATTATCAAATTTATCTGCTCAAATACTATAGATCTTCATAAGTGTTAATAGAATTACAAGGCTTACATATAGTGTTTAATATAATGATGCACATCATATTGGGATTTATTCCTTATTCATCTAGTTATTATAAGATTTACAACCCCATGAAAATTTAAAATTTTGTCAAAAATAGTGAATGTACCTTTGCGTTTATAAAGTTAACATTTAAAATATGTGGTTTAATATTCAACATTTACCAAATGAAACGCAATAAACCTTTTTTGGCATGTAAAATATCTGCCAATTGTTCAATTTCAATTTCATCAGACACTTATAATATAACAAGTTTGAGTTAATCTTACCATACTATATAAAGTAAAATTTTTTTTTACAAGTGAAAAACTCAGACCAACAAAGCGATAAGTTTAACTCCATGAGTAATATGAATTTTGGATGTATGATTAAACCAAATAACATACTCTAAGGATGTCAATTTGGAAGAAAAGTGAGAAAATTCCTAAAATGCTAAAAATGAATTTTCCAAACGTATTTTTTTATCTCATTTTTTTGATTTTGAAAAAAATTTGGAGAGAAGAACTCTTCGTTTTTGAATTTTGTCACGATGGTTTTAAAGTATATTAGACACATGTATTGATATTACTATTTTTGTATATTTTGAGAGAAAATCCCTAAAAAGTGAGAAAATCTGAGACGGTTTGAGAAAATATATAAACTATTGAAAATTTGAATTAAACTTCTAATTTGGAAAAAAGAAATTTGGAAAGAAGAAAATTCAAAAATCGAGATTTAGACTCAGTATCAAATGGAGAACAAAATGTTTCTTCATATGAAGGAAAAAATTTTCTTGAGAAGAAATAGAGTTTTTAAAATTTTATTGTATGTAATGAAATAAACAAATATTAAAATTATTTTTTGATAACAAGAAAATTCCCAACAGAAAATATTTGAGACAAAGAAAAAAAGAAAATTGAAAAATATTACTCTCCTTTACATTTCATGAGATTTTCAATTTATTTTCATAAAATTGACAATTTTATACGTTTAGATGAAAATAAGTGATTTTGCTTGAAATAAAAATTATTGTTTGTTTACAGCTATCAAATAGATTTTTGCTATTTTGATTAAAATTTGTTAATCAAATTAATAATTTTTTTTCTAAATATCTTAAATATCTGGATCACTCACTGATACGATGAATTAAACGATAAAAATAATACAAACTCAACTAAGTTTCGTGTCTTTCAACCAAAAAATATTATTCAATTTAAATTAAATTGTTTATTCAAAGATAAAACAAAGATAAAGTAATTATAATTATCATATACTTTATGAATAACTCTCTAATTGGATAAGATTTTCGTACAAATATTTTTATTAATATCGATAAGAATATGTTTACCTACTATCACCATATGTCGATAAACGAGAGTAGAGTGATTTTTATCATCGAAACTTTTTAAAAGCTGTAAGCAGGAAGTAATAATCTTGTTTTTTCTGAGTTAGTTGTAGAACTATTGATGCCCGAGTTATCATTGTGATGCAGAAGGATATCAATGTACTGACTGAAGGATATGAATTGAATTGAATTTTATTGAATTTCAATTTGATCAAAATTTGTTGAAATGATATGAATGTGTCAACTTCTGTATCATTCTCCTTCACTCCTTCCTTATTCTTTCGAGAACGAAGCTAGCTCAGCTTTCGCTGAGCGAATTGACACTTTTCATGCCCTAAACGTACATACTCTCAAATTTATCGAAAAAAATAATACCACCTAAACTAGTATATTCTTATTTTAAATATGATATTATCCTTATATTCCACACTAAAATTCATTTAAATCAACTTTTAAAAAAGTTCGAATCCTGCGCGTCTCACTTTTTAAATTTTCCAAATGGAAAATTATATTCTCCTAAAGTGAAAACAATTTTCCAAATTGACTTCCTTACATACTCAAATACAGAAACTTTTTCCAAGAGGAATTTTTTTTACCAAATATTTCGAAAATTTATTTTGGATTATCGTAGTTCAGTCACAATATCGTGACAAGCTACTAGTCCAAAATTGTCTAAGATTTCATAATATTCTTAGAACAATTTGCTAAATCATATCTAATAATATGGATAAATATGATATTTTCCCTTTAAAAGATTTGACACATATATGTAAGCATTAAAATAGGTTCAAACTGATTACATCAACTGTTTAGACATAGAAATTGATAAGTGCAATAAACATGAATATATGATTAAAGAATAATAACAAATTAAACTTCCTTATATTGATGATTGTTCATCAAAGCTTTCAACTTCTTAATTTTAATTTTCCAGTAAAAATCTTAGATTTTTGTGGAATTTGTCTAAGAATAGTTGAATAAAGATACAATACTTTATCAAAGAATCATGTCTGTTTGTCTTAAAGTAGTTCCAAAAAAATTTTTCTTGACACACCGGAAATCTTATTCTATCTTAATTAAACTTATACCTTATTTAATTGCATTTGATTCCATACCAGCACACTTTTTGATTATATTATTCCTTGGGAGTGATTTGATAGAAAAACTTCACAAAAAATATTCGAGATTCATTCGAGTGCGGGACAAATTTGCCAACCGTCACTTTTCAATAACCTTAAATTACGCTTTTCTCATTTTTTAAAAATAACCTTAAATTATATTTGAAGAAATTATGTCTATGATATATGTTTTATGCTAGAATCTTGGAGTTTTCATGCACTACACAAGAGCTCCAAGGTTCCAAGAGTGAATGCTCAATAGCAATTATAGAGATGTACCTTTTCAAAATGACTTTTACTGATTAAATTTAATCAATAGAAGACATTTTGAAAAGGTACCTCTACAATTAGATATACAAGAGATTCAAAGCTTCATTTCAGATAGATTTGAAACTTTGAAACTCTTGGTAGATTTTGAGTGAATGCTGACAATCATCTTTGAGAAGGTTTTCTTAAAGAAAACCTTCTCAAAGAGGTTTCTCAGGAGCCCCGAGGCTCCCTTTCGTAATGATTGGGAGCCTTGGGGCTCCTGAGACGAAGAATGGCTTCGCCGAATCTTTGATCAGCAGAGGCCAAATGAAAAGGCCTCTGCTGATGGATTCTCAAGAGCCCTGAGGCTCCCTTTCGTAATGATTGGGAGCCTTGGGGCTCCTGCAGCAGAGTATCGCTCCGCTCCATTAATTTTTTTAAAAAAAGTGCCGTGTGGCAAATTTGTCCTGTTCCCGATTCATTCAATTTGATTTTGAATATAATTGCATGGTAATTACTCAAAGAATTATTTTTCATCATAAACATCACTAAACGAACAAGTAAATTTCTCAAAATCGATTTGAATGGATTCCGAAAATTTATCTAAAATCAAAAATATTATTTATATCATGGAAATTAGATGTGTTGTGAAGAGGTTTTCTAGCCATTATCTAGTCCCTCTTGCATCATATATCATTATTGCTATATGTTTGTCTTTCCGCTATAAAAATGATTTAATTGATACATTTTCAAGTGTATATCCAACACATTTTAGCCAAACTGAAGATCCAGCATATATTGTACAGCTTTCAGATTTACATGTCTCTCACATTGATAAAGAAACAGAGAATATCAGAAAATACCTTTCAATTGTATTAAAACATTTGAATCCAGATACAATAATATTCTCTGGAGATTTAGTAGAAGGAAATAATGCTTCGAGTACTTTATCATACCACATACAATATCAAGAAAATTGGGAACAATTAGCAAAGGTTTTCTCTGATTCAGGAATTACTAATTCTTCAGCGCAAATGATATTTAGTGCAGGAAATCATGATGTTTTTGGTGTCTCTGATGATACACCTGAGAAAAATTATTTTAGAAGATTTTTCTTAAAAGATGAAACTCCGTTTGATCTCCAAACATACAAATTAAATAAATCAGGAGCTCCTATCAATGTTGTAGTATGCAATCCTATGAAACCACCAGCAGCTCCAGGTCCTTTCGGAATTATGCCGCAAATTGATGACAGACTATTAGAAAAAGTAGAGAAGAGTTACGATCAAGAAGCTATTAACATTCTTGTTAACCACTTTCCAGTATTTACTTTATGGTCGGGCAGAACTAGGACAAATCATAAAAATTACAAAGAAGTTTCTGCAAACTACGATGTAATACTCACCGGACATTTACATCAACAATCACAAGTTATAAATAGAAACAATGGAAACCTTGAAGTCATTACAACTTCTCCAATTAATACACGAAATGTCACAGTTTTGACAATTGACAATGGAAACATCGCAGTTCATACTATTGATCCAGCAAATGAGTACCAAGCTCTTATTACATACCCTATTAATGTAAATTCATTGACATCAAAATCAATTTTTAATCAAAAAGATTGCAAAATCAAGGTTTTGATTTTTGGTGATAATTCAAAGCCTGTAAATATTAAAATTGACAACAAAGAAATTGTTCAGCTGAAATTAAGTAAGGTTTTGAAAAATAATGTGACATTATTTACAAAAAGGATCAAGTTAGAAGATGGGTATCATACAATAGAAGTAATAGGAGCAAACTACATCCAAAATTATTATATTGGAGATGAAATTCCATCTCATTACGAAAAGAATCCTCTTGTTTATGCTGATGGCTTTCAAACATTTGCTTCTATAATTCAACCATATGGTGTTCAGTGCCTAATCATCTTCTTCTCAGTAATGGCATTCATTAGAATTATTCCACTTTGGAAGCTGCCAAAGGTAGAAGCAATTCTCAATTCATATGATAATGATCAGACAGAAAGCGAGATTAGCTATCAGAGACTAATTTTGTTAAGCATTTTAGATTATTTTACAAAATTTAGAAGAATTCCTCTAATCTCATATAGTTACTTAATCATATTAACCATTTGGACCTTTTATTTACCAATGTTTAGACTTTTGATCGATGATTGGTATTGCACTCTCTATGGAACTGGATTATATTATGAAAATGAGTGGAGAATTTATTCATTGAACTATATGATCTGGTTGATATATATTTCATTGCTTGTTCTCCCCGTTGGAACATTATTCTCATATTTGTATGAAAAGAAGAAACAAGTATTAGATATTGTACTTGTTTCAATTCCACCCACATTTGTAGAGCTTGTACTTGTTGTTCTCATTGTGATTTGTGGCAAAGTCAATTCATTAATTCGCTCCAATATCTTTTATATGAATATTTTAATTTTTGTTATTCTTATAGGCGAATACATATATAAAAGATATATAGAAGATTCACAACCTGGAAAAGAAGAAATAGATAACCAAGATCCGTTGACAAATCCCTATGATGAGAAATTTCCAGCAAACCCATGAAAATAAGCATCCATTTTATATGTTATATTAGATAATTAATAAAAACTATCATTCTATCAGTACATTTCCTTATTTTTTTGATATTTTTGTTGATAATTTCAATATGTACATAGTTATATTTGTGCAACAATAAAGTTAGTTTTGACAAATCCAAAATACTTGAATTTACCTTCCAAATACACAATGTGCTCAGATCGATAACGTATTGATTATCAGATTTAGAGTTTATTCCGAATCTTATAAGTTATACCGAATTCCGATCTTAAGAATTACACAACAAATAAAGATAAGATATATTTTATGTACACAAGGCAATATTATTAGCAAATTTCGAAATAGTGGTCGAAGCAGCCACCAGATTCTATTTGCTCACACCAAATTTCATAGTTAGGATCAAAATTCGAAGTGGGATTACTTCTCATTGCCATGTAAAATTTGGGTTTATTTTCGATGAAAAATTCAAATGTTTACACCTGCTCAATTCATACGTTGATATATCAAAAGATATTTAAAATGTTCAATCTATGTTAATCTTGAGTTTTGATAGTTTGCAACGGTTTTCCCTCCAAATTAATTATTTTAAATTTATTCATTATTAGCTAAATTTATGTTTTCCCTTCTAATATCCTTAATAAACGTTATGACCATTTCAGGTCCTGGTTATTTCACACTCAGAGTATCTGATAAATATGGGACAGAAGTTAATTTTAATTTGGAAAAGGTCGAAGGTTATGAATATTTCTTTGTTTTTTCATCACTTTCATATGAACAAATAAGCAGTGTACTTATTCCTGGTCCAGTCACAAAAGTTGCTTCATTAAAGACTTACTGTTATAGTTTTTACAAAATTCGACGGAGTTGATGGATTGGTTCTTCAAAATACGGAGTTTCAATCGGAGGAAAAACTGCTGCAGTTAATGCTCTTAGTCGAGCATTATTAGAGATAAAGGCAAGTCAAACAACATATGTTCATATGATTCTATTTACCTCAGGGAAATTTGATCATGGTATTGTTATAACCGGAAACAAATATGTTGAAATTCAACCTGTAAAGAGCTATTCAGCAACTTATGCTGTTTTTGTTGCAGTTTATGATGGTGAAGCTTCTTTCGAATCAGATAAAATAAATAATGTAATATCACCTGATGGAAAAGTTATTGAAAAGGCTCAAATAAATGGATCTTTTTGGACTGTGTTCTCTCAAGATATGACTAAGGATGCAACAGCTTTAATTCAAACCAAAAAAAGCCAAAAAGATGATTTATCTTACATTATTGATGGAGAAAATTCAGATTACGTTTTTAGCTATTTTTTAAATGGTTTAGCCGGTGATACTGGCAGTTATCGCTACTTCCCACGAATTACAAAAGAAAAAACTAATTCTAAAACAGTTGGTATAATTGCTGGAATTGTTGTAGCAATTATTATCATTGTAATCATTGTCGTTGTAATTGTTTTCATTAAGGTTCGTAAGCACCACAAATCCAGCTCTTCAAGCCCATCCAGTTCATCCAAGAAGATCAAGAAATATGACAATAATAATGCTGACTTTGCTCAACCGGCTGGTGTTTATCCTAATCAAGGTTATCCTCCAAATCAGCCGCAAACATACCAACAACAGCAAGCTCCAATTTATTCCGCTCCACTTGATCCAGCATCTCCATATCAATAAAAATCATTATTAAAGATTATATTGAAACTTTATTGTCAAGATTCAACAAATATTTTTATTTAGAGCTCAAAAACGAACTTATTAAAACTTGACCTCATAAATTCATGCAATTCTAATACATTAATTATTATAAGTTAAGCTAGTCCACAACAACTAGATTAAAAAAAATATCATAAATGTTATAGAAATGAATGATAGTTATACATGAAAATTTACATTAATATAAAAACATATAGATAAGAAGTAGAAACAGGTGTCTGGTAATTAACATGTTTGCATGTGATAAGACCACAGTCTTTCATCGATGTGAGACTAAGACCACTGTTCGTGACGAGAGAGTAACGGAATGAAATACTAGTGTTCTGGACAACAATACCGCAGTGAAGGTTGTTGCAACCTGTGAAAACATTTTGATCAATGTTCTTAACACAAAGAGGGATGTTGATGTACTTGAGAGATGTGCAATATGCAAACGCTGAGTGACCAATGGTAGTGATAGAGTTATCTGGAATCATGATGCCAACAAGGCTCTTGCAGCCATAGAATGCACTAGATGAGACACTCTTCACATTCTGTGAGAAACAGAAGAATGTGATAGAAGATGCAGGTGGGAAGCAGATCAAGTTGCTCCTGTCCTTGTTGAAAAGAGCTCCGTTATCGATGACGAAGAAGTCACTGTCTGGACATTCGATCTTGCTCAGAGAAACGCAGCCGTCGAAGATGTAGTTACCGATAGTTTGAAGCAAGCAGCGAGATGGAATTCTGAAGACCGTCATCTCGGAGCATCCTCGGAATGCATAGTTGCCGATGGATGTAGTTGAGATAGGAACATCAAATGATGTGATCAGTGTTGACTCGAAGCAGTTAGATTCGATGTTCTTGATAGTGTCTGGGGTGCCAACAATATCACGAAGATGTATGCACTGGCTGAATGAGTACTTGCTCAGATTGACCATTTGGCTTGGAGAAGAAAATGTGACTTGTGAGATAAGACTGTTAGAGAATGCATATATGCCAATGTATTTGAGCGTCGAAGGAATGTTGACTCTTTCAAGAGATTTACAGTTGCTGAAGCAGTACATGTCGATGCTAGAAATATTTTCACTAAGTGTGAGTGTTCTCAATGATGTGCATCCATTGAACGCATATGAATCGATAGTGCAAGGACTATCACATTGAGTGAAACTGACTGTGTCAAGAGATGTACAACCTTCAAAACATCGTGTTGATATCTTAGTTAGTTTGCTTCCGAAAAAGACTGATTTGATCTGTGCACAGTTATAGAATGATCTCACACCAAATGATGTGACTGAATTAGGAATTTCAATTGATGATAGTTTACTGCAGCCGTAGAATGCATTGGACTCAATCATTTTCAATGTTATGCCTGAGCGAAATTCAATTTTTGTTAGATCAGTCATGTCTTTGAATGCAGATGATCTAATTGTCGAAACTGTTTCTGGAATGATGTATGATGTGCTCTTCTTAAGACACATGATTAAAACAATTTTATCTAGGTCGTAAAGAATTTGTTGATCATCAAGAGATAGTTTAGCATTACTAGGGAAAGAAATGTTTACATTTGTTGGGAAACATGAACCACCAAGACTTGTTATTGTTGAAGGCAATACAACTTCTTTAAGATTTGGACAATAAGAAAACGCAGATTCTCCAATTGATGTAATATTCTCAGGAATTACTACTTTTGTCAATCTCGTGTCCATAAAACAATCATTTGAAATGTATGTCATTCCAGTACCAAATTTAACTTCAGTTAAATGTTGGCAACTTGCGAACGCTCCACCTGATATATCTGTTATTGTATCAGGTATAGTTAAGTTTTTTAATTTTGTTACTGCGAAAGCATATCCATCTATTCTTTTCAATTTTGGAGGAAATTTTACATTTTCAATAACTGAGCTAATAAATGCACAAAATCCAATTGTTGTAACTGTTTCTGGGATTTCAAATGATGTGCTGTGATTTGCTGGAAATTTAATAAGTGTTGTTTTATCTTTGTTATATAAGACTCCATCCATTACAGAAAATGTTGGATTTGATGGATTACATGAGATTGTTTTTAAAGTTCTTGACCCTTCAAAACAATTTGCTGCAAATGAATTAACATTTTTTGGCAAAAATATTGTTTCCACTTTACAGCTCTGCATTGCATATTGTTCAATTGATCTCAACATGGAATTATCGGTTATTGTTACAGCTTGCAAATTCCTGTTGAATTGAAAACAACTGTTTTTCAACTCTTTAACATTATTTGGAATATTTATTGATCTCAAATCACAATATCCAAAACAATTATTTGAAATAATATCTAAGTTTGTGGGAAGTATTACATTGGATAGAATACTGCATTCATAAAATGCTTTGATTCCAATACTTGTTAAATACTCACAATTTGAAAAGTCAACAGATGAGAGTTTTTTGCATTGTGCAAATGCACAGTCGTTAATCGTTTTAAGTTTAGATCCTTCTGGAAATGTGATCGATGATAAAGTGTTTCGACTTCCTTGAAATGCACATTCGGCACAAACTTCTTGTTCAGAAACACCATATATAACTTCACAACCGACCTTAAGAACAAAGTCAGTTGCATCAATAACAGATAAAAGAGTTTTGTCTCCATTTCCATATGTTTCATTAACAACCAAATTTTTTTTATTATTATTATTTCTTTTCAATTTTTAACCTTATTGCGTTTTGTTTATACAAAAATTTTAGAGTGGTTAACTCTTGTTGAAAAGTGTTGAACAATATTTCCTACTGGAATTAAATCTGATTATTCCTAGTCATCCTGGTTGAAAACCACTTTGTTTAAACTTGATATATTTTATGATGTAAATGTATATTAAGATCATTTAAATTATTCATTAGCATATTTTAAAGCGATCAATAATTAATATCAAAATCAAATCATATTCATTGCTAAATTGTCAGGAATTCGCAATTTTTTTACATGGCAAAATTTTGTTGGCATAATTTTTTCAAAAAAATTTTTTTTTGATAGAAAATACAAAATTAATGACTGAAAACACAAGTGATCCTTTAACTACTTTAACACAAGAACTAATAAAAATCAATCTAATTGATTTAAACACAATTCCACCGGAAAATGCCAAAAATTATTTCGAATATTGTTGTTTAAACCTCTCACATTACCTTGAATACTTGTCAAACTCAAATATACATACATTCTATCAGTTAGATATTCTCACTGAAGCAATAATTTCGATTTTCGACCTCAATACAAAATTTAATACTCAATTAAAACAAGTTATCAAAGAATATTTGACAAAACTGATCAATTTAGATTTCAAGTACGGCAATGAGCCACCAAAATACCAGAGAGGAAACGAAAAAACGAAACAAATGTCAAGATTGCAGATTTACTCAGAACTAATTGATAAGAAGCTCAAATTACCCGAAACAAAGCTCTCAGAAATCTTACAATATACAATTTTTCAACTAAATACAGAATATAAAATTATTTCGGATCTTCGGCTCGAAATTGGCACTCCAGAACAAAATACTCCAGATAACTATAATGACACAATCATTAGTGTTAATCTAGATAACTTAGTTCCATATTTGTTTGTTGATTTTGCTATTAATTTGACAAATCCAAACATTTCAAGGCAGAAAACAGCTGATGATGAATTCCTTGATACAATGTTACAAACAGAATACAATTCTCTTAACGAAATCGCTTCAAAATTATTCTTATTCAAAGGATCCAAGATTCCCATCAACATTAAAGAGAAATTCACCGAGAAAATACTGTTAATGATGTTTGTCAAACCATTTACAGTGTTAATCTTTAATTCTTCCGATGAAATGTCAGATGATAAATTAATTTATTACATTTATTCGGACATGACATGTGGAACAGAGTTTTTGAACAAATACATGGCAAAATCTGTTACAAACACTATGAATCAAATGAAGAAATACGATGTAGACCCTGTTTTTTACATTTTTTCCAAAAAAGAAAAAATTTCAAAAGAAGAAGCGAAAATTTTGTTGCAAAATCCAGATTTAATCAAATATTTGAACAAAAACTACGAAGATCATCAATTACTTTTGAATTGTCTGCAAAAAACAACTCAATTTAAATTTGAATTTTCAAAATTTGGAATTTCGACACTTTTCACGGGCGTGATTTCTAACAATAATTTGATTGAAAAATATTTAGGTATATTAACAAACAAACTACAAATTTATACATTAAATTTGCTGAAAAACAATGGAATTTTGAATATTTTATGTGAATTAGGTATAAAAAGTGACAAAAATTTGCCAGAAATACAAATAATCAAAGAAAAAGAAGAAATATTCGGAGAAATCTCTGAGTTACAATATATTTTAACTTACGTTGATTTTTTGGTTTCTCAAAAAAGTGACATCCAAAACATTGACACTTTTCTTCCGTTATTTTCTCATTATTTAGTTCCAAAAGAAATCAAAGAAAAATTTTTCAAAAAATTCGAGTCAAATCTTCCAAGACTTTTGCAACATCAAATGAATTTGATCGCTTTAGTTTTGAATGAAAGTTTGTCACCTTTTGAAACCGTTAAAAATTATTTGACAAATGTCACTTTTTATTCAAAAAATGACAACTTCAAAATCAATCAATTTTTGACGATTATCAACAATTTGAATGAAAAAGATTCATATGAATATATTTTATTGATTGAAAATTTCAAAGATATATTTAAAGTTTTGCCGAAAGAAAAACAAATCTTTGTATTGAAGTTGTTGTCTAAATTTGACAATCCGAAGATTATTTCTGACCTCACTTTTGACATTGACTGGAAAATTATATCAGAAATTGCTGGATCAATTTGTTTGTCAAAGCCACAAACAGCTTCTATATTATTAGAGAAAATTTATTCTAAAATGACAACATTTGATCTCTTTCTTTCATCAATTCCAGAACAATGCGATGAAATTGATCAAAATTTCTTTGTTTTATTCAACGATTTGTTAGAAAAATGTCAATCAAAATACAATGCTATAAATTACTTCAGAAATCCTCCAAAAATAGAAAATATTTGGCCAGAAGATTTACCAAAAAATATTAATAATAAAAATATTAAGAAATCTGACCAAAAAGTGACATCTCAAAAAGTGACAAAAAGTCAAAAAATTCCAAATAATCAGCAAAACTTATCTGATCAAAACAATGAAGATAGTCTTGATCAATTGCTCGATTTAATTCAAGATAGTTTTGTAACTGAAGTTTTGGCAAATCATAATGATAAAGAAAGTGAAAAAGTGACACATAATCAACAAAACTTAAATGGTCAGAATAATGAAAATAATGAAAATTTTGTTGATCAAAATAATGAAAGAAATGAAAAAGTGACAGACCAAAAAGTGACAAATTCTAATGATGAAGAAAATAATGATAATTTGTGGGTTGATAACAGAGAAATTACGAGATGTAGGAATAAGAAGACGAAACAGAAAATGTTCCAATGTTTCACATGCAAAGATAATCCAATTGTTTGTTTGAATTGTGCTTCTGTTTGTCACAAAAACCATGATTTGGTTTACATTGGAGAAGAAAACACAAAATGCCAATGCAGTACTAAATCATCATGTTCATTCAAAGAAAAACAGAAACAAACAGATTTAATTTCAATTTCTCCTGAAATTGCCTTCCAAACTTTTATCAAACTTTCAAAAATTTTCAAAGATAATTTTGATTTGAAACCATATGATTCTATTCCATTTACTTTTATTCCTGTTCAACCAACAACATTCATTGGTGACAACGCAATCATTTTGACTGATTTAAGACAAGTTGATGAATCATTTGATAACACAAAAAGAAAATTGGAATATACAAAAATGAATATGGCAATGACATATTGTTCAGAACAATTTATTTTGTTCGCAATAGGAAGAACAATAAAAGTTGTCAATTCTGACATGTCAAAAATTTTATCATCTGTCAAATTAGAAAAAGTTATTTTGCATATGTCGAAGAATGAAAATGAAGATTTTATTTTGGTGACATCACTTTATAATGCATATATTTTATCTGTTTCTAATTTTGGAACAATCAAATTTGAAAATGAAATTGATAATGATGACATTATTTATGATTCAGGATTTCTTGATAATACATTTTGTTATTTTGTTTGTGCAGAAAGAATCAAAATCTATAATACAAAAACAAAGAAATTAATAAGAATAACTCATGATCATTCAGGTGATTTCCTTTCTTTGACTTGTTTCGATGAAAATATTTTTGTTACTTTTCGTGATGGAAAAATGTTTACAATGAAAATATCGGATTTGTCAGAAAACGTGACAGTTAAACCAAACATGAAGACACAACTGAAAAGATTTAGTTGCTTGGATGTTTATGATAATCTTGTTTTTGTTAATTCTTCTTCAAACATGATAATTTATGAGAAAAACAAATTTGTTAATGATTCTAATGAATTTTTGTATGAATTCAATACAAAATTCGAAGGAATGTTAAGATTTTTACTTTATTTCAATGGTTATTACATGTTTGTTCATACAAAAACAAATGCTTTGTTTGGAATGAAACTTGAAAACAGAAATATCAGATTTTTGCAATTTACAAAAGTAAATACAACGAATTTCCCACTTTTGGAAGGAAAATTGTCATTGGTCGGAACATTTAAGATGAAAGACAAAGTTTATTCTCTTTCTAATCTCGGTTACATTCATGATTTCTCTCCAAACATTTATTATCTCAAGACATCAAATGAAAAACTTGAAAAATTGAATAATGTTGAAAACATTGTTCCTCCTTCATTTTGGACAAAATTAACTTTGCAAAATAAGAATTGCGAAGTTAAAAATCAAGACGGAAACAAAATCAACGAAGTTTTACATGGCGAAAGATTTATTTTCCGTCCAGGAGAAAAAGAGAAAACCGCTACGATAAAACTGACAAATTGTCCAGATGAAGTCATTTGTGGATTTGTTATTTCTTTGGGTTCTAACTCTTTGAAATATTTGCCATCGTATATTTCATGTAATGGAGAAATTTTGAGACCAGATTCAAAGCGAAAATATAATTTTCCTTTACTCCCAAGTAATGTTTCGAAAGAAGTCACTTTGTCATTTGTTAATAATGATCAATGTGAAAGTAATTTTGACGGAATTGAAGTTTACACATGTAAAGTGTCAGATATCAAATTAGAATCCAAATGGAGAGATTCAGATGATTTGATGAACTTCAATTTCGATGGATTCGATCGATTTAATGCTGTAGAAAGATTTGCATCAAAGTTGGCAATGACAATTGATTTTGAAAAATTGAATGTTTCTGATGATCAATTTTCTGAAGTTGTAAAGTTGATTTACACAAACCGCTATTTCTCACAAAGTTCACGTTATATTTGTACGCGAATTCAAGTCGAAGATAAGAGAGAAAAATGGCCTAAAACAGCTGTTTCATGTTTTAATGAGATTCCTAGAATTCTTTCAGGTGATTTCTGGAGAGATTTCAACTTAAATGATCACAACTCAGAAATCAAACTTCCAGATTCAATTGAAGACAAAATCACTGAAGATTCTCTTATTTCTGCTTTTATGATGAATTAGAAAGTAAAATTTAATAATTTTTAATTTTTGAAAATACTTTTTCCCGATAAAAAAAATGATATTTTGATGAATAATTTTTTGTATAACATTAACTCTTCATAATCAATCTTTTCACTCTTTAAAAACCTCAAGGGTGTACCTACCACTTTCTTACATACTCTCATAATGTCAACATATAATTATTTTAATAACGAAAAAGTATAACAGTCATATGAGATGCTAGGTAGTGATTTGTAACTTTTTCCCGATCAATCAAAGAAAGTTGGGATACAATGATTGGTTGTCAAAAAAATTGAGAGTGTGTCAGAAAGTGGTTAAAAAAAACTCAAATCGATAATTTGCTGAAAATATGGGATTCCCTTTCCATTTAAAAATTTATGATTGCTGAACATGACGCGTTACAATTTTTTCAAAAATCACTTGTTGATTTTAACCAATTACCAATCGATTAACCAATTCGAAAAAATTTATCCTTCATATTTTATGTTGTGGTCTTTAATATATTCCATAAACTCATTCCTTAAGTATATAAAATCAAAATATGACGCCAGTCTCTACTAAAGGATTTTTTAAATGTTCTTGTGAACCAGAAGGGGATCATTTCACCGTAGAGCCATCATCCTTTACATACGGTACAAAAATAATGCCAACTGTAGATGGTGGATTATATACTTGTTGGATATTAAATGGTAAAGAATATATCATACGATCTGGTTTTACTGAAACATTTCAATTTGATATAATCCTTGATGCGAGCCGAAATAAAGAGGGATGTTTAGAGTTTTGCTGTGATTCTAAATGCAAACAATACACATTTCTATATGATATAGAACCAATTGACTGTGAAGACTGTATTTTATCTAATAATAGAATGAAACCAACGGAAATAATCAGAAATGATGCTGAAGAAAGCATAGGGAATATCAGTATTACAATGATTATTGATATCTTCAATCAAACTAAAAATATATCAATTCCGCCTCCTGAATATCCTCGATATTCATATTATATTCCGGGTATAGAGATAAAAACTCCAAACAATCAACAATTTCTTAAAAACGATGACAAAAAACTTATTATTGAAGGATCTGCTGTAGATGGAGATCCAGACGATGAAATACGTGTATGTTTTAGTATTGATGGGATTTTACAATATTGTTTTTATGTACCTAATGCTACTTATTTTAGTGAATCAGTTGATTTCAATAAATGCTACTTATGTAGTTTAGAAGAAGGTCCAAATCATAATATATCTATTTTTGCTAAAGATTTTGTTGGTCAAAAATCGAATGAAGTAGTTCTTAACTTTAGTTATATGTTTAATCCACCACAATTGACAATTTCCAAGTTTCCATTAACAAATTACAAAAGAAATATTGATAAATCAATTCATGTAGAAGGAAATGTTATTGATCGAGATGGATTAGGCAAAGTTAATGTTACTATTAGTATTGATGATATTATGATTGATTTTCGTGAGATTAATATTGAAAATATTAGTGAACATTTATTCCAATTTGATGTGAAATTTACATCAAATATGACAGAAAGTTATCATAATTTGTTGATTTCTGCTGTTGATGAGAGAGGCAAACAATCTAATCAGTTCAAAAGAATTTTTTATTATGAATTTAATAGACCTTATTTAGATATCTATACTTCTGACAAACAAAAAATTATTGGAATTAGAAAATTCGCTGTAAGTGGATCAGTTTCAGATGATGACGGACAAGGTTCATTAGTTATTATATATTCATTGGATAATAATGATCAAACTGAATTAATATCTGTTCAATTAGTGAATAACTCCCCTTTCATTTTTGATGAAAGTATTAACTTAACAGAAAGCATTCAAGCTGGGATTCATTCATTAGAACTTTTTGTTGTTGATGATAATAATAAGGAATCAACCCATCGTTTTCTTAGTTTTACATATTTACTCCATAGCAAACCGCGCCATAAAAAATTAATTCGCAGCGCAGCATATCTTTCATCAGCACTGCGATACATCTCCAAATAAAAGTTTGACGTTTATAACTAACTCGGTATTATATATAATTTGATTCAATAATAACTTTTTGGAAGAATCTATTGAACTAAATGTATGAAATTTGTCATTTAATTTAGTTTTGAATAGTATACATCCAAATTTCAATTAGTGAAAGTAGAAATGATATGTGACAATTCATCTTTCTTGTAATTCCAAAAAGATTGATAATATTTTTTCATCCATTCCATATCATCTTTTCGTTTTTATTAGATATTAATTTTACAATGAATTTTAGAACATTTAGTTTTAACAAATGTTTAAATAAATAATTATATTTTATTTGGAAAGATATCTCCAGAAAATTCCTTGTGTCTTATTATATATTCGTTTGATAACTTGAAGTTTGTTTGTACCATGAACAACTCGACAAGAAATAAGGAGTTTTGGAGGGATTCCAGATTCAATGATCATTCTAATATAGTCAATTGCTTTATTTTCAATAACAAGAGGACATCGAATAGATTTGCATTCATGGAATGCAAATGTCGAAACAATTTCAACTGAGAGAGGAAAGTTGATGTATTTTAAGTTCTTGCAATCATTGAATGAATATGATTCAATATGTGAAACACTCTCTGATGAAAGACTGATGTTAACAATGTTGTTGCTGTGATTGAATGAATATTGACAGATAACATCACACTTGATAACTAATACGTCATCAATAGAATGACTCAAATGATAAATAAGATCGAGTTTAGTATCATTTTGATAATAAATTGTATTATCAATGCATTTGTATTTATGATTATTTGATACAAAATTACTGATGTTTTTAAGAGATTCACATCCTGAAATAGAATTGATTGATATATTTGATAGAGAATTTGTTTCTGAAAATGTGATTGATTTAAGATTGTTGCAATTAATAAATGCATATTCTGAAATTTTTTCAACAGATGATGGAATAATAATATTCTCTAATGAAATACAATTCTCAAATGATCTTACTCCAATATATGTTGCCCCTTCCATAATTCCTATTGTTGACAGCTTTGTACATCCAGAAAAACATTCATTTGGTATATCAGTCATATTGGTTACATTTTCTAAATTAATGCAATTTTCAAATGAATTATTATAAATAACTAAATTTAAATATCCAAAACTCATTGAATTCAAATTTTTGCAATCTTTAAATGCTGAATATCCTATCATTCTTAAATTTGCTAAAGAGGAATTAAATGAATTTAATTGTGAGCAATTTCGAAATGCACAATCTTGAATCACAGAAAGTTGAGAACCTTCTTCTAAATATATTTCATTAATTGTTGAATTTTCAAATGCACTGACTCCAATAATTTCTACAGTTTTTGGAATTGTAATTTCACTGTAGTTATATCCCCAAAATTCATAAATTTCTGTCTGATCAAAATTTGTTACAAAACAATTTGTGTTAATGATAAGATTTGGTTCATTCAAATATGACACAGAAATATTTGCAATTTGTTGAATTGAATTGAATGAAAATAAAGTTTTGTGAGTAAATGACATTTTAAAATTTGGAGTCATATCTGAGATAAAGATTTCTGAATCAACAATCATTGATATGTTAGGAAAAATTACAAGTTCAAGATTCCCACCCCAAAAAAATATACCAATTCCGATTTCTAATGATCCCTGAAATGTAACGTTTGTTAGATTTTGACAAGCAGCAAAAACAGCATTGCCTATCTTTTTAACACTTTTTGGAATGATAATAGATATAAGTTTTGTACTACTAAAACAGAAATCTCCTATAGATATGACAGATTCAGGAATTGTTATTGATTTTAAATTGGATCCAAAAAATAGATAATCTCCTAAAGTTCTAACATAATCGGGAATTTCATATGTTTCCGATTTATTGCAGATAAAAAACAAAACGCTTTTGTCTGCTGATAAAACAGTATTATTTTCAAATTTTAAATATTTATTCTTATCATCAATCGTAAGATTTGTTAATTTGGCATCAGAAAATGCATATCCACTAATGTTTATTACCTTTTCTGGAATACGAAAAGAAATAATATTAGTATCAATAAATAATCCATCTTCTAAAAAAGTTAAATTTGAACCTTCTTCAAAATTAACATTTTCTAGTTTATTACAACCATTAAATGCATATTCACCGATAATTTCTACAGATGCTGGAATTATGATACTTGTTATATATCCAACATTATTAAAAGCACTATTCTGTATTTCAAGAAGTCCTTTAGGTAAAATTATTTCAGCAACATTATAGCAAAAATAAAATGCTCTTTCAGAAATTTTTGTAAGTTTGCTACAAAGAGATAGATCAATAGTTTTAAGATAAGAACAGTAGTAAAAACTATCTTTTCCTATTACTGCTAAATTAGGATTTACTCCAAATGCAAAATATTCCAATGAAAATAGTTCCTTAAAACAGTTCTCTTGAATAATTTCGCATTTAGATGATATTCTGAGGTTTGGTGATGAATCCTTAACTTCTCTAAGTGTTTTTCCGTCATCTGTATAACAATCACTAGGAATATCTTTGTATTCAATAAATAAAATAATAATAATCATGATGAATTATCTACTGTTTCTTCTTACGATGACTTTTTTTGTAATGGTAGTGAAATAATATGAAATGCTTCATTTAAATTAAAAAGTGACATATAATTTTTATAGAGGATGTTTTATTGTCGTCTGGAAAAAGTGACAAAATTATTATTGTCGTCTAAAAAGGTGACAAATTATTATTGTCGTCTGGAAAAGTGACAAAATTATCATTGTCGTCTAAAAAATAGATTTTTCAAACATGTTTCGGTACCTAAATAAAGGAAGAACATCAATTTCATCTATGTATATAGTATGCAAACACGCATGATATATGGAGTAGCTCTTTATCTGGCTAAAAATCCTATTATTTGAAAATTCGCATTGTCGTCTAAAACCGCCAGGCGACAATAATAATACCCCTTTTTTATAAACAATGATGTTCTTTTCAAAAGGCGCATAATAACTTTCGATAAAAGGCATTATTTAGAATGGACAATTTCATGATATTTCCAGAACTCTCAATGAGATTAATTCTGAATACTTGGTTCTGCTCATGATAATGACCTCAAATTCTATTTCGACGAGATTACAAGTTGGTAGCTTTTTTTATGTCTATAAGGATTAACGTTGTTTTAATCTTGTAACTTTTATCATATGGTTGCCCTAATAAATAAAAACACAAGGCTAATAATCTTATTTGGCGGATAAATCAAATTTTTGTAATTTGTGTACCCAAATAAAATTCATATGTATAGAATCCTAACTTAAGAGTGCACTTACCACTTTCTGATATATCTTTATTAGAATAGCAAAAAAACTATAACAATCATACTATGAATTATATAAAGATTTATCATTTTACCTAAGAAAATTGGGATATAAATCTTGGATGTCAAAAAATTGAGAGAATGTCAGAAAGTGGTAAGTTCACCCTTAATATACCATTATTTTTATTTTATCTCTATAAAGTTTTTATAAATAAATGAAAAATAAAAATAGATTAAAATTCAGATAATATTCGAGTTTTATTGATGGAAAACAATTCGGATAAATTGTGCAATAAAAATTAGAAAACAATGAAAAAGAATTATCCAAAATAAAATGATTATTTTCAAATGAAGTTGAGTTAAAAATATCTAATTCTTTATCACTTTGAACATTAGATGATTTTGCAATCGAATCGCCTTCAAGAAAGAAATCATATTTTCTAGAACAGTTGTAAAATATTAAATTACATATAAATAAAATTGAATTATCGCATCTAAATAAACCATATGAATCTGTAACTGAAACAGATATCATATTAATAAAGCTTATTTTAGTATAACAACCATTACCAAATTGATGAGAGATACTATTCATTGTTGATTTATCAAAATAAGCATTAATAAAAGAACTTGAAAATTTTTTGGAATTGTATGCAGTTGTACAATGAGAATTACAATGATTGAATGAGGAATTCAAATTACTCATATGACCAACTGATGAATCAACATCCAATACAATTCCATTATTCACATTGCTCCCTGTTGGAAAGTTACTAGAGGAAATTAAATTATTAATAAGACTACTGTTTTGACATGACATAAAAATGCCACAATAATCACGCGCCGAACAAAATGAAAAACAGACATTTGTAAGTTTTAAATCATCAGGCCCTAAGTATGCTGCCCCTCCAAAATTGGAAGCTGAACATTTATTAATTAGACAATATGAAATTTCTAATGATCCTGTTGAATTATAAAATATAGCACCCCCATTGACATCAGATAATGAAATAAATTTACTCGCAAAGATTAAATTTGTGATTTAAATTTAATTCAATTCTCGAAAAATGGAAAAATTTTTAAGATTTTTATAATGAACTTTGACAAATCTAGTTTCTATTTGATTTGTAGAGAGTAATCTTAAGTGAACCAATTAAAGAACTCTGAATAATTCTCCAAATATCCTTTATAAATTCCGAAACGATAGAAACGCAAATAATGATGCATAACTGTCGCCATTGTGGTAATAATGAACAACATCAACTCGATCTTAAAGAACTTATCCAGTTATGCCCTAAGAACTAAAAACTAAAACAGAGAGACTTCAATTATGTCTTTATTTAAATTAAAATTAAGTTATGATAAACAAATAAAAGTTAAAAATATGTTATAATATAGATGGCAGCCAAATTGCATTGTAGGAAAACAATTTGGATAAATTGTGCAATAAAAAATAGAAAACATTGAAAAAGAGTTTTCCAGAATAAAATAATTGACTTTGAAGGATTCTGAATTATAAATTGATAAATCTTTATCTCCCTGAACATTGTTCGAATTTGTTGTTGAATTGCCTTCAAGGAAGAAATCATATTTTCGAGAACAGTTGTATAAGATCAAATTATTTATAATTAAAATTGAATTGTCACACCTAAATAACCCATACATATTTGTAACTGAAACGGAAATCATATTAATAAAGCTAATTTTAGTATGACAACCTTTCTTGAATTGATGAGAAATACTATTCATTGTGGACATATCAAAATATGCATTAATAAAAGAGCTCGTAAAAATTTTTCCTGTGTAAGCAGTCGTACAATGCGCGTTACATCGATTAAATGAAGAATTCTGATTTGTCATTTGTCCATTTAAACATTTAATATATAGTGCAATTCCATTATTTCCGCCACTTCCTGTAGGATAGTTGCTGGATGAAATTAAATTGTTTATTAGACAACTGTTTTGACATTCGATAAAAGTGCCACAACTTTGGTCTGCTGAACAAAATGAATAACATACATTAGTTAATATTAAGTCATCAGACAGTATGTAAGCAGCACCACCTTTTTTTGAGGCAAAACATTTGTTAATTAAACAATATGAAATTGATAATGATCCTTTTGAATCATGAAAGATAGCACCTCCATACTCACTAGATAATGAAATAAATTTGCTTGCAAATATGAAATTTGAAATTTAAAATTAGCTCAATTTTCAAAAAATTGGATCATCAAAGTGACACTTTTTATTAAAATCTTAATCCTCTTGCATTGGTTTATTTTTTAAGGGATACTGACAAAATTCATAAAAAATTGTGTTAGATCATTTATTTTATATCATAGGATTATTCATTTGAATTTGTATATGATTTCAATTGATATCATGTGAAATTAAATTAATTTTCCACTATTTAATATAAAACTTCATTCCCCAAGAGAAACAAATTAAATTCGTGAAAGATATTTGTATGTCTTTGTTGATATCAATGATATTTGCAAATTATTTTGGATAGGATTTATTATTTTGCAGATATTAGCAATGAATATGAATTGCATTATGTTGAGACTATAATTGGCACTTTCGGTAGGAATTGAACTTTCATTTTTTTTATTTTGATATTGCCTTATTTATGTTTGGTTATTTAATTTTTCTCGATTTATAACAATCAACATTCAAACATATATTTTGTTGAAATATTTTTGATCAATTTTCGGAACCAGATTTAATATTATTTTTTGATTGACTGACCAATTCATATACCAAAGAATGCAACTCATGTCAATTGTATATTTTTCATATGATGTAATCTTGAATTTTTGTTTATTAAAATTATTCGACTTTATAGTAAGTGAAACTATTCATTTAAAATTTAACATTATATCTCATAATGAAATATTTCTTTTCATATTAATATTTAAATAATATAAAAAATTCAATAAGTTCTGAAAAATTCAATTATCGCTTTCAAAAGTTGGAGTATAAATGTGGGAAAAAAATAATAAGTGATTATTCCTAAAACGATAGATTCAATTTCACATTTTGATTGGCTAAAAAGTTGCTTGGCCGCGTCATTTTTATCTTTTACAGCTCTCAATTTTTCTGGACCATATTTTTATATTTCTATTGGGTTTTAGTTATTATAAATGCTTATATTTAGCTTAATAGGAGTAACAATTTCTGCAAAGAAGGAGAAGTACACAAATTGCAACTGATCTCCTTTTTGCATGAGAGATCGGTACATCAAGGATCAAATTTGGAAAATTGATCCAAATTCCATTATGTATAACAATACAGAGTATGATACTTTTGTCATTGATTCCAATTATACAAACAGATTCAATTTAAGAATTAATATCCTTAGAAATAAAACAGCTCATATCAAACTGTCCCCAGCAGAGAAAGAATCATTTAATAGATTTGATATCGAACACGAGCCCACAATCATTGATCAAGGTTTTATTTCTAATTATTCAGAAATTGAAGTAACAAGAGATGACGTTAAATCCACAATTTCCTCATCCAACGCCAAAGTTGTAGTTAAACACAATCCATTTTCATTAATTATTAACGATCAAAATGGAGAAGCAATTGTGCTCAATATCGACAATTCATTGGTCTTTGAGACGAAGAGAAGCAAAGAGAAAACCCCGGAATTATTCAAGGAGAATTATTTCGGTGGAGTCACAGATGTTTTCAAGAACGGACCAACATCTGTTGCCATGACTTTCCGCTTGAAAGGTAAGGAAACAAGACTCTCTGGACTTCCTGCTCACACATTACCATTGTCTCTTGAAAACACAACTGAACCAATTCGTTTCTTCAACACTGATATCAATGAATTCGAATTGAATAGTGAAATGGCAATGTATGGATCGGTTCCTTTACTATTCATGCATTCATTGGATAGATCTATTGGTGTTTTCTGGTCTAATCCATCAGAAACGTTCATTGACATCATGAATTCACAAGATAGATCATATTCAGATGCAAGATTCATGTCAGAAGGCGGATTCATTGATGTTTACGTCTTTTTGGGAGATCCATGTGAAGTCTCTGATAGTTATACACAATTAACTGGGAGGCCTCAATTAACACCAATGTTTGCCTTAGGTTTCCATCAATGCAGATGGGGATACATGACTCAAAGCGAAATTGAAGAGATCTCATCAAAACTTGACAATTTCGGAATCCCTCATGATGTCATGTGGTTAGATTTAGATCATGTTGATAACAGGAAGTATTTCACATTCAGAAAACACAACTTCCCTGATCCAAAGAAGATGTTGAAGAACTTAGAGAAAGATGGAAGATATCTTGTCGCATTGTCTGATCCTCACATGGTTGCTGAAAATGATTATTATCTTTACAAAGAAGCAAATTCAAATAACTATTTGGTTAAGACAAGAGACAATAATGTTTATTTCGGAAACTGTTGGCCAGGTAGATCCGTTTGGCCTGATTACTTCAATCCAGCCGTTCGAGCATGGTGGGAAACATTGTATTCATTCAAACATTACAAAGAATCAGCAAGAAATTTGTATCCTTGGAATGATATGAATGAAATCTCTGTTTTTGATTCTCCTGATAACACAGCTCCTAGAGACCTAATTCATTACGGCAACCTTGAAGAAAGAGAAGTTCACAATGCTTACGGACACTTAATGGTAAGTTCAACATGGTGCTGTCTTAGAAAGAGAACAAAACAACCAATGAGACCTTTCATTCTTTCAAGATCATTCTTTGCAGGAAGTCAAAAATACATTTACACTTGGATTGGTGATAATGTTGCAAGCTATGAACACATGAGAAATTCTTTGCAAATGATGATGTCATTCGGTCTTGGTGAAATGATTTACACTGGAGCAGATGTTGGCGGCTTCTTCAATTCTCCTGATGAAACACTTTTGAGTCGTTGGTTTGCAGTTGGTGCATGGATTTATCCTTTCTTCAGAGAACATTGCCATCATCTTTCAGAGTACAGAGAAGTCTACAAACTCAAAGAAGAAGCCAGCAGAGAACTCTCTAAAACAGCAATTCATGAGAGATATAAGATATTACCTTATTGGTATACACTTGCTCGAGAAGCAAATCTCACAGGTAAACCAATAATTCGTCCTATGTGGTATGAGTTCCCTCGAGATGAAAAAGTTCTTGATGTCTATGACCAAGTTATGCTTGGAAGTGATTTATTGATTGTTCCATTCTTGGACAAAGGGCAAACAGACAGGAAGTTCATTAAACCAAATTCTACAAAATGGTATGACTTCAGAACATTGCAATTATATGATTCTGATGTCGCCAAATACATTGATGGTAATACATTGGTTTTAATGAAGGCAGGTACAATAATTCCAATGAAATCAAGAATCCGCAAGTCAGCTAAAATGATGTTTTACGATCCATTCACATTAGTCATTGCTCTTGATGAAAAAGGATTTGCTCAAGGAAAATTATATGTTGATGATGGTGAATCAGAAGAATTCGAGAAAGGCAGCTTCGTTTACAGAGAATTCACATTTGAAAACGGAACACTCATCAACAGAGCTGTTCCACCACGAACAATGAATAAGTTTGGCTACAAATACGATGTCACAATCGAAAGAATCAAGATTACTGGATTGAAGGAACCGAAATCAATCAAAGGACCAAAAGGAAGAATTGATTTTGATTACGAAGATTCAGTCTTAACAATCAGGAAACCAAACCTTCTCATTCGTGATGATTGGTCAGTTGCCCTCGAGTTCGATAACAATCAATATATCGACTCCAAAGAAATTTAAAAAAAAATTAATCGCTAATAAACGATTGATTATGAAATCTCTCTTATTTTTTCAAACCATAACATGAGCTTGATAATATATCATGTTTAACCTATGTTTGATTTAGTTGTGATTTTTTGAAAGGTTTACATTTAATCAAATCTGACAAAAATTCCGAATACCCTTTCATGTCGGTAATGAATCGATCATCTATGAAGTATGCTGATTCTAAATGTCTTATTTTTAGCCATTTATCCTAAACTCAAAAAAAATTGTGAGCAAAAATCAAAATATGAAAATAATACTCTATGTATGCTATATATAATTTTTACTTCTCGATTGGTCAGTTTAATTGAAATTTCGGATTTTTTCTTGTCAAAAAGAATTTTGATTTCACTTTAGAATGATGAAAGTTCTTATTCTAATCGCTCATGCAGATACAACTCATCAAGCTACAGCGTTTCGTATTGCAAAGGCAGCTAAAGAGGCTTTGCTTGCTCAAAATCACGAAGTCCGCGAAGTTGTTTTAATTGAAGAAGGTTTCGACAGAGTTCTTACAGAAAGTGACTTTAAGGTCAAGAAAACATCTTACTTTGATTACTTCGAGAACTCCAAAGATGGAAATCTCGTAGATACAATCACAAAACAAGTTGATAACATTAATTGGTGCACACACATCCTTGTTATCGGTCCAATGTGGTATTTCAGATTCCCTGCTTGCTTTGAAGCCTGGATTGAACGTGTTTTGATCAATGTTGACGGCCAATCCAAGAAAGTTTCATTTGTAATTTCAAATGCAGGTGATGAACAATATTATTCAGAAAAAGGAAGTGGCTCTATCGAACAGTTACTGTTTTCCGAATACACAGCATTCACTTACGGCAAATTCCAGGTAAATAGACCACTTGGATATTATAATGCAGAAATCGGACCAAAGATTGATCACGAAAAGGAGAAAGCATGGATTGAGAAGTTCAAAGTTGCCGTTTGCCAACTCGATCACTGGCAATTATGGGGAACTAATGATAACAAACCACCGCTTAGCCCAGAGACTATCGTTATGAGCGATAAAAAGACTGATTTATAATTTTATGAATAAATGACTAATTTTTATAATAAAAAATTTTTAATTGATATTTTCTTTTTTAAATGCATTTCATTTATGTTAGACATATTTTATTCTTTGAGGTTTTGTTTAATCACAAGTAGTTTTGATTCATTTTAGCAAAATTTAAAATCAAAATTCATTATTAACGATAAATACAGTAAGGCCAAACAAAGGATATCGTTAAGGTTCAAAATTTATATGGTGTAGTCTTCTTTTTTTATAATTCTAAGCACTTAAAAAAACTTTAAAACTAATATTGAATTTTAAAATATAATAAAATAATTTTAATGTTTAATTTGTGTCTAACGAATAAATGTAGTTAACAATTTTGCGGTGACCTTCACGTTTTGCATAATCCAATGCTGTATCTCCATCATTATCCCTTGCATGTAAATTAGCTCCTTGAGATATGAGGTATTTAAACACCTCGAGATGGCCGTTATAAGCGGCCCAAATAAGTGGGGTCCATCCATCATCATCTCTTGCTTCTTTGTTACAGTTGATTGATATCAAATATTTCACAATATCACGTTGACCTTCTGCTGAGGCATGAATTAGAGGTGTCCAACCGTCATAATCCTTTTCTTCTTTTTTGGCATGTTTTTGTATAAGATACTTAACAATATCAAGGTTGCCTTCACGTGAAGCCCAAATAAGAGGTGTCCATCCAAAGTAGCTTTTTGATTCCATTTTGGCTCCTACAGAAATTAGATACTTGACAATTTCAAGATGACCTCTATATGATGCCCAAATTAACGGTGTTTCCTGATCATCACTTATTGCTTCTTTATCGGCTCCAACTGATATAAGGTATTTTACAACATCAAGATGTCCATAATATGATGCACATATTAAGGGAGTATATCCAAACTTTGTTGGTGCTTCTTTGTCACAGTTGCATTCAATCAGATTTTTAACAAGTGCAAGATTTCCTCTGCATGATGCTTCATGAAGTATATTTCTTCCGTATTCTCCTTTCTTATTGTTCAAACCTTCATCGCATGCTTGTTGAATCATATCTTTCCTTTCTTTAGTTGACAATTTCTCAAAAAATTCATAAATGCTTTTGAAATCATTGGAATTTTTGAATTTCTCAATCTGTTCAAGATATACTTTTCTGTAACGATCTGTTTGAGATTGAAGTGATTCTATTTCATTGCTAGTTTGTTTTAAAATGGCAATGGCTTGATCAAATATTCCGAAATTCATGTATTTTCTGATTGATTTTAATAATAAAATAACTTCTCGAATATTATTGATACGAACATTGGTATTGACAATACATTTGCAAAGATCAGGTAATTTAAAAATAGGTGCTGATTGCATGAGAAGCTGACTAAAGTTATCTAAGTTTAAATTTGCATATTTAAGGATTGATTTTACATCTGATAATTCGAAAAGATCAAACATATTATTATTTTCAATGTAATCCCTAATATGAGCTCCAATATATTGGTGGTTTAGTTCAAACATTATAAATCTAAAAGTCGAAAAACTGAAGTCGAAATTAACCGTTAATTTTTGACAAGTAAGTCGTATTTAATATTAGATGTTAAAAATGATTGCACGAATCAATAAATTACAATTTGATTCAAAATCTTTCATTTTAATTCATGAAATAAAAGAATCTTCGATGGTTTCTATGAGTATAAGGGAATATATAGCATTAATTTAAGCTACAGACTTTAGTTATTAGTCATCTCTTTGTTTAATCATAAATATCAAATTAGATAAATTGTGATATTTCATTAACATAATTTTGGACATTCATAATTCAATAAAGAAAAAGATGGTAGCATTTATATTTATGATGCATCAAATATGTTTCCTTTTAAGACATTAAACACATCAATGATGAATTTGATGCGGTTAAAAAATTAATCGGAATAATGCCTTAGGTATGAACCACTTACTAAGATACTTTATAAACCATTTTTCACAGATAAATCCTTCTACGTTGAATTTTTGATATTTTGACATCTGAAATTATCGAAACAATAGGAGAAAATGAATCAATTTTATCAAAATTTTTAATGTTTACCCAAAGCTGATCATTTTATTTTCTTGAATCAGCTTTGAGAGATAAATGTTTTTACTCTCAAAAGAAGAGTGAAAAAAAATTTTTTATATGATTTCTGGATATCTTATTGGTGATAAAATTACGGAAGGGACATCACCTGTGATATATAAAGCCACAGACTTACGCTCAAATGAAATTGTTGCTTTGAAAGTATCGAAAATGGACCAGGAAGAAGATGGAGTGACAATTTCTTCAATGAGAGAAATCACAACCCTTAGAAACATGTCACATCCAAACATAATAACATTACGTGAAGTCATTACTGAAAATGAACAGCTTGCTGTCGCTTTCGAATACATGGCTAAAAATTTGAGACAGTTTCTCGAAAAGCGAAGCAGACCACTTGATCCACCTCTTCTCCAGTCTTATGCATACCAACTACTTTCCGGAATCAACTATATCCATAGTGTCGGATATATTCATCAACAAATTGAACCGTCTAACATATTAATAAATGCGAAAGGTTTACTTAAAATTGGAGGATTTGGTAAGGCCCGTGCTTATCATCATCCAATGTCAAGGTCAGTCAACACGAGTCAATTATTATGGTACACAGCCCCAGAATTACTAGTAGGAACAGATTACTATGGTCTTGGTATTGATGTTTGGAGCGCAGGATGCATTATCGCTGAGATGGCGAGAGGCCAAGTATTATTTCCCGGAGATTCTAACATTGACATGCTTGCTCGCATTTCCAATATACTAGGACAACCTTCAGAAGAAGAATGGCCTGAATTCTACAGAGTAATCAACAAAATGTCTTTACACCTCTCCGAAGACTTCTACAGTTGCTTTAATAATATAAACCCAGAGCTGGTCGATCTTATCAAGAAGTTACTTACTCTAAATCCTGCAAACAGGATTTCTGCAAATGAAGCATTATTACATCCATATTTTAAGGACATTCCACATCAATTTGTTGAGTTTTTCTCCTATAATATTGGAGATTAACTCTTTAATCTTATTATATGTTTTGAAAGATTTCTTGAAGAAATCTTTCATTGATACAATTTTTATATGAAATGTTTGAGATAAACTTTAAGTTTACTTGCATCTTTTTTCATTCCCTTAGTTTTTCTCCTACTTTGATGTTAAAATTTGAATTGAAATTTGGAACTTCAGTAATTTCACGTACAACTTCTATATAGTGTCGTATACACTTAATTCATTGGCAATTTATATGCATATCGATGAAAGGAAGAATCAAGAAAAATTATCCAAATGGTTTTTTCTGACAAAAAGTGGGTTAAATCTAAGAATAGAAGAAATGCTGACAACATTCAATGTGTTATTAAGTTTTATTGTTAAAATGTTAAAAACATTGATTCAATTTCGAAATTATTTTTTTACCAAATTGTTTTTAAGTTTTTATTTGATTAAATGACTTTCTGATAGATGACTAACTTATTGTATTAATTAATTTTTATTTCTGAATTGGAAATTTTTTGAATGATTGAAAAAATTCCAACTCATTAAAAATGTATTACCTCAACAAAACGTTATGTAATATGGCAACAAACAAGATCAATCAAAACTGCGAAGTAAACATCACTATAAATGATCATTCTTTCATATCAAACATAATCTTTGCCACTTCCATAAGCGATTCAATTAAAAATATTTTTATTTTAGATTCAAGCAAACATGAATTTACTTTCAAATGCGATGTAAAAGATGATAATACATATAAGCTTCTTGAGTCAGTTTTCCAAGGCGCTCCAGATCAAAGTTTAATAAAAGATCAAGTAATTCAAGATATTTTTCAAATTGGGCAAGTATTGAAAAGTGATGACATGGTATCATGGTTTGCACAAAGATATAATGGCCAAACAATTGAAATGTCAACACTTGATGATCGACTAATTTATTCTAAGCAAATAGGATTTTCTCAACAACTAATTAATTTCGTTGCAACAAATTTGACGAGTATTGGAATAACGAAATGCCTAAATATTTTCAAAGATTTTGGATTTGATTTTGCTGACTCTGTTTTCAGGATTTGCCAGCAAAAAGGAATGGATTGTAACAACTATGTCATATCTCTTATTGAAAGTGATATAACATTCATGAATCTAATTAACTACGTAAATTATAATTATTTAGTTTCAGAACAAAACATAAGAGTAGCGCAAATCCTTTCTAAATCATTGCGTTCATTAAATGATATACATAATAGTGTTCTTGATTATTATATTGGCGGAGTGCTTGAGAGACAAGTTAGTGAAATACGAAATTTGAAAAATGAATTGAATAACCTAAGAAACAATTATGATAGTTTATTAAGGACTAAGAGTCGAAGATAAACCATATTTTATATTAAAAAAATAAGGCCCATATGACATTCTCTTGTGATAAATTAACTAAATTTACTTTTTTTTCTAATTTTATAAACTGTGTTGCAAAAGACTGATCTGTCAAACTATTGGCTGGGATATGCGCTGAGTGAATTTAAATTTAATCAACGAAAATGGTATTACACTCAGCTTGGACATCAATAAGTCAAGGGTGGGATGACACACTTACTACTTTATTTATTTTAATTGCAAATGAGTATTACATCCATACTCGGTCACCCGTTTGCTAATTTATAAAAATAATATATATCAACAAAATTAGCTATAGGTGCAGCACTGTCATATGGGATTGTTCACCTTTATCCTCAATTGTCAGATTTTCAGAGTGCATTGATATCCATAATACTTAATCTTCAATTCTGCTGTTTAAGGTTATATGATTTTTGAATTAAAATATGATGTGAGTAAGTGAACTGTAAGATGTAATATTTTCAGGTCTAAAATAGGGTGGGTCAGATATATTTTTAGCATGCTGGAGTCAAGTGAGTAATTAAAGGGTCATTATTGATTTTGTAATTTAATCGTCGTCGTTATCGATTTTGTAATTTAATCGTTATCGTCTTTTTCTAAACGTGCATTTTTTGCTTTCGGAGCTATTGAACATACATTGGCCCTTACCAGCAATTGAAAACTATTTTTCATTATCAACAATTACATTACTCCGAGTTATTCATCAATCAATGAAAATCGATATATAGTCCATACTTCAATTTACAATATTGGCAAGTCCAATTTCACTTGGCATATTTAACTCATATAGAAAAACCAGTTGGAATCGGCAAAATTATCTTTAATTCCATACATAAGAAAAAAAAATTATAAAGTTCTTCAATAATAGCAAACTAATAGTTTAAATAGATTTACAAGTATCGCCCATCTACTTTTGATATAATTCACATATTAAATGTAGAAAACTGGTTTAAAATAAATATTTCAAAAGTTCGAAAACGATTTATGAAAAAATAATGTGATGACATTTACTAAATTTGCTCTGTATTAAAGTATCGATGATAGAAAGAGCATATTTTGTAAATATTTCAAAAATATTTAAGGACTTCGACTTTAGCATCACATAAATATGTTATTTTCTATATTAAAACGTAATTTTGGTGGTCTTAGAATAGAAAAATATGCAATATTCGTGGAGATAATGAGGGTTCTTAAACATGTTCTTAAAAATAAATAAAATAATACAAATCTTTATTCAATCTTTTGATATTGTTGGTCCTCTCTTTGTGAAAATACTTAACTTCAAAGAGTATTATGTTTTACCTAGTGATGACCTTAAGTTTGCAAAAACATAATAAAAGTAAAATAAAAAAGATCGGATTTATCACAAAACTTTGAGTATTATAGGATTTAATATATTTTCTTAGTAGATTATATGATTTAGTTTCTTAAAATCTAAAGTATTTCTTGAGGAAAATATAAATTGAAATTCAAAAAGTAAAAAAAATGTAAACAAATCAAATTTTAAATGGACCAAATGTTGATTTTTCATTCGTTTTCTCATTATCGAAAAAAATTTGGAAAGCTAAGAAGTCAATAACAAGTTATATAATACAACAAAACCCACATCGGATATGTTTTCATCAAATAGTCTCCTAGATTTGTTATGAAATTAAAATATCATGATATTTTAAGGGCTTTTGATTTCAATATTAGAATTATTCAGTTATGTCGTGCTAATATCAATTGCTTTATACAATTAATCGTTTACAAGCTGCAAAAATCGAACAATAATTTGACTTTGTAAAAAAAGTGCGTCATTTTTATTCGTTATACTTACAAAATGTAAACATTACGAGAAACATTTACATTTGTAAATGTAACAAGTAAATACATCAGATTTAAATTGTAAATGTAGTTTATCTCTCTCATCTCCTTTTTAAAAGGTATTACATACATACGAACGCATGGGTCACTCAATAATTAGCGTGATAATAATTGAGGATAGACTGTAATCGTAATTTTATTTTTGGACTTATATTTCGACATTTTGAAGTCGCTTGAAAGTCTTGCAAATGATTAAATTTGGAAAATTTGACCTAAGTCTGCATTATTTTGATGACTTAAACAATTCTATAAATCTGTTTTCCTAAAAATTTAAAAAGATATAATTTCAATTTCCCTAAATTTATGTAATTCATATATCACCAAAATATTTGGACTGCATTTCGTTTGTCTGCACCTAATTAAAGTCTAAATACCAATTAATTTTGGAGTTGCATTGCTTTTAATGTAAAAATGCACGTTTAGAAAAAGACGATAACGATTAAATTACAAAATCGATAACGACGACGATTAAATTACAAAATCGATAACCTCTCGTAATTAAACTATTAATTTCCATTGTTATAATTTGATTAGCACAGATATATCTCTGCATGCGTAAAATAAAAGCATTTTGTCATAATTGTATGGAAATAAAAAATTATATTCCAGAATCAGCAGAAATTTCAAATCTATAAAATTTAAGGTTATGACCGTTAATTATTACATTTTATGCTAAATTAAGTAATTTATAGCTACCAAATCAATTACGAATGAGTAAATAATAATATTTAGACTTTACCATGAAATACAAAGATGATGCTCCAATTTTTTACTCTAATATGCTCATTCAATTTTGAGACTCGCCAAACAAAACTCTATATTACTGGTGACGGCACATTATCGTCATCAGAAGTCCTCAAACATTGTGATAAGGGCCAAATTACAGAAATATATATTGGTGAAGGCTGCATCGGATTTGAAGCAGGAACATTTTTTAACTTTAATGCGTTAAAAGTATTACACTTCCCATCAACTTTAAAAACAACCACTGGCAGTGATACTAGGTATTGTCCACAAATAACTAATTTTTATATTAATTCAACAAATCCATACCTTGAGGTAGATCAATACGGAGCTCTTTATACAAGAGGTAAAGAACGTTTAATTAGAGTTCCTACTCAAAAGGAACAATATATATTTCCATCTCAGACCAAAATAATTGGAGAACAAGCTTTTGAAATGCACCAAAAATACATCGAAATTACAATTCCAAATACGGTTACAACAATTGAAAACGGTTGGATATATGACTCATGTATAACTAAAGTATTTATGCAATCTGGCTCTACGATTACATACATAGGTGACTGGTCTTGGGCTCCTACTGTATGGTATATTTTAATTGCAAAATCAGTTAAAACATTGTATCAAGGAGCGTTTTCTAATTGCTATGCATTAAACATAATTGAATTTGAACAAGATTCAGATTTAGAATTAATTGAAAGTAATGTGTTTTCAAATACAGTTTTAGGAAGTTTAAGATTACCACAAAAATTTAAGCATCTCGATGCAAATGCTTTGTATCCTGATAATTTTTTAACATATGTCTACATACCTGCTTCGTTAACAAATATTAATGAAAATGCATTTACCGGATGTCCAAATATCAATAGTATTGAAATAGGTATAAACAATTCAAACTATATAGTTATAGGTTCAGCAACGCTGATGACCAAAGATCAATCGAAATTCATTTATATTCCTAATGATTTAGTCTCTTTTGAAATTCCAGAAAAAATTGCTACATTCGGTCAAACTATATTTCAATCTTGTTCAAATTTGACAACTTTAACTGTTTCTCCAAATAATAACTTCCTTGCATCAGACGACGGGATTGTATATAGTAAAGATTATTATACAGCAGTAGCATGCATGGGTGGTTGTGTTTCAACAACCATCAACTCTCAATACAGGACTATCGGAAGTTATTGTTTCAAATTTTGTAACAAATTAGAGAATGTGGTTTTGAATGAAAACCTCATAACTTTAGGCAACAATGCTTTTGAAAGAGTTTCAAGTTTGAAAGAAATCAGCATACCATCAACAGTTTTGTATATTTTCGATTATTGTTTTTATAGTTCTGCTGTTTCAAAAGTAATAATCAATGGAGATGGTCCTGATTTCATTGGTGAATGATGTTTTAACGCAGCGCAGCTTCAAGAGATTCATCTTGGAAGGCGGTTGAATCATATTGGATTGCTCGGATTTTGGGGGAGCGCATTAAAGACTATTACAATTGATGAGAATGCCCAGTTAGCTAGTTTCCCAGCACAAATTTTTATGTTTTGTAGAAGTTTAGAGTCATTTATTTTGCCAAATAATGTTATCTCAATTAGTTCTAATTCATTTTGGGAATGTAATAGCTTACGGACGTTTTCTTTTGGGCATAATACAAAGATTACAACAATAAGTGAAGATGCATTCTATCGATGTGGCTTTGAGACTTTCGAAGTTCCATCATCTGTAACACAAATTGGCCTAAATGCATTTTCTGAATGCCCAAATTTGAAATATTTTATATTTGCATCTAATATAGATCTAAAAACAATAAGTGGCGGTACTTTTCGAGGTTGTACTTCGCTTCCCACAATAACAATTCCAAAATCTGTTGAATCTCTGGACCCATCAGCATTCCAGTTCTGCTCTAAGCTTTTCTCAATCAATGTTCCTATAGATAATTCTTACTATAGCAGTGAAGAAGGTATTGTTTATTCTAAGAATCGTGATCGACTTGTTTGCTGCCCATGTGGCAAGGACCGAGCATTCATCAAAAATTACATCATTGTTATCGGATCTAACTCATTCTACAGCTGCTCATATCTTCTAAACTTAACATTCGAAGATGGATGCAGATTGGAGACAATAGAGGATGGAACATTCTATTCATGCACAGCGCTAGAGCGTGTTGATATGCCTACATCATTACGTACAGTCCAACGCTCTGCATTTCTTGGATGTAGCAATCTCGCTATAATAACATTTCCCGATTGCTCGCTCTGTGATCTTGAATCTGATATGATCTTTGCTGAGTGTCGAAATCTTGTTGTTTTTTCATTTGGTAAATTCTGTGCACTTCAACATCTGGGCAATCAGATCTTCTTAAATTGTGTTCGTCTTACTAACATCACAATCCCAGCCAATTGTACATCTATTGGTGACTCGGCATTTGAAAACTGTGAGAGTCTTTCAAATGTTCATTTTGAACGAAATTCACAACTTCATTCTCTTTCACAGACTTCATTCATTGGATGCACATCTCTTATTAATTACACCATCCCAGACTCTTTCTCCATAATTTCTAATATGTGTTTTGGTGGTGCTCCTAACATCGAAATTGTCAATGTTTTTCCTGATATGTCATATTCCAAAATCAGTCGAAACTCATTTTCATCAATTCACTTACGTTGTTTCAACATTGGACCAAGAACAACAATTGATCTTCTCGAAGATTATTGTTTCGGCAACACATATATTGAACAATTTATCCTTTCTACACCTACAAAATGTTGTAAAACTCTTAACCTTATAAATTTTTGGACACCATAGAGGAATCCTGATCGAGCAAGTTTGGAGTCTCCCTCCAGGTGAGGAACATGCAAACGAGAGAAGTGTTTAACACTTCATAAAGTATCTTATGGATATGGTTAGATATATAGTTCTACTTAATGGAAAGAATTAAATCGCGTTAAAGTAAAAAATGGAGTTATGAACTCATTTCGATATAAGATGCTTCATTATCATATGTAGTAAATGTTTTTATTCAAATTAAGCTTAGTTAGATTTTAATTAAAAATTGGCAATTCCGATTCGCATTTATTTTGGAGGGTATATGCGTATCCTGAAGCTGGTAAAGTGGTTCGATGGGTTTGCAAATCTGTCTGTACAATTTTTCAAAACGATTTGTAATTTCCGTTTGAATAGATAATTAGTATAGCTTGTAATGTTAGTAAAGTCAGTTTGCCTTAGTAAATGAAAATAAAGTTGATTCAAGTTGATTAATCTTAATTTCGGTGTTAATTGAATCAGGAATTAACAGATTCAGCAATTGTTTTGAATTTTGGAAGATAGGCGCACTAAATTATGGTTTTTAAAAACATTATACTATGCTTTTCTAAAGAGGAAAGCTTTGTTGATAGCAATTCGTAAAATGAGGAAAAAGTACGTTAAACTTTACATGGCAAATTTTGAAAAACTTGGGAAATAAAAATAGCCAATATTAAGTAAATTAATATCTAATATATAAATAAAGAATATTAAACTAAGAGAATTTCAAAATTATATAATTCCTATTAAAATCGAATAATTTAGAGTCAATTTACAGGAGCACTCATAAATATGAGCGTGACTAAGAAATTAAAAGTTAAATTTAGTCTGAAATTTTGTATATATTACACAATTAATACAAGATAATAAGTAATTGGCTCATTTATAAGATTAAGTCAAACAGTTTAATGTCATATGTATTTTTATTTTTAAATTTGAGTGGTTAATGAGCTATATTTATAATGCTAGCATAAGTATCGAAAAATAATAAATAATTAAATATTGGAAGCATTAGATTTACCATAAAAAGTGATATTGTATAATAATAGGAGCAATCTGATGCAAAGAATAGCTTAAACTCAACAATTAATTTTCCTAAAATTGTGGGAAAATCATCATATACCTAAAATATTTTGAAAAGCTCTGTCTCCAGATAGCTTAATGGATATTGCATGATAAATATAATAAAAAGTACGTAGTTCGAATAATTACATCTTTAATTTTTTATTTCAAGAGAAATGAGAGAATTCTTGTCTATTAACGCTGGAGAAGACTCTGCTTCTAATGAGTGCTATAATACATAATGTTGTAGTGTGATACTTTCTCACCAGCAATGCAAAATTCTATATTTCATTTAAATTATTTTTAATTATTTCAGTTAATTCGATTTTTGCAAAGGTACTTAGTAATATCATGATAAATTTGTCCATTTCATATAACAAATATGAACAAGATAAGCATTTTAACACTTGCCAATATTTTTTTCATGTTTTGATAACTCAATATGCAATGTCTGTTAATATCTTAAATATTAAGTTCATTTTTACTTAGAATGAATGTTATCCTAGCAAATTAAGCAAAATTATATTCTAATTATTGGAAATAGAATTTAGTTTTATAGAGATTTATTAATAACATCAAATGCATGCATTCTTTATAATCATGAACCAGTAATAAATATCATCGATAAGCAAATGTTATTCAATATTTATAAGAATCTCATAAATCTTTCTGGAATTTATATAGTTACTTAATAAGTAATAATTTCTCAGCAATACATGTCTCTTATCTCCGATAAAAGATGAATGATAAATATTATAATGCTTATCCAAAACTTTTATCTCAGTTTTGATTTTGCCAAAAGCTTGCACATTGTGTATTAAGCAACTAGTTTTATGAAAAGATATATACAATATCGACCTAGAACTAAAAATCCAATGATTATAAGTGATACAGAAAAAAACTTAGTACCATGGTATTCGAACTACATTCCTTCAGTCTACCCGTTTATTCCACTAAGCTAAATCTGACACGTAAATTTTTTTAAAACTTTTGGTATATGATCATTCCCCACCCGGACTTAATTTAGCTAATTTCGAATTCCATAGGGGTTTTACTAATATAAATATACTCTATTGACAAAACCAAAACATATCCTCTATTTCAAATTCGCATAAATTCTTCTACACCGCTATTTATTTTTAAAATCAACATTTTTTTGAAATTTTTCGAAAATCACACTTAAAATCCAATACGTTTTTCAAGATCTAAAAAACCAGCAGACAGATTCGAAAAAAATATCAGCCATTTGTTTTAGAATCATTTAATGACCATATCCCCAAAATTTGAAGCAAATCGGAATTGGGAATCTTAGTTTTACTACGTTTCACCTACAAGTATTGGTAATTTTGTTTTCAAGGACTGTAAACATCTTTCTTTTGTCGACATCACTCCTAAATTATTATCAAATAGCAAGCGACTAATTCAATCATCTGAGTTATTCACAATTCCAACTGGCCTTTTTGATGGATGTACATCTTTACAAGGCGTATCCTTCCATGCAAATATCAACAATATCTCCGATTTTGCATTCAGAAATTGCAATAATTTTGAATACACTATTCCTGATAGTGTCATCCATGTTGGAATCTCATGCTTCGAAAATTGTTACAAGATCAACAATATTCCTCCTACTATCACCTATTTTGGCAATAATTCATTCCGCAGCACATATGTTAAAGGTCAACTTGTCATTCCATCTTCAACAGAGTTTATTGGTTCATCATCTTTCACAAATACAAGCGTATACTTCGTAATTTATTGTGGTTCCAATGATTTCTCAAGATCACTACTCGCATTCGAAACTAATGCTATCTCTATTGTTACATACTCATATAATTATGGTCAATTCTGTGGTCTTCATGCACATCATTCTGTATCGCACACATGCTCTGATCTTCTTCGCACAAATTTTGCAGGTGTTGAAGGTCTTCGTCATCTTATACATAATAGCAACTTTATTGAAGATGCTATTGTCTTTTCATCAATATATAACCTTGGCTTATGGTAGATATAATTAAAAGTCATATTTATATTTTATGTTTTAATTAGATATTATTTAATAAACAAATTAATAATAATCAATTACAAATTCAATTATACCAATCATCATCTGATAAATTATATTGAATAGCATACCTGAAATGATCATAAATGTTTGAATCAGAATCAGAATCAGAATCACTATCACTATCAAAATCTATTCCATTATTATCGTTTTCTTCCATTTCTAATTGATATTGGTAGAAATCCGATGAATCTGACGTACATTCTTCATGATGTTCATGATAAATATGAAATATTTTTTATTATAACCCAACAAAATCTCCTTCAATAATTAATTGTGTACTATAATTTTGTTCTTTTGAATATGCGTTGAGAAAAGTTAAACAATTCAATATTTTTCTTTTCAGCATAGTTAAATGCTTTATATTTGATTGTAAATTGATGGTTAGTTTTTGTTAAAGATAAATTGATGGAAGAATCATAAAACTTATCATAATAATCTTCGCTTAAAAACATGAATACAAGTAATATAAGTGGAACACCAGAATATTCAGATGGTTATCCAATGTATTCATATTCAATTTCTCCTTTTCTTTTGAATAAAATTTCTAGAGCAGTTATATTTTCTTTGATAACTTTATAGAAAACAATAGGCAATAATGATTATGTTCTGAAATTCACATTTTCTAATTTGCTGAACAATAATTCGAAAATCTCTGAGTTTTTTGTTTTAGAGATTGATTTTTCGATTGTTATTTCAATTACTTTTTGATTAAATTCAAAGTTCTGGATTAAATACACAAATAACTTGATATTGTTAGATTCAATTGCAGATAAAATCAATGATTCCTGTTCTGAAATATTAATATTAATATTTTTGAACTTATCACCAATCATTTTAATTAATTCAAAATCATTTGTTCCAAATGCTTTTATGAACATATGTTCTCTGCATCTTATATTCACTGATGCACCTTTTTGAAGTAAGTATTTCGCAAGTCTTACATTATTATTTGAAATAGCGAAGCTTAATATTGAATCCTCTGTATTATCACTATGTATGACAGTTTCATTAATTCTAGCACCAGATTCAATCATTAAAATGATTTGATCTGTTTTTAAATAATCCATAATAGTAATAATCGAAATATTAGAAAGATTTCCAATTTTTGAAATGACTGTTTTGAAATTATCAGATGATAAATTCCTCATTGCCCGAAGATTGCATGCGTTTTCCATATCGATAGACATTCCTTTGTCCATCAACATATTGAATAATTCAATGTCATCTGAATGAAATGAATATGTCAATAAACTTGGCCTTTCTTTGTTCCTATTAAGGAAATTGCGAATTGCATCTTGGATTCCCACATTAGGTGGACATCCGTGATTCAATAAGAATTTAATGATTTCATTTTTCTTTGCTTTAACTGCTGCATAAGTAAGAACTTGAAATTTAATTTGATTTTGAGGAATTTTTTCGAACATAGAGTAGAATATAGTACTTTTTCAATATTCAATGCATAATGTCAAATTCTTATCTGTAAATTCTAGATCATCTAGGTATTTCAGTAATATAATTAGCATATCATTATTTAAATATATTAAATTGGAAATTTTCTTTGAATTCTTCACTGTTTTGGATCCCATGAACTGAAAATTTTTGATTTGTTTTGAAGAATGAATTCAACAACTTCTTTTGAATCTGAATGAATGTAATTAATAAAGTCGTTTGTATCTAATGTAAAACCGTCATTCATTGCACCGGTAGCAAGATCAATTAATCCAATGTCCAATAATGCAATAAGTGGATTTCCAATTTTGTTGTGTATGCAAAAGCAAAACGCTTGTATATTTAATGTTTCTAAACAAAACAAAGGATCAATTAATGGACATTTATAGTTTGAAATGATCCAGTCAGCTATTTCATTTCTATGATATTCAATAGCAATTAAGAGAGCTTTACCAAAATCGTATCCTGAATCTGCTAACAGACTAATAATTTCTTGATTTCCTGAAATAATAGCATAATTGCAAGTTGTATTCGTAACACTTATGTTATTAAGTACTAAATATCTGAAAATTTCAGAATTTCCTTTTAAGGCAGCAATCTCTAAAAGAACACTCGTCAAAACATTTGGATCATCGTTTATCAATGTTTTTAATTCCTCGATTTGATTATTAATGATGAAATTGACTGCTTTATATAATGGGCTTGAACTTTTCATGTCTTCATTCTGTATATTTTTTGAAAAATCATTAAAAGATTTTAATTGTTCAGTAATTTCATAATTGGAATTCTGAAAATTTCGAATCTGTTTTTCACAATTTGGATATATACTTGCTATATTTGGTTTAGTATTATCTTGACGCAATATACGCGTCAATTCATCATTTGGACTTTCTTTCCAATATGACTTCCATAATTCTTCGCCTGAATTATAGATTTGCATGATATAATCAGGAATTGGGCACTCTGATATTGAAATCACATTCAAATTATCATACATCATTTCCGATTTCATCCCAGATATGCTTGAAAATGAGATTTAAAATGTTTTGAATCTAATCATTTCAAAAATTCTTATCGTAAATTCATGTCTTCTGAAATTTTTCAAATTTTCTTGAATTTCCAACATTCATTTGGAATATCATTTTCCTTATTAACTATTTAAATAGTGATATGGATTTAAAGTTAGGGATAACGTTGTATATTTTTTGGGTTCATAATATATATATTTACTTTCTCCTGACTAAAAATATTAACTTTTGACCTTAGAATATTGGTTTAGAAATCATGTGTGTGTCAAAAAAAATTGAGAGAATGTCAGAAAGTGGTACACCTTTTCGGATTTTCTTTTGCTGATAATTGAGGCTGCTTTGATTCATTTGGGGATCCTTCCGGAGAAGAATCATCGCCTGAATTTCACATTCAAATTTTCTTCTATTTTGTTTTACCAATTTAAATACCGATTTGTCCCAAAACTTTAGCAAAATCCATATCACAGTTCATTGTTTATTCAAAAAACTTAAACTCAAAGAAAAATGATGAATCAATATTGCAATTTGTTCCGGCTAAAAAGATAATGATCAAATATCAAATACCTAAAACGAAATCAAGCCCTATAATATAATCGAACATTAGAAATAGGAAAAATTCAAAGTATTAAATTTTAAAATCCAATTTTTATGACAATAAAGTAGAATTTTAGTAACCATCGCCATAAATATCACCTTTCCAGAATCTTCTTGGGTCGCAGTATCTGAAAGCTCTTTCTCTTCTTCTTAATCTCTCAACTTGATCCTTTGTAAGTTCGAAATCAAGGTGATTGTTCTTGTAAATACGTTCTGGAGTAACAGACTTAGCGAGAAGTGAAGCTCCTGGTTCGATTGTTAAGAGGAACTTGAGTTCAACTTCGCCAACTGTTTTTCCTGTTTCAGAAGCAACCTTAACAAGCTCTTCATCCTTAAGAAGAACTGGAAGATCTGGTGTGGCAGAATCAGCTGTTCCAAGTGTAGAATAGCCTGTGAAGATAATTCCTTCTTCATGACAGTACTTACGAAGTGGTCCTTGCTGATGGTAAAGGTGGAACTCGCATTGGTTTGTGTAAGGAATAAGCTTTGCATCAGAATGCTTGAGACGTTCAAGCATATTGATTGTAAAGTTAGAAACGCCAACGCGCTTTGTAAGACCGAGGTCAACAAGCTTCTCCATGGCCTTCCATGTGTCAACAATTGATGTCTTGTTCTCGAAGAAACCTTCAGTTTCAATTTTATCTGGAGCATTGAACTGAGATGGCCAGTGGATGAGGTAAAGATCTAAATAGTCAATGCCGAGATCTTTAAGTGTCTTTCTGCAAGCTGGCTCGACTTGCTCTGGTCTGTGCTGATCATTCCAAAGTTTGGAAGTAATCCAGAGCTGCTCACGCTTAATGCCCATGTCCCAAAGCTTCTTGAAGGCTTGGCCAACAATATCTTCATTGCCATAAACAGCTGCACAATCAATGTGGACATAACCTGCCTCCTTTACAGCATAGACAATGGCGTTGACAAGATCATCTGAACGTGGTGATTTTCATGTGCCAAGACTGATCGAGGGAATGCGATTCATTTAAAGTGAGGTCATCAAGAATTCAATTTATTTTGAGAAGGATGTATTCAAAATTTTTATCAGTTTGAATGAAGAGAAAATTTTTCAATAATCGTAGCTATAAACATATGTCAAATACTCATTTCCAATATAATATTCATTCTTGTAAATGTTTGAAAATGAAGTGATTCTTATCCCCATCATCTAATGATTGGCTGGACAATCTCAGGTATTTTAACATAATTTTTTACTTGACAGGTGCAATGAAATTTTTTCACCAATTATTTTGAGTGTTATATGAGCGCACATTGCATTGTATGATATGATTAGAAATGTAAATGCAATTCTCCATTTGGGCATAAATCTTAATGCAATTTTTTTATTTTGAATGTCATTCCTGTTAGTGTTATGCAATAGAAAGCATTCAGAATGAAATATGATGTATAAGAAGCATGTTTGAAGAAATTATTGAGAATTTAGATCACACTAGCAATTTGTCAAATTGCTAGTAAAAATAATTTTTATGCTAATAAATATGCATTTTTGTCGTTATAATTTCGTAAAACAAGGCGGTCTCGAGTTAAAATTTGAATTTTTAATAAAAAATCAATAAAAATATGATATATTTCGATACATTCTCACTCAAAATCATACAGACGATTTTTTATTTTCTCTGCGTAGTATGTCTTACATTTCTCCATACTATCTTGCTTCTTAACCACATTGAAAAACTATTAACAGATTTGAAGTGTCAATACCTCTGAAAAATATGACCCACAATACATACAAATCCTATTATATCATTTTCGGAAAAAACCATCCACACACAAATATAAATGCTATTACATATATATATACACATTTTATTATCTTATCCTTACGATTTCTCTTATAATTCACATTCTAACATATATATCCAATTTACCTATATTCATAAATACATAAACAATTACCTAAAATGTTTGTACACATTTCTATCACTCTTTTGTTTTAAACACATATAACATTTCATATTTAGACATATATAGATCTAACAATTATATAATCAATTCGATATAACATAATTTTACAATCATCAAATTATTCCTTTTAATAAAATAGCGATATAACTTGTACACTCATATCAATATTTCATATACTAATTCACTCAAACCTTATAAACATATTGTGCATGCAATATCTCATATTTTCATTAGATTCTTATATCTTATTCTTTATATACAGTGAGTAAACATATAATTATATTATCAAATAATCTTATTCTAATCATATATGAATATTTTATTATTAGTAGATCTATATTAACTTTAATTAGGGTAGCACAATTTCATATCTTGTGTTAATTGTTTCTATATCTCTCAATTAATATAAAAAATATGCTGATTAATATTATATAACTCACTTGTCTCCATTATAATAAATCATGCTAAGCTGGGTTCTGGTATATCACATGTTCATTAATGGATCTCCCATTCACTATTCAAATTCCAATATATCCAATGATTTGAGCCATGTAATACGAAAATAATTCATAAAAATAATATTTTCTTTATTTTCAACTTATTGCACCATGTTTTGCTAAATAATCTTTAATATCAGCACGTGCAGTATCAAGAGGATAAAATTCTATATCGTTGAACGTCTCCGGATCATTTTTGATAATTTCTGCATTAACATCAGCACCATTTTCAACTAATATTTTGACAATTTCTAGTGAATTGTGCCTAATTGCAATAGAAAGAGGTGTTTTCATAGCCTTATAATCGTAGCCGCCAGGGAAATCGCAAATTTCCATATTGACATCTGCGTCATTATCAATCAAGTATTGGATCATTTCGATCCAACCCTTTTTAATTGCAACTTTGAGCGGAGTTTTGTAAGTAAAACCCTTTCTGGTTTGTACATTAACGTCTGCATCATGCTCAACTAAATATTTTGCAATATCAGCCATATCATGTTCAATTGCTATGGTGAGAGGATATTTTCCTGAAATTACTTTTTTCTTTTTCCAACATTTTGGGGCTCTTTCTTCATAATAATCTTTTGCTGGAATTACTTTTTTAAAATCTGCACCATGTTCAATTAAATATCTAATTAATTCAATTGAATTCTGCTTAAAAGCAAGAGTGAGAGGACTTTTAGAAGTAACATCTGTAGTTCCATATATTGTTTTATGGCGAGTAGCTTCTGCATTAACATTTGCTCCACGTTCAATTAAATATTTGGCAATTTCAATAGCATTCTTTTTAACAGAAAGAGTAAGAGGTGTTTTCTTCTTTTCAATATAATTAAAACCATCTGGTTCACTATTATATACTTCAGTTATGATTTTGTCGTGAATGATCATATTAACATCTGCACCACTCTCTACTAAATGTTTAACATCTTCAATCGAATTTTTTTCTATTGCAAGAGCAAGAGGATGGCTAGAATCAGCGTATTCTTTATCCATTCTAAAAAATGAAAATAACGATAAGAAATTTTAATTTGCTTGAATTTTTTTTTAGAAAATTTTATAGTCGTTTTTATATTTTGCCAGGCTATACGACTTTTTTTAATAGTTAATTGGTCAAATCATTCGGAACTATTAGTGGGTTAGGAAAATATTTCTCTCATATGGGACAATTTGATCGGGACCTCGATCACATTAACGATAGCTTTCGCTTGGCCGGACCGTGGACCCTTAAGTTTACAATTTTCCAATATTTGCAATTTTCTCACTCAACATATTCGTAAATTCGGAATTTATGATATCAGATTGTGAGCTAAATTGAAAACAGTTTCACTCCATTCAATTTTTCTCATAATATGCTAAATTATAATAGATATAGCATTTTTTCCTTTTGATGTAATATCTGATTTAATAATCTTAGTAATAAATCTTCCCTATATTGAGAAAAAAAGGGGTATGATATATTGATATTATGTTAGCATGTCAGTTCCTAAATATGAAAAAATAAATTAATCTTTGTATTAAAGGCAGAAAAGTATAGAAGCCATATTAGGTACTATGTAGTGATTTATAGTTACTTTCTCCTGACCAAAAATATTAACTTTTGACCTTAGAATATTGGGATAGAAAGCTTGTGTGTCAAGAAAATTGAGAGAATGTCAGAAAGTGGTAAGTACACCTTTTCGGATTTTCTTTTGCTGATAATTTTTTTAATGATTTATAAATAAATATATTTTAATACATCGTCTATATATAGATGTAACAAAAAAAGTCACTAAACCCGTCATATCCTACTACTATTGGGATAGAAAGCTTGTGTGTCAAGAAAATTGAGAGAATGTCAGAAAGTGGTAATTTCATTGTTAAATTTCGAAATTTGGAAAGTAAAATATTAATTAAATACTAAGAAAAATTAAATATTTATGTAATGAGGAGATCGTTGATCTGTTGAGATGTTTCGATCTTCCTCCTCTTGTTCCTCTTCACACACAAAATCACAACCAAACAGACGATGCAAACAAAAACAACAGATCCACTTGCAATCAGTGCGATATCTCTCTTTTTGTGGCTGTCTGGACCTTTTGTTGGTGTTACTTGGCCTGGACCAGCTGTTGGAGATGGAGTTTGTCCTGATTCTGTGTTAATTGCGAATGTTGTTGAGAGAATCTCATATTCATTCGACAAATCATAGACAGAAACAATGGAAACTTCGGCATTAGAGACTTTGGCGTTCTCTAATCCTTCAATTGTTGCAATTCCTGTGTCAGGAACATACTTTTCGTACAAAATTTTGCCATTTGACAAATCTTTGATCGAAATTCGGACTTTTCCATAAAAACCAACTGGTTTTATCTTGCTTATCCTTGGCCATTCAACAACAAATGGATGTTTAGCAATAACTTCGCCTTTTGTCGGTTTAATTATCGAAGATTCTCCAAATTTGTTGTTGACCATGAAATAATCGGAAATTCTTTGTACATAGTGGTTGTACATCTCTCCGATCGCGTATCTACCGGATTTGATCGTCGTCGGGACTCTTAATTTTAATTCTTCAGATTCTTCCTTGTATTTGAGCATTTGCAATGGCATTACAGCGCCATCTTCATCAATGATGTAGAATGGCTTCGAATGCTCTTGTCCGTCTGACGAATGCTTGAATTTAATTTCATCTCCTGCATTTACTGAATCTGTTGACAAAAGAGTTGCTGTTCCAAGCTCAGACCTAGTTTTAGTGATTTCTCTGAGGTTTGGACCAACTTTTCTTGTAACAGATGGGAAATCAATTGTTGACAGGTAAAAGTTGAGGGAAACAGAGGTAATATAATCTTCCTTATCATCTATTCTGTTGATGTAGAGATTATATTGTTCAGCAACTTTCTCTCCAAGTAAACATCTGAATCCAACACGTAAATATTTGCATTCCGAGTCATATTTGATCAAATGGTTGGCTGTCATTGGATCGTAGTTAGATGGTGACAAGATTTCGTACTTCTGACCACCTTTTGGCTGAATAAAAATTCTCATATTATTTAAGTCCTTCAGATCTGTTTCTAGAGTGAGTTCTCCATAGAATATAGGGTCATCTGATGGGGTTACATCTAATTTGATAGGTGTTTCCATTTCTTTGTCTGATTTCGGAACAATAACTTTTTGTTCTATGACTAAATCTCCTGAAACGCTGTTCATACCAAATCCTGATACATTCCAGTTCTTCGCTGTCTCAACTGCAAGCTCTGCATCAACTCTTCCGAAACCAAGGAAAGGATGATATGAATGTTTAGCAGAATTCTCCTTCCAAAGTGGACTTTGTGGGTCTGTCTTCGTAGCAGTAAGCATTAAAACGATGTCTATTGCTTGTTCGGTCATATCTGGATTTGCTTCCTTAATTAAAGAGGCAACACCTGCAACTTGACCGGCAGAAAGTGCTGTTTTGCCATTGCCAAGTACGTAGTTGTCGTTTGTTGATGAAGAAAACACAGTTTGTGGTAAATCTTTGTGAGAATCGTATAAATCATCAGACAATCCTGAACTTGGAGCAACAACAGAGATGCATGCACTCTTTGACGTGTAGTACGTTGGTTCTCCTCGTAATGTACATGATCCAACTGTAATAGAATAGAAATTACAAGAACTTGTGAAATGATTTGCATCAGAACCTTTGCTTCCATCTTCGGCGACTGAAACTATACGAACAGGAACTGAAAAATCTGAAGGCATAATGGGATCTTCTTCAGAACAGTATGGTTTCGAAATTGTAAGGAATGGAGCTAAAACTGTAGCATTAACAGGATTAGTTTTGAATATTTCGTGCGCAATTTCTGTTGAAGATGAGTATTTTTTAGAGAAATCGATCACATTTGCAGCAACAGAAGCATCTGGAGCAACACCAACTGTGCCAACTTCGTTAATTGAAGCTGCAGCGGCTCCTAATGAGATTGTTGCAAGTTCTTTAGTATTAGTGACTTTATAATTTTCGTTTAATTGAGAATTGATTTTGTTTTTGAAATCTGGATGCTCAAGATAAACACCACTATCAATAACAAATATTGTTTGGCCTTCTCCTGAATATCCCTGAGACCATGCTTTGACAACGTGAATATCTTCACCGGAAATCGACTGATTCACACCGTTATTGTTAAGATATATTTCCTGAATAAATGATTCTTCTTTTATTGTTGAAGGATCTATTACACGGCAAATGTGTAATGAGATAAAGAAAGAAAACATTTATTTTTTTTGTGTCTGAAAAATGAAATGTCATTTGACAATTTATATCGGATAATCATATATAATATTTATGATATGGAAAATAAAATTTGAAATTTCAAGAATGCCAAACGATCATTTTGGATATGAAAATTTTTTTTATTATGAAAATCAAAATCATAATCGGATATATCACTTTTTAAATTTTTATGAATCATTTCATTCATGCAGAACAATTGATATATTCCCAGAAGCCCTTTATGTAAAAATTTTGATATGTAGATAGAAAAATTAATCACATTGTGTTTTATAAGGAGGAAATATGATTCTTATTGTTTTATGTATCTATTATGTGGATGTTCCTAGTGATTGCTATTCAAATGATGGTAAAATTCTTAGAGATGATCCATATATATCAAGAAATATCAGAATATCAGCGAAATGCGAAATTATACAAGATTATTGCTTTAAAAACGATCCTCTTATAGAATACTTTACGTTTGAAGAAAATCCTAACTTAACAGAAATAGGAAAATATAGTTTTGATTATTGTATTTATCTTAGAAGTATTGATCTATCTTTATGTAACAAACTTAGAATAATTAAAGATAATGCATTTAATAGGTGCACAAAAGTTGAGGAAATATTTTTTCCTAAAGGGCTTCTGGAAATATCTGCTGATGCTTTTCGCTATATTGAATACATAACAAGTATCACAATCCCAGCATCTCTCCAAACATTAGGATCTTATTCATTTTCGAACTGTAATAGACTTGAAAATGTGTTTTTTGAGGAAGGTTCAAATTTAACTTCTTTAGAATATCGAGTATTTGAATTTACTAATATTATTTCTTTTCGAATTCCAGAAAAAGTAACAACATTTAATGGATATGCATTTCACGATTCCAGATTAACAAATCTTATGGTTGATGATAAGAATAAGCATTTAATAGTTGTAAATAATACCGTTTTTTCAGCAAACAAAAATATTTTATTTTTTATTTGCAACAAATCTTTCGAAACGTTTGAAATTCCAAATAATGTTACAACTTTAGGAGATTATCTATTTTACAAATCCAATTTAAAATCAATAACAATTCCAGAAAATGTAAAAAAAGATTGGATCTCACTCATTTCAAGGTTGTATAAATCTAATAAATGCTACATTCGAAAGTTCACTAGAAATTGGTCATTTTTTATTTGATGATTGTCCCAATCTTGATCTTGTTATTTTTCCTAATACATCAATGTCATTCACACACAAAACTTTATTTACATATAATTCAATTAAAAGAATAACAAATATTTCTGTTTCATATCTGAATGAGCCAAATCTTATCATTGACACAAATTGTTTAATAATGAATTATGATCAAACAAAAATTTATGAATTTTGGGGTTATGCGACATTCTATTGGCAATCATATGAAATTACAATTCCAAAAACAGTAGAAATTATTCATGAAGGTGCATTTGAAAATTCAACATCAGTTGGTGAAATAAAAATTGATATGGATTCACAGCTCTTTACCATACAAGATTATGCATTCAGAAATTGTTCACGACTGATTTCATTTAATTCTTCTTTATCAAATTTGAGGAAAGTAGGATTATCATCATTTAAAGATTGTACAAAATTAAAATCATTAGGTTTTGGATCTTTAAATTTAGTTGTAATGAAAAATGCGTTTGAGAATTGTATTAACTTAGTAAACTTAACCAATATGACTAATATACCAAATGAATGTTTTTCTGGATGCACAAATTTGTCATCAGTTTCAATTATGGAAGGAACAACATATATTGGAGTAAGATCATTTGAGAATTGTATTTCATTAGAGAATATTATTATTCCATCATCTGTTGAAAAGATTTCAGAATATGCATTTATTAATTGCAACAATCTTAAATCAATCACATTTTCAGAAACAAATTCTCTATCAAATATATCAATCAATTCTATTTCAGGATGTGAATCTCTTAAAAACATCAGTAATTTCATATCAAATAATCATAAATACAAATGTATTGATAATACTCTTTATTATCAAAATAATACTAAACTCGATCTTATTTATCATTTGAGTCATTCTATTGATGATGTATTGATTATCAATTGTGATGCTATCTGTCAATATTCATTCAATCACAGCAACAACATTGTCAACATCAGTCTTTCCTCAGATAGTGTTTCGCATATTGAATCATATTCATTCAATGACTGCAAGAACTTAAAATACATTAACTTTCCTCTCTCAGTTGAAAGTGTTTCCACATTTGCATTCCATGAATGCAAATCTATTCGATGTCCTCTTTTAATAGAGAACACAAATATTAATTATCTAAAAATGATTAATGAATCTGGAATCCCTCCAAAACTCATTATTTCTTGCCGAGTTGTTCATGGAAGTAACAAAGTTCAAGTTATCAAGCGAATATATAATAAAACGCACGGCATTTTCTGGCACCATCTTTTGAAATAAAAATTATATATTAATAGTATCTCTAAAACCAATATTTAATCTCATTTAATGGAAAAAATCAGGTTCGCAATATATAAAATCTTTAAATCATATATATATATAAACCCTCGAAAATAATGCTTTATTCACTTCCATCTTATAAAGAAAAAACCAAATTGAAATAAAATGAAACAAGAGGTTTTTGCAATTACACATTTTTATCTTATTATTAGTTAAAAAATCATGCTTCAATTACTTCCCTGGATTGTTGTTCAATTTTCATCTTTTGTTGATGGAATTTGCTGTTTTTCTGATAAGCAGCAGGAAATCCAGGATTGTTTTTCTCAAATAATAAATCAATGAAAAACAAAACAAAAACAGAACATCAAGAAAGATGAGAAGAGCTGTAACAAGAATAAGATTCTTATTATTGATAAAACTATTTTCATTATCATGATTTTTCATTAAAAAGTCAATATTATCAGAAACAAAATGCATATGTTCATGAACATCTGAAGTATTCAAAAGATATGAATTCATAAATTTGAATTCTTCTATATTCGTTTTCTTTCCTAATAAATTATATGAATAGTTGAAATTCTTCTTAGGAATGAATAAAACAGAAGAATTTACAACTTTTGTTATATTTGAATCCGAATATATTTCATATTCAAAACCATGATTAGTTATGTTTAAAATAGAACCTGGAGAATAAATACAAGTATCATTAATCATTTCTTTTGATGAATAAATTTCATTTTCAAATGAAAGTAAAACATATTTGCATCTTCCTCTAATTAATTTCTCACAAACATATGATATAATACCACATGACGAAGATTTACTAATAATTGAACCGAATGTCTTATTCATGTGGTATGTTTTATTTGGATAAATCTCATAAATATTTCCATCCCATGATTTAAAGTAAACAGAATCATTAGAGATAACAATTAAAAATCCGAGATTTCCGTTTATATAGATTTCATTCGTATTTTCATATTTATAATACTCTAATTTCGATTTAAAGCCAACAACTCTTCCTATTTCTATTTCGCTAATTTCTTTCGTTTGTAAATTAATTCGATATGATGATGAATCCTTTGTTCTGTCGTTTGATTGGAAACACAATGAAAAATGAGTAAAATATTTCATCTCTGAAAATTCTAAAGAAAGAAAGTCAAAGTAATCTTCATTGTGGATCCATCGCTTGTAAATAAACTCTTTCGCATCTTTAGCTCTGAGCATGATAGTTCCTTCTTCGACAATCAAAATTAAAAAATTTTTAAGATTTTTCGTATTTTTGTCTTTGAATAGTGTAAATGATCTCGTATATACAAATATATCGGAATATGTCTTATTTAATACTATAATTTTGATTTCTGTTTGATAATTATTCTCTTTTAAAGTAAATATTGAATTTTTATCTAATAAAATTAAATTTTTGTTAGTAATCTGTTTGTTTTCAATTGAATTATTGTAAATACCCGATATCTTTTTGTTGCTATAAAGAATTGCACTCGACTTAATCGAATTAAATTGAAAATTTTCGTTTGGACTGCAATGAATTGACTTACTCTCAGTAATATTAATTACTTTATAGGTTTTTAAACTAATGGACTTGAATAAAAGTAAACTTATCATTTGTTTTCTCTCAGTTTCTTTATTGAGCCATAAAATAAAAAATCGTTCTAAATTCAAAAATTAAAAGTGACAATTGAATATACTTGTCTAATTATCTATTTTTAGATTTTAATTTTTTATAAATGTGAATTCACACTTTATTGTCACTTTTTTAAAATTTTATTCAAAATTTGCTTTCGATCCTATATTAATACACCAATAAAAATATCTAACCGAAAAACTTAGAATTCAAACACTATTGAAATTGATTTTTTTGAATGATGTGAATTCATCTAGTTCAAAATGTCTCTTGCACTCATTATCAACGGTACTACATTGCATGTCACACTTGCTAATAATTCTTCTGCTGAAGAGTTAAAGAAAAAGCTCTCATCAGGCAATGTTACGATTAATATGAAGGATTATTCCAATTTCGAAAAAGTTGGTGATCTTGGTTTCTCTTTACCAACTAACGATGAAGATATTCATACGGACTTCGGTGATTTAATTCTATATGAGGGCCATTATTTTGTCATCTATTATGATAAGAACCATTGGAATTTTACAAAAATTGGGAAAATCCAAAATATTTCGCAAAATGAGCTTAAAAAACTATTAGGAAGTGGAAATGTTACTGTTACTCTTAAATTAGGTTCCAACTAAGAGAATAAACCAAATTTAGATATTAAGTTTTATATTTTTTAAATTCCAATGTATTAAGGAAACTCAGTATGTAATGGTATAACAATATCTTGTAAATATGTATCATATTGTAAATTAAAGATTGATTTTGTGAAAATTTCGCACTAATATTAAAAGTTGTGAATTTTGAAGAGTGTCACATGATTGACAATGAATGTTCTCAACTATAACTAAAAGTAAATCATGAATTTGGATGGTTTGAATTCAAATTGAACATGAATTTAATAAATTTTGAACATTTTCGTAGATAATAAGATTTTGCAACATGAGTTTTACTTTAATAATCAATTTATCTATCATATTTGTAAGAACCTTTGAAATCACAAATCCAATAAAAGTGCCAAGTTTAGAATTATCTTCTAAAAAAAAATGACGTCGCCGCCTTGGAAATCTCAAATGATCGAAATCAAATCACGTGAAGGAGTTGTAACAGAAGTTTTTGCACCACTTCTTAAGTTCAGATGGCCATTATATGCAAAAACACCAACGGCAGCGCTTAAAAAATTAACAGTTTTACCAAAAAGCACTGTTCAAGCAATTCTTGAACATCTTTATGCAAATGTACCTGTTTCTAGAACTAATCTTCCAGCGTTCAAAACTTGCAAAATCGTTGACAAACTTCCCTTTGAGTCATCATACTACAATGATCTTATTAATTTACTCCACGATACAGAATCATGTGATTTTGAACTCATTGCAGAGAATGGAGAGATGACATTGCCAATTCACAAATATATTCTCGCAACACGTAGCTCGTATTTCAGAAATCTCTTCAAGGAAGATCCAGGTGTCGAAAGTATTACAATGCAAAGAATGAATGGAGATGCTTTGACTATGTGGGCCAAATATATCTACACAGGCGACTTTGAGACCACAACAGTTTCTGCATTACCAGAGCTTATAGGATCAGGATATACATATGGACTTCGTGATCCCGCTGAAATCGATTATCTTGCAGTTTATGCATTACAGAGCTCATTAAACTCCGAAAATGTCGAATCTGTTCGTGAAAAAGCAACAGATTTGTGCTTACCAGAAATTATTGAACTTACAGATTCAATTCCTCTTGGAACAATCTCTGAATAAAATTTTTGTAGTCTATTTTCAAATTTCTAAATATTTAAGATAAGTATATAATTTCAAATATGTCCGGGAAGATCAGGTTAACTAACTACCTAAATAGCTAAAAAACTCCAAAAACCACCCTTTAATGGATGCAGTTTGTATCTCCTAGTATATTTTCGAGATGAATTTTTTCAATTGAATATTTTATCAATTGTGAAAATAAATTGTATTTACTAACATGAATTTATTTTCAAAATTATACAAAAATTTTTTCAATATCATTTCAAACGAAGTCAATACTTCCTCTCAATTTTTATTTTTTATTATTATGAATATATTGTTCCTTCTTTTTATAAGCACTTACAAAGATATTGATCAGAGTTGCTATTCAGACGATGGTAAAACACTAAATAAAGTCACAGATCAATCTCCATATCTAAGAATTTCTGCAAAATGTGAAACAATTGGTTACGAATGCTTTTGTGAATTAAAATCATTAATAGGCTTTTCGTTTGAAGAAAATCCAAACTTAAAAACAGTTGGAATGCGCAGTTTTTATGGCTGTAAACAACTGTCATTTATCAATTTATCAACATGCAGTAAACTTACAGATATTGGTTGGTGGGCTTTTCGAAACTGCAAAAATGTAAGTGAAATTCTACTTCCAAAAGGCCTTTTAAAGATAGAAATTGGTGCTTTTTCGTATAATATATTAGTAACTAATATTACAATTCCTGTCTCTGTTCGCAGTATAGATTCATTAGCATTCAAAGGTTGTAGTAACTTAGAACATGTATTTTTTGAAGAAGAATCAAATTTAAAATCCATCGGAGATAGTTCTTTTGTAGGAACTGCAATTACATCTTTTCAAATTCTAGAAAATGTGGAAACAATTAATGGAGCAGCATTTAATTATGAAAAATTAACAAATCTAACAATACATCCTAAAAATAAGTATTTAATAATTGAAAATCACTGTATTTATTCAAGCAACAGAAAAACTTTATTTGCAATATTTAATAAATCCATCGAATCTTTTGATGTTCCTAACTATGTTACAACTTTAGGAGAAAGTTGTTTTTCTGGTAAATCAATTACTTCAATAACAATTCCAGATTCTGTTACAAAATTTGGTTATTGCTGTTTTGAATATTTAAACATAACTACTATCGAACTTCCCGATTCAATTAAAGAGATTAGCTATAGTTGTTTCCAATCTTCAACTTTAACTACAATAACTATTCCAGAAAGTGTAACATCGATTGAGGATCGGGCTTTTTATAATTGTAGAAATTTGAAAAATGTTACAATTTTGGGTCCCATTAGTAACTTTGGAATTTCGATATTTCCTGGATGTTATTATCTTGAACTTGTTAATTTCCCAAATTTTCCAACATGTGTAAATAGTATTTCTATATTTGGATCTTCAAAATTATCTAAATTAACAATATATTTCACTTGCAAAACTTTATTTTCAGCTGAAGCATTTGATTATGCTATAAAAGTCAAAATAGAATATTTCCTAAATGTTAGTCACCGTTACGGCTTTTTCTTTGGGGGCGAGCTTGCGAGCCCCCAAAAAAAGAAAAAACCGTAACGGTAAGCTCACATTTCGGCATAGTTTAAGTCTAGGTTTTGCATTTTAAAATGTTTGTTACCTTATCTTCTTTCAAAAAGTGGCAAAAATTTGTTTGAAATTTGAAAAAGATATTTTTATTTGCATAAATGACATTCAACTAAGCTGTAGCATGATTCTTTTGCATGCTCTAGTTTTTTTCTCAGTTCAATCTCCTTCCATACTCTTGCTTGTACCAGTAAGATCGCACCAAAATTCTCAAAAATTAAGATCTCCAAATTTTATGTCCAACTCCAATTATCAAACGCCCTCATTAACGCCACTCATAGCCATCTTTCATGCATGAGAAATCGTTATTAGAAGATTTTTTACGGCTAATTATCTGATTCAATTCAGATCAATACTCAAAGCCCCATTATTTATTTATAAATCCTTGTTTGTCGCCTATGCGAATAAAAATTCTTTTTATATTTTAAACATTTTTTTTTCACTTTGGAAGGAGAAAGGTGACTAACATTTTAAAAATGCAAAAACCGACTAAACTATTCTGAAATTCAAGATCCTATAATTTCGAAAAACTCAATAATTATGAATTCAAATCAAACAGAAATATATGAATTTTGGGGATATAATTATGATAATATTACAATACCTAAATCAGTAGTAACAATCAGAGAAAGTGCATTCGAAAATTCAACCCTTACAAGTATCATATTTGAAGAAGATTCTAACCTTACTTCAATTCATGATTATGCATTTCGAAATTGTAGTAATCTTGTTACAATAGAACTTCCTGAATCTGTTAAAAATATTCATGAATCTGCCTTTTCAGGATGTCAACTCTTGAAAAATCTAACATTTTTAGGACCTATAGAAAATATTGAAGACAATATGTTCATTAATTGCAACAATTTAGAGTTTGTAATATTTCCAAAATCATCAATGATTGTTAATTGTAACTCATTCTGTACAAATAATTGTCCAAAGTTTATGTCATTCACTCATAAAACTTTGTTTTCATTAGGATCAATTGATATTATAACAAATGTTTTAATTTCATATTTTGACGAACAAAATCTTATAATTACAACAAACACAATAATTATGAATTCAAATCAAACAGAAATATATGAATTTTGGGGATATGATTATAATAATATCACAATACCTAAATCTGTAATAGCAATCAGAGAAAATGCATTCGAAAATTCAACACTTACAAAAATAATTTTTGAAGAAGATTCTAATCTTCATTCAATTCAGAGTTCTGCATTTAGGAACTGTTCGTTTATCACAACAATTAACATTACATCTCTAAATATAAGTATAATTTATATATTTTGTTTCAAAGATTGTATCAATTTAACATCTATCTGTTTATCAGCTTCAAATTTAATAATATTAAATAATGCATTTGAGAATTGTTTTAAATTAGAGAAAGTGAACGGAATTTTCAGTATTCCAGAATTTTGTTTTTCAGGATGTAATAGTTTGAAAGAAGTAAATATTCATCATGGTTCAAAATACATTGGATATAAATCATTCGAACACTGTTATTCATTAGAGAGTATACATATTCCATCATCAGTTCGTGTTATCTCAGATTATTCTTTTATCGACTGCAAGAAACTAACAAGCATCATCTTTGAAGCAACTAATTCATTAGAAAGAATCTTTATTAATTCATTTTCAGGATGTGAATCTCTCTCTTCTTTAAGCAATTTTGAATCAAACAAATATAAATGTGACAATAATACAATATATTTCAATAATAATAATAATCAAATTCATCTTATTTATCATGCAATTAATTCAACAGAAACAGTTCTTATTGTTAATTGTGATGTTATCTGCCAGTATTCATTTAATTACAGCAAAAATATTGAGAATATTAGTATCTCAAATAATAGTGTTTCTCTTATTGAATCATTTTCATTCAATAACTGTATTAATCTGAAACATATTAATTTCCCAATATCTCTCCAAACAATTCATCCTAATGCATTCAATCAATGCAATTCTATTGAGTGTCCTATCATTGAGAACAATTCAATCAGTTATATCAAAACGATTGAACAATCTGGAATCAAACGAAATACATTAATTAAATGTAGGGCTGTACAAGATTTAAAAAAACATTGCCGGGTTACCGTAGAGGCCTAAAAAAATCGCGCCTCGGCGGCAAGCCGCCTCGGCATTAAGAATGCGCATCTAAATTTTTATATGTCCTTCTTTCTTTTATTTTTCCCTTCCCTTCCTTTTCTTTTTCTTTTTTTCCCTCCTCTTGCTCTCATTTACCTTTTTTTTCCTTTTCTCATCATTTTTCAAAATTTAAAATTTTTATCAAAATCTTGCCTATAAAAGCAGATTATGGAACCTTTTAATGCCTCTTAATCAATATTATACAGCATAAAGCATATTAAATGAAAGTAATTACGTATAAATTTATTTTATTATCTTATTTATTAATTCTTTAGCATGTATTGTTTAATATTAACTTTTCTGTACATTAAATATGATATCTCCAAAGTATGAATGCCTTGTAACGAAACGAAAACTTAATTTTATGTTGAATATTTGTCACAAACATTAGATTATTAAAATATATGTTGGATATCCCTTAGTATGAGACTTCATGACTCTTGTTGTCTAACGTGAGCTTTGGATTGCAAGCTTGCTACAGCACATAAGTATTTTGTGGTTAAAAAAACCACATGAGCTTTAAAAACTATAAAACCAAAAATAATTGTTATAATTTAAATGAAGAAGTAATTTAAAACGATTTTATTTATGATCAAATTTTTTATATTTTTTTTGATCAAATCCATTTTAATAGAATTTATATACTATTCATCTATTAGTAAACACTACCGTATATTATTTTTTAAGCTATCTTATTTTTTGAACTTTTATTCAAATCTTTGGTCGCAAGAAGAATTGCATGATAAATAAAAACATTTAATCAAAATCAATTTTATTTTTCATATTCAAATGGACTGAGTGTTAACATTTAACATTTTTTGCTAATTGTCGTCAAAAATTAGGCGTAAAGCAAAAATTGATATTTCATATGGTTTTATGATAGATAAGCATTATATTCCCACTCATTATATTCGTAAATTTTGAGGTTTATCCTTCGCTTTTAAGATCATTGAATTTGATTTTTATATAAAATAGTTATATATTAGAAAATAATATGAGTTTATGTGATATTATTTTTCAGAAGATTTCATTCTATATGCCTATGAAAAGTACTCTCCAAACTAACTTTTTCCTAATTATAATTAAATCTAGAATATTGTATTATGCTTAGTATTATTTCATTTTTCTCATTCAATTTAGAATTTACAAATGTCAAAAAATTGAGAGCTGTCACTTTTGATGAATTTCTGTTTATTACAGCATTGTTATTAATAATGAAAAATAAAGCTTATTTCAATGAAAACTGTTCTGCAAATTTATTTCACTTTTGACCTCACTTTTTCCGTAATTCAATTTTTTTACTTTTAATATTTTAGATCTTCATAATATCATTTGAAAAATTAACCATATAAAAAAATCAAGTTATCAATTCACTTTTTCCGTAATTCAAAAATCAAAAATATAAATAATATATCTTTTTATCAAATATTATTATTATATTCTATGAAAAATGAGGTCCGGAAATTTTGCGGATTCCCGTAACTCAATTTTACGGAAAAAGTGCAGTAAACTATTCAAAATACGGAAAAATTGGTGTAAACTAATGATTTTACGGTAAAATCACGGAAAGTCCCGGAAGAATATATGTGCCTATATGAAATTATACAAAAATGAATCAAACGCATTTTAAAAGATTGTTCTTGTATTATAAATGCTATTCGCAGATTTATTTGTTGAAGAAAATTACCAAATTTTTGCCGATTTACAAAAAATGATTTACAAAGCATATTTTTATAAGGCTTTAAAAATCTTTAAAATGTGACCGGTGACGGAAATCCATGGTAACCAACCGCGGTTCCCGTTTGGAATGCCATAATTAAATGTAGATTAATTAATGTTTCTCATGGAATTGATCATCAATTATATCGTCGCAATATATTGGATTACCGAAGACGATAGCTCGCAAAATGAATAATAATAACCATGTATTTTTAATTCTATTGAACTACATCATTTAATTTTAAGTAAAAAATAAGTTAAAACTCGCTTATTTTTTCAACAAATATCTCCATTCTCAAGCTTAATATGTAAGATTTACAAGTGGTATCAATTCTATTTTTCCCATCAATGCCGTAACATTTTATCAAAAAATTATCATCATTCTATTTCAAAAGGTGTATTTTTGTGAAAAAACACTTGAAAGAATTTCAATGTGCTCACAAAAATATAATTTTTGTAATAAAATTTAGTCTTCATTACCAATATGTATTATTTCTGTTCTTCTTAAAAAGTAACAAAATTACCATATTAGTTCAATGTCTTGCTAAAAAGATAAATTTATGAGATTGCGTTGCAATGGATTGAGTTTATGATTTTGACTTCGCCAAAAAAAATTGACTTGAAATAAAGGATGAAGTGAAATTAATACGATGCTTGTATCAAACATAAGGAGCTACTTAATACAATATTTACTATATTTACAAATTGATGATATGAATTAAGATTTTTTCATTATACTGTAAAACATTTGGATTTTTTCGTATTAATTAATTTACAATAATATTGACCATTTGAATGTGTAATAAACAGAAATTCATCAAAAGTGACAGCTCTCAATTTTTTGACATTTGTAAATTCTAAATTGAATGAGAAAAATGAAATAATACTAAGCATAATACAATATTCTAGATTTAATTATAATTAGGAAAAAGTTAGTTTGGAGAGTACTTTTCATAGGCATATAGAATGAAATCTTCTGAAAAATAATATCACATAAACTCATATTATTTTCTAATATATAACTATTTTATATAAAAATCAAATTCAATGATCTTAAAAGCGAAGGATAAACCTCAAAATTTACGAATATAATGAGTGGGAATATAATGCTTATCTATCATAAAACCATATGAAATATCAATTTTTGCTTTACGCCTAATTTTTGACGACAATTAGCAAAAAATGTTAAATGTTAACACTCAGTCCATTTGAATATGAAAAATAAAATTGACTTTGATTAAATGTTTTTATTTATCATGCAATTCTTCTTGCGACCAAAGATTTGAATAAAAGTTCAAAAAATAAGATAGCTTAAAAAATAATATACGGTAGTGTTTACTAATAGATGAATAGTATATAAATTCTATTAAAATGGATTTGATCCAAAAAAATATATAAAATTTGATCATAAATAAAATCGTTTTAAATTACTTCTTCATTTAAATTATAACAATTATTTTTGGTTTTATATTTTTTTGGATCAAATCCATTTTAATAGAATTTATATACTATTCATCTATTAGTAAACACTACCGTATATTATTTTTTAAGCTATCTTATTTTTTGAACTTTTATTCAAATCGAGTGTGGGACAAACTATCCAGTGTCACTTTTTTATTAACCTTATTTTAAAAAATTAATAAAATAATAATAAAAAATTATTTGAATCTTTTACATTAATTGTTTCTTTTTTAAAAGTACCTTTAAAGTACAATAAACAAGATTTGAATCTATTGATCCTTGTTGCAAACTTGAATATATTGCTTCAAGCATTTTCAAACATTCGACTAACTTTGAGTGTACATATATAATTGTTATACTGAGTACTTTCTATCTGTGTTACTTATTTGAGTCTAAGAGCCATTTGTCAGATTTTCCCGAAATGCAAGGTTAAGATTTTAGCAGCGACTAACTTTGGGTGTACATATATAATTGTTATACTGAGTACTTTCTATCTGTGTTACTTATTTGAGTCTAAGAGCCATTTGTCAGATTTTCCCGAAATGCAAGGTTAAGATTTTAGCAGCGACTAACTTTGAGTGTACATATATAATTGTTATACTGAGTACTTTCTATCTGTGTTACTTATTTGAGTCTAAGAGCCATTTGTCAGATTTTCCCGAAATGCAAGGTTAAGATTTTAGCAGCGACTAACTTTGAGTGTACATATATAATTGTTATACTGAGTACTTTCTATCTGTGTTACTTATTTGAGTCTAAGAGCCATTTGTCAGATTTTCCCGAAATGCAAGGTTAAGATTTTAGCAGCGACTAACTTTGAGTGTACATATATAATTGTTATACTGAGTACTTTCTATCTGTGTTACTTATTTGAGTCTAAGAGCCATTTGTCAGATTTTCCCGAAATGCAAGGTTAAGATTTTAGCAGCGACTAACTTTGAGTGTACATATATAATTGTTATACTGAGTACTTTCTATCTGTGTTACTTATTTGAGTCTAAGAGTCATTTCTACCATAGAACTAGATATTGTCTCTCATTAAATATATATAACTGTAAACTGCTTAATTCATTTATCTATTTAGATAAAATTATATTTATATAAGATTTCATGTTATTATTTCATCTTTATTATTTTTTTATTCCTTTGAAAAGTGACACTGGATAGTTTGTCCCTTTCTCTATTCAAATCTTTGGTCGCAAGAAGAATTGCATGATAAATAAAAACATTTAATCAAAATCAATTTTATTTTTCATATTCAAATGGACTGAGTGTTAACATTTAACATTTTTTGCTAATTGTCGTCAAAAATTAGGCGTAAAGCAAAAATTGATATTTCATATGGTTTTATGATAGATAAGCATTATATTCCCACTCATTATATTCGTAAATTTTGAGGTTTATCCTTCGCTTTTAAGATCATTGAATTTGATTTTTATATAAAATAGTTATATATTAGAAAATAATATGAGTTTATGTGATATTATTTTTCGGAAGATTTTGTGTTCTTCTTCAAAATTTTATTTTTTTATATAAAAGAATCTTTACAAAATATACATTTACTTTAATTAATATTTAAAAACGTGCTCTATCAAAAGTTCCAAAAATTCAATATTTTAGCTTTTCTGAGGTGTCACTTTTGATGAATTTCTGTTTACAACAAATGATTTTGTATTTAATCAAATTGTTATTAGTTTTAAGGGTGGCGGAAAGTGATGTGACCGAATAACAAAAAGTGAAAATAACTAAATAAATATTTGAAATTCTTTTGTTATTGTAGCATACCTAAATAGTATATATAAACAAGTCTTTACTACAAAGTTTGTATAGTCTGAGGTCTTTATCTGGTAGAGAAAGAATGAATGAAAAAAATGAATTTTCAACTATATCTAGTCTCTGGTTATTGAATTAATATCAAAGATACTTAAGGTATGCAATATAGGTACATAAATCTATCTTTTCTATTGAGCAAAACACGTATCTATTAAATTCGTCCAAGATGCAATAACTGATGAGATCTGGAACTACTTATCAAATTTGCACAAAATCAATGTATGAGAATAAATAACATATAAATACCAATTACTTCCGATACTTTTCGTTACAATTTGCTCCCATTCAGAGTTTAATTAGATTTGTATCTAGTCTTTCAATATAAGATAAGGAGTCTTTCTTTATATTTAAATATATATAATCTATTGTTATCTATATTTTATATTGAGTAAATTTTGTGTTTAAAGCTCCAATCATGAGATATTTAAAGTTTTTTACCCCTATCAAACGCATAATTCACAAATTTATCATAGGAGGGAAAACCAAAAGCTTTCATATATGATAATGAAATTATGGCACACATATACTACTATAAATGAGTTTTGTATCCATATAATTTTTCCCAAAAGATATCAAAAATATGACGAGATAATAGCATTTTATTTTTGGTCATTCACTTCACTTTCCGCCACCCTTAACAATATATTTTTACGATATTTAAAGGTTATTTCTAGATAATTAAGAACATTGGTACTTTAATGATAGATAATACTCATTTTTTAAGATTAATTCCAGAAATCAAAAAGGATAACACGCATTTAATCATGAAAAAAAGTATTCAAACTCAAGATAGAATGTTAATGATCATGTTCTCCGAATAATCAATCTGCTGTACGTTTGTGGAAATTTTTTTTCTAAACGTATATAAATTTATTCAAAGTATGAAAACTACTAAGATTAACAAGACAAGCAAGAATAAACCAACTACACCTGATGATTTAGCTGCATTAAAGAAAGAATTAAAGAACGCAATTCAGCAATGTGACTTTGCACGAGCAAAACAGCTTGATGCACATATCAAATCGTTACAAAGACAAAATTCAGATACTGAATTCGAGAAAAAGAAAATGACATCCAAACTCAAATTCAATATCACACGAGAATCTATTGGAAAAGAAATTATTCAGTGCCAAATGAAAGCAAACCAAGAAGAAACTAGAACAATAAATGAGTTTCAGAAAAGAATGCTGAAATTAAAGGAAGATCATCAGAGAGAAAATCAATTATTAGACGAAAAGCTTGCAATTGAGCTTGAGAAGGCATATACTCGCCCAGTTCCAGAAGCAGAGTCAATAAAAACATATGCACAGAAGCAAGCTACACTAGGCAACTTCAATGTTGCAGAGCAAGCAATGGAAGAATACAAAGAGATTCATACTAAAAGTATTCAACAGAGAACAGATGACCTAATCATTAAATTCCACCAAGATCAGATGGTTGTTACTGCAAGGCAAGAAGCACAGCTTGCAAATTGCAATGATAAATTACAGAACGCCTTAAAATCCATTCGAGATAATCTTGCACTTGAGATTAGTAGGAAGAATGGTGAATTAAACTCTGTTTCTTTGAGATTCGGACTTGGACCTTTGAGGGAAGAGTCCATGATCAGGCCAGTCCAAATCAACAATGAAAATTCAGATGTGATGCAGTCATCTCTTATATCGACCGCAAAATCACCGAAGCCAAAGACAACTGGAAGGCTTAGCATGTTAGCTACAGCCAAAAGTCCAAGAATGACTCCAAAATAATTTTGTAGATTTATTTTCTCTATGTTGTAATAAAAAATCATTATTTGAAAAAAGAAATAGAATATATCTATTAAAATGTGTGACACTTCACTCAAGCTTGCGGATGCTATGCAGGGAACAATAGTATATATGGGCTCATTAAAAAATCCGCTAAAGATCTAGGTAAAGATTTCAAAATATTTTTGGAAAAATTCATGGTGTTCACATTTCTAAGATGATAAGATTTATTTGATACATCCAAGTGTGGAGGAAATCTAAACAAAATTAAGAAATTCTCTTATTTGTACTATTTTCTTCATTATGTGATAACAACAATCAAATAATCATTACTTAAAAATGAATCACCATATATTGTATTTTCAAATATATTTCCAAATTTCTTGCGGCTAAATTCCATCAAACCTTATCAATAACAATATATTTGGTTCTTCAATGTATCCTCATAGGTTTTGTTATATAAAAACAAGATGAAAAAGAAATATTTTGTAGTTTTAAGGAAAAACGTAGTATTTAAAAAAGAAAACATGATATATTTTTATTTTCGTAATGATATTCTACATAAAATTTTTTGAATCGCTAATATAATTTCAGAATTTTTGTTTGTTAACAAAACAGAGATTGAAGGAAGCATTTCTATCAAGTGTTCATTAGTAGAAACAGATCCTTCCACAAATATTGATGAATCCGAATTCGATTTTTCAATAAATTTCAAAATTTCCAAAATTTCTTCGTCATTTTTGGAATTTTTGAGGATTTCTGATAGAGAATCGACCACAATATTTGTATATCTCTTCGAAATCTCATTATCATATGTTTGGGACTGATTATCCAAGTATAATTCCCAAATCGAAAGCACTGGCTTCATAAAACCTTTATATTCATCGAAGAATAATTCTTGGCGTTCATTATCAAGCCTAATAAAGAATTTTGCAATGGAATTTCCCGTTTTCGGTTTTAACTCAATGTCACTTTTTCCGAATTCAATGAGCGAATCGAAAACGCTGAAAATTTTTCCATCAGCAATACTCATATTGTTTTCAACGAAATACAACAAGAGTCTTCTTGCTTCAACAAGGTGGAATATATCTTTGGAAAGTATGAATAGCTGTGGTAAATCCTCTTTTTTGACCTGATTTTCACAAATAGACAACATATTCTGCAAAGCGATCTCGGAAAGTGGCTGGTTCTTTGTCTGTGCAGCGCAAATGATACAGAACTTATAGATTTCTGTCAATAATTCGGTATCCAGTGGAAATAAAAGTTGAATTGATTCAAATACTTTATGTGCAGTGGGAGGAAGGAACTTTCCGCAGTCAAGCTCAATTAGGAACAAATGCATGATCCTTAGCCATCGACTGATCATCTCGAAATCTACTAGTTCCTTAGATCCTGGCAAAGTATTTTGAATAACTCTTCCCCAAGACGTCCAAACACCATTGTTAGCATCGTACTTGTCTATAGAATACTTCGCGATTACTTCTAGAGAGTCCATTAAGTAATCTCTCGTTTCTTTGCTCAATTCTTTCGTCATCAAAATTTCTTCATAGAATTGCAAGGCCTGGCAAGCGACATCCCTCTTCTTTATCTGCTGGAAAAATGTCTCCTGCTGTTTAATTAACGCTCTGATGAAGTCTACCGGAAAATTTTCAATATGAGAAAATTTATCCCACATTGCACGAGCAACATGAGCCAATTCGTACAGTACGAGTTGTTCTGTTGACTCTGTTGCTTGGTTTGCTTGAGGGAAACCGTTCAAAATCGGGAAGAAACAGTCATTTGGAATAAATTCAACTACATCATCAGGCAAACTATTAATATTACTCATAATCAACGAAAAGAAAGTACGAGCAGCGCATAGAGCTACATCATTTCGCTGATCTTTTATCAGAGAAACCAATTTACTAAAAATTAATCTCCACATTTCGGAAGTTTTCGCCATTGCTATTACTGACCACATTAATTCGAATGCGGACAATGCGATATTGATATCAGTGGTCTGCAAAGCGAATTCGAAAAAGAGATTTGTCGATAATAATTTGGTTTCTATGTCCAAAAGGAACAACAGATCACCGCAAATGATTTGTACGCATCGGAATGACATGGCAAGAATGTCCTCTTCGTCCTGGAAGTTTTTCGGACTCAATGCGTTGATCAAATACGGCCAACCGTGTTTTATTATTGTTCCTTTTTGAGCGAGAATGGCTTTGATCTGGTCGAGAAGTACGGATCGACCTTGGACTTCGAGTTTTCTTCTACCGGCGAATAATCTTTCCAAAGTTATTAGTAAATCTTCTTCTGTTTCCTTTGTAAAGTCTTCTTGTAACAAACTAACGAAAGTATTCAATGCTTCGTTGGTCGTTTGATGGTCATCTAATAATAAGAGCAAATAACCTTCAAGGGATTGCCAAATGATATGGAATCTGTGTTTGTTTGAGCAGAGTATCTTAACGATGAACGCTAATGGCCATTTCTTTGAATCTGTGTTAATACTTAACAATGCGAGGACAACTTCGATGACTTGGTCGTCGTTTAGCTTCGTAGAGAATATTCCTGTATCAGGGATCCAGTTAGAAGGTATCAAAGCCTGAAAGATTTTTCCCCAATTTCCTACAAACGAAGAAGGAGCATTTTCTATCAGACTTGTAACAGTTTCGAAGGTCGCCGTTTGAATGAACGACTGAGAACTGGCTAAACATGTACAAAAAGTGCAAGATACGGATATTCTTGCGTCATCAATGTTTAATTCGTTGGAAAGCATGATCAGAAATGTTAATGATTGGATACTCAAGTAAATGCACTCATCAGTTATGAATGGAAGTGAAATCGAAATAATCATAAGTAAATCATTCCAACAACTTTGGATCAATTTCTTGATATTATCATTCTTTATCTTATATGACGTCTGAATAAACGAAATGGCAATGTCTACGGGCCCGGATTGGAACAATTCTGTGCCATTTAATTTTCCGGCCACTTTTGCCGATATAGAAATGTCGAATTTTGTGTCCCCAATAAATGAATCGCAAAACGGTTTCAGATTTCTGATGATCGATGTCAAGATATTCGCATTTCTATCGCAATTACTCAGGAAAAGAGGGATAATGTTGACTGATCTCGTGAATGACAACAAGAAGAACTTCATCGGACGTTCGGCATCGACTCCTTTTGGTACTAAATCGTTCAAAAACGAATTTACGATTATTATTGCCTGGGAAGGGGCCTTTTTGATGTATTTTTCGAAGATAGTAACAAAAAAGTCGATGGGTGCTTTCTGGGAAATGGCGATTTTGAGTGTTTCTTGGAATAAATTTGTATAAAAATTCGTAATTATGATGTTTTGAAGCAAATAGAAGGCGAAATCTTGATGTAGAAACTCTAATCGAAGCCAATATGGTTTGTTATGTGCACAAAGTTGTATTAAATCGCGATAAAATACATAAGCTAATTTTTCTGTGTGTTTCTCAATAGTTTTAGGTATTTCTTCAACTAGTGAAAGCGATATATCGATTTCGCGCTTTAATTCTGTAACAATGTTGTTTTTTGATTGGAATATTGCTGTATTAAACTGTTTTAACAATTGTTCAACAGCAGCACGTGCGGATGTGCATACTACTGTATCTTGTGAGTTGCTGAAGTTCAAAACAATTGAAAATATTGATTGCAATGTTGTTGCACCGTAAATATGATCTTGGAATATAGATGTAGTTAATTGAATGACTTTAAGTGATGTATTTTGATCCATTGAGTTCAAATTACCTTCAATAATTCGTACAATTTGCGTAGCTGCATCATCTCGAATAAAATAATTTGATAAAAGAACGCACATGATACATACAAGCGGATTTGATAACTTTGCAGTCTTCTTTGTCTTCAATATGTCTGAAAATGCTTGTATGATTGATGATTTTGAAGAATCGACTGGAATAATGAATTCTGGATCATTTATTTCTTTAAGTGCTGCAGAAACAGAGTTTCTGACATTATCGGGCATCATAAATCCAGAAAATTTCTTTAGTTCTTGGTCAAATTCATCAAAACTTGGGTTCATTTTGATTTGATCTATAAAAATTTAATCGACTTCCTTTCAATTTGTTATCGTTAAAAATAAAAATCATTGTTTATCATTTTTTGGTTCTAAGAAATTTTTTTTGAAATAGATTTTTTTTGTTGAAATATTGATATGTGTTATGTGAATTATATTTTTCATATTTTTTGTAAATTAATTTTGAATTAGTCAGGAATTATATTGAATTATGAGAAAAAAAAGAAGTGGAGGTTTTCCACCCTATGACTTTATATTCCAAATCAATGGATATGCAGATCATGTAACATATAGTTATAATCCAGAAACTAAAAGATATTACCGCACAAACGGTGTATTATATCCACCTGAAGAACACAAGGAACCTAAACAAAAAGCAAACCAACAACCACAACAACAATTAATGCAGCAACAACAAAATCCAAGAGCTCAACAAGAAGGATATCAAAATGAAAACTTTACTGCTCAATATAACCAAGGAAACATGCCACAGGCTCAACACTATCAACAATCACAATATCAGCAACAATTACAACAAAATCAAAGAGCTCAACAAGAAGGATATCAAATAGATAACTTATCTGTTCCATATATTTCCACTTATCTGTTCCAAGGAAACATTGAAGAACAACAGCTTCCAGAAGATGAATTTCTTCCACCACAAGCTTCAACACCACCTAACCAACAACTTCAATTCAATAGTACCGGAGAAAGAGATACTGAAGAAGAAGAAGAAGAACAAAATGAAACAACTAAAACAACTCAAGAAAATTCTGATAATGATAATAATCGACAAAAACTTTTCATAAATGTTCATGATGATATAAATTTATTTCCAGATGATGAAGAACGACCCTTTTGGAATAGATAGAAATTCATGTATGCAGTCAAGAATTTATTGTGAAGAAATAAGTCTTCGGATTGTTCCAGATCCAAACTTAGTTTCAGTTTTTGCTGTTTTGTGTGAGGAAAATTTGAGTACTAACACATTATAAATCAGATTATAAACATGTTATTTAAAGGTTCGCTTTCTTAGTTTACAATTTTCAATTAATTTTATGTTTATTTTAATCATTATATTGTATATAGTCTTGTTATAAACTTTTTTATTTAGTTAAAGCTTCCAATCAGGAACAATTAAATTAATTATATTCAAATTTCAAACCGTTTTGAATGAATTCTTGAAGAATATCAATGTGTTCATTAAGGAATATATAATGGGCTTTTTTATTTTATTTTATTTTCACTGTCATGCTATTAAGATAAATATATGAGATTGCATGCAATGTGTATAAAATGAGTGTAGTAGCAATAATATTAAAATCAACGATAGCCTTCGTTTGGCCGGACCCTAAAAGATTCTATAGAAAACGAAAAGTGACAAAAAGGAAATATAAATGTTATCTTTTTTTTCTTTTCTCGGATAAATAGCTTGGAATACACAACATTTTTATATCCATCGATAGTAAAGAATAATTACGACAGTTATCTTTCACAAATTCTCGAAATAGAAATTCCTGAAAGATTTTCTTACAAAAGTATTCTTATTACTCCGAAATTCCATAACAAGAACAAAATGTTTGTTGTTACTACATATAAATCGCATAATATAAACCTTAATTCCACTCTACAACCAGATAATCAAGAATTTTCGGAATTTCCAGCAAATGTTTCAAGAATTTCTTTCAGAATTGTTACAGATTGGGAAAACTCCGACTATATTCAAGTTAAAATTACATATAAAGGCGACAAAAGTATTACATTAAATAGAAAATCTTATATTTTTCGCAAAATCATATTAGAAGCTCTCAGAATTCTTATTATTCTGTTTTTCTACTATTTTATGAAACATTCACATGCTCCAAAGTTCAATCTTAACCTAATTTTACTAATCAATATTATCTTTTTCAGTTTTCACAATGATATCAACTTGAAAATGGACGCAACAATGAATGACATCATAATCAAACTATACACATATAAAAATTCCAATGAAAAATTAATTTCTTACTCCAAATCGAAACTTAAAGAAAAATTTTACAAAAAAATTGATTTTTCAAAATGCCAATTTTGTGACATTGAAAATGATAAAAACATTAATATATCTAGATCTACAGAACGAGATGTTTGTGTCATGACTAACATTGGGAAATCAGCAGAACCATATTCCGCAATCAGTTTGCGAAGTGTTGGATTTAAAGGAAAAATTTTCATTTTTTCAGACAAAACAATTTCATCTAAATTCGAAAAATGTGGTATTGAATGGATTCCAACTACATTATTTAGTAACATTGGATACGAGGTGATGTATTCTCGATTCTTTATCATTAAAGAATTTATTGAATTGTTTTATGAAGATATTGATCGAATTCTTTATTTTGATTGGGGTGATACACATTTCCAAAGTGATCCATTTACATTTGATGATAAATCTCTTCATGTTAGTGATGAAAGAATCAAATTTGGTAATGAAATGATCAATGATCTTTGGATATCAAAAATAAATTTCATGAAAACAGAATATTTTGAAAACAAAAATATTATTTGTGCTGGATTATTTCTTGGAGATAAAGATTCTGTTTATAAAGCAGTTTCTGTCTTGTTTTCTGCATGGATTTATAACGAGAAGCAACTGAATGATCAAATAATTTATAATGTTTTTGTTTATAGTCATATTCCAAAAGAAATTGACATTAATGTTGTTGTAGATCCAAACTTGGCTTCAGTAGGAGCTGTGATATTTAATGAAGCTAATATTTGGCGCATTGATAAACTCGGCTCTTTTAGTGATTTAGTAACTGGTTTTAAGCCAGCTGTTATTCATCAATATAATAGAAATACAGAACTTACAAAAATGTTTTCGTCTCAATGTCATTATCAAATTAAAAGACATTAAAATATCAGATAATTTTTTACATGAGGTGCAAATTTCTATTGCGTCATATTCGACATTCGAATTTTGTTTTGTTTAATTTCAATTCAAAAATTTGTAATAGGGGTATTGGATGTCTTTCTTATGTTCAAGTCAGAGATAATATATTTTTAGAAAATAACTTTTAAAAATTGATGTGAACATTCAAACAGACACTTTTTTCAATATTAATTTTTTAGTTTTTTCTTATTAATTACGTTTGCACATGAATTGTACGATGAATTTACTATAAGGAAATCTTATAAAGAATGTATATTAAAATTCGTAAAGTCTCTTGTTCAAATAATTGATAATCGATTTGGGAGACTTTACGTAGGAAAATAGGTTAACAATTGACGAAAATTATTACCAACTGTTAATCATATACTAATATTTATAATGTAAATCCATCTGAAGACAATATTAATTTGAATATTCAATGGCATTCAAATTCATAAATCATCTTGATGAGCCTGATTATAATACATGGTTCTTCTTTTTTGGAAGTGGACTTCCTGACATATGGATTCATGAGAGCAACCTCGTATCTGAAGGAAAAAATATTTTTATAGATCATACAAACTTCGAAAATTTTCAAGACAGAATTATAAATATTTTTTATGAGAATGATAAATTTTTGATTTCTTTCTCCTTATTCTTCAACACTACTAAAATTTATACTTTATGCGGTGGTAATATTATATACAATTGTCAGGGATCATGTGTACAATATCGTGTATGTACGGTCAATTCAAAAATTATGGGAGATAGTACTGGATGCCATTCTTATATTCAAATTCAAAATAATATTAATGCTTCAAATTTTGTTATTGAATCTTCATTCACCCAATGCGATGGTGGAGAAGGTACTGTTTTAGATAGTTCCAAGGGGAAAATATTATTTCCTTCAATAAATATTTCTCATACATCTTGTTTGATGAGCGCTCTCTATAAAATTATTAATTCTGCATCTTCATCCGAGGTCAATATGAGCAATTTTTATAACCAATCCGTTTTCTTAGGAGGAATCATACACTATAGCTCATTAAATAGCTTAAAATTTTGCAATTTGATTAATAGCGAACTTATTGATATACCTGATGAATTTCCAGATTCAGATTCAATTGATTATTACGGCTTTGGAAGGAAAGATGGAATAATCTATACATATTCTAATTCTATAGTGAATGTTAATAACTGCTTCTTTCAAAGAAATAAATTTCATTGTCTATTTTGGTCATCTAATGGAGGTAAAATATTTGTTAATGAGTGTCATATTGATGAAGATAATTAGTTTGAGAAAATATTTAATGATGAAGAAAATGTAACAATTGAGAATTCAAAGTTATTATCTGCATTTCAACATCGATATTTGTCAACAGTCCTTTGTGAAGCAGAGAGAGGTTATCTGATTAATGATTGTATTCATATCAAACATCGATGCAAAATAATTAGTCCCAAATTAAAACTTTTTTCCATTTCATTCCATCTTCACTAAAACCAAAAATTCATTGAAAACAAATTCTAAATCAATTAATAAAACTCAATTAAGTACAAAAATAAAATAAAAAAAATGCATCAACATTCAGGTAAAAATGTTTATGTTTTACTTGATGAAAATTAGTTTTGAATAAAATGACCTTAAAGTCTGATCAAACCCTTATAAGACAGTAATGAAGAATTAGCGATTAAATATGATGTATATGAGTACCATGCATCTATTTACAAAGTTGAAAACCTAAAATGTACAAAACAAGAGTGTAGCGATCAAATGATATTTAATATCGATAAGATCAAGTACTTCTTTCAAATCTTCCATAACTGAGTTGATATCATCTTTATTTGTGAAGCATGAGCAAATCGCTTGTAATTGACTTTACAGCACAATCCATCTGCCAGTATAGTTTTATAACTGGCTGATTTTTGAATTCCCTTCTAGTCTTGAGAATTTTAAATTCTTCATAGTTCATTAAATTATGTAGTAATTCATTTTGGTAGTTATCGAATGTTAATACACCTGTTTTAAAGTAGTATGCAAGAAATTAAGTTAGCACTCTCTATAAAATTTTTATTATATAAATAAACAAACAAAATTTTTTTAATATAAAATCTAAATTATTTTCTTGATCTTTCGTTAATTGAATCTACTGAGCTAGTATTTCTTTGTCTAGACATTTTCATTGCTCTCTGTTCTATTGCGTCATAGTTTATTCCCATAGATTCAGCCAATTTCCTTAATTTGTCTGAAGAAGTTCTCTTCAAACCAGCGTTGTTTCCCATTGTTGTTTCCAACATCTTTTCTTTTTCCATTTCCAGCTGAACTCTCAATCTTTGGTTCTTCATTCTCATCATTTCTCTTTGATTCTGCATATTTTGTAACTGATACATTCTTTGTTGGTATTGTTCTTCTTGTTCTTTGAGGAGTTGTTGGCTCTGTCTTTCTCTTCTTTCGAGGATGATCCTTTGGTCTTCATGTTTAAGTTCATTCAGTGTTAGTTCTGAGAATCTGTGTCTTTTTCGCTCAATTTCTTGTTGTTTTTGAGCTTCAATTGATTTTTGTTGAATTGTCAAAATTTTTTCTTTTTTTCTTTGTTGATCATTTTGGTCAATTTCTTTCTTGTTCTGTTTCGCCCTGTTTATCTTAATTAGCTCTCTTTCTTTAAGTTCTGACCTCTTCTGCTCTCTTTGTTCCATGATCTTTTCAAATTCTTTTTCTTGTCTCTGAATTTTTTGTTCAGTTTTTTCACGTTTTTTGTCAATTAATTCATCAACTTTTTTCTGGGCTTCTAAAACTCTTTTTCTTTCTTCTTCACTTCTCTGTTGTGATTTGATTCTTTGTTGTTTGAGTTCTTGTGTTTTCATCTCCCGAAATTTTCCCATTTTACTTTGTTCAAAAAGTGACTTTTCTAAGAAATTTTTTTCTTTTTCTTCCCTTTCTTTTCTTTCCAAATCTTCGGCCATTATTTTGTGTCTTTGTCTTTCCAATTCAATTTCTTCAAATTTTCTTTTCCTCTCAATTTCTTCTTGTTGTTTCTTCTGTTCGAAACTGTCTAGTCTTTGTTTGGTCTGTTCAACAACTAATGCGTTTTTCATCGTTTTTTGGTTGATCAAATTTTCTTTTTCTTCAAAAACTTTTGTCACTTTTTCATCTTCTTTCTTTTTCTTTTCTTCGATCTTTTGTTGACGTAAACGATTGAATTCTTCCATTCTTCGCTCTTCCTGCTCTTGAATTTCATCGTTTTTGTTCATCATTACTAAAGAAAATATAACTTGTTCGACAGACTTGTTTCTGACATGTTGTAGCTTGGCCATTCTTGCTCTTTCAAGTTCTATGAAGTTGTCGTTGTTGTTTAGTTCAGGTGGAGCAGATCTTGTCATCATGATCGTATTTTGTTGGTTCCTTTTGATCAATCTTTGACGTTCTTGAGCTACATCTCTAATGGCATTGTCAACTCTGTGCTCCAATTTGGATTTTACGATACTTCGGAGTTCAGAATCTTCGTATTTCGATAATTCTTGGTCTGATGGATAACAGAGGTCTGAGAATGAGATTCCAAGATTCTTCATGGCACTTTTAGATATTGGCTCTGTAATTTTTGAAGGATTTGTTGGATCAAATTCGATAATTGAGACTTCTTCTTGAGGTTCCTTAGATTTTTGTGAATTTCCATCGTTATCATCGTTATTTGTAGCGCTGTTTGGTGATGAACTGCCTGGAGAACGAGATAATGAGGAAGAATTTTCATGTAATGAAGAATTTTGAAGTTCTGTAGGAGCACTTTGAGTAACTGGTGGTAATTTGTTCATTTGAGATTGTGAATTGCGTTTCTGTGTCAAAGGTTTTTGAATTAATGGTTTTAATGGAGTTCTTGAAGGAGCATTAGTATAAATTAAGTCATTTTGTGGTACTTTTTTGACTTTTATCTTTGGCTGTTTTGGTTGTGTCTCTTCATAAACACTTGTATCTTGGGCAGTTTGAAATTTGAATCCGTCTTCGTTTTCACGCTCTTTTGGAGAGTTAATCAATGAAGACAAGGTTGGAAGACTCTGTTGTTGATGCTGATGGTCATTTGACAGTGGTTCTAATTTTTTCTTTAATGAAGGTAAAACTGGATGATTTTGTGAAGATGATGATTGAGGTCTGGATTCTGATTCTTCTTCGGCATTATTTGCAGGACTGTCATAAATGTTATCGTTAAAATTCTCATTATTTAGTCTTAATGAGTCTTGATAGAAGTTTTCTTCATCAATTTCTTCTTCGTGCGTAATTGGAAGATTCAGTGTGTCATTTTCTGTTGTATAGTTTGTTGAATTCTGTGTATCATCAAAAAAAGAATCATCTGAAGAGACATTCTCTGACTTTTCTTGTATTTTTCGAGGAATTTCACTGAAATCTTGGTTTATTTCACCATTCATCTCATCATCGTCCGAAAAAGAATCAAAATCATCGCTCATTTTTTTAATTTTTGCTCAAAAAGAAAATAACAGACAATAGTTTACATTTGTATTCAATTTAGAACAAAAATTTAGACAACCCTCTATTTTTAAAATACCAAAGACATGATCACATTTATTCTCAAATGAATTGTGAATCAATAATTAAAAAGTGTCATTTATTGTTCGTCTCAATCCCAATTTGCTGGACCTGATTACGATATATGGTATTCTTTCTTTGGATGCGAATTATTTGACGTATATATTAACAAGAATGAAACTATTACTTTATCAGGTAATTTTTTTATTGATTACACAATCTTCGAAAATTTTTCTAACCAAAGTGTTATATCAACTTCTAGTCAGTCTGAAGATATTAAATTGCTCACATCTCGATCAACTTTTATCAATCCATCTAGTCAATTCTATGGAAGCTCAATTTATTTCTCAAATAGAGGAGAATGCATTCAATATAAAATATGCAGCTACCATGCAAAATCAAATTCAATAGATTACGGTGCAGCACACTCTTCAATTCTTGGAGCCTTAAAAAGTATTATTTATTGCTCTTCTTTTGTTGAATGTTTTGGTGAATGTTCTGTATTATATGATTCAAGTTCTGAAATAAAATTTTCTTCATTAAATTTATCTCGCTCAATCTTCTATTTTATACCAAATTACTCATTAAGTGGTCCATCATCTGTAAATATGAGTAATTTTTGCGATCAAATATCATTGATAGTATTCTTTGAGTATGTATCCCATAAATCTTTTTTAGATTTTTGCAACATTATAAGAAATCAATATGATGAATCACATTTTGATCAATCAACGGTAGAAGGTTTTAATCATTTTTTTTTCTAATAAGTTTGGATCGATAAGTTCCTTGGCTTCACACTTATATATCAGTAATTGTGTATTTAAAGAGAATTCATACGAAAGTTTGTTTTGGACTGATTTTGAAGCAAAAATATTTATAAATGAGTGTCATATTGATGCAAATAATCAATTTGAGAAATTTGGAAATAATGAGGAGAATATAACAATTGATAATTTAAAGTCATTATCTGTATTTCAATACCGACATTTGTCAACAGTCTTTTGTGGAGCGGAGAGAAATTATCTGATTAATGATGCTATTCAAATCAATCATCGATGCAAAATAATGAGTCCTAAAATGAAAATTTTATTTCCATTTCATTCTATCTTCAACAAAGGAAATGAAAAATCTAAAAGGATTTCTCATTCCAATAACAAAACGCAACCAAACAATAAAAATAAAATTAAATAATATTTCCTGCCAGATATCCACTCAAATCATAATGTGCATCTTTCAAATATTACATAACTGAGTTGACTTTTTGGGAAAATGCATTTCCAAATGGTAACTCTTTTCTTCAATGCTTAAGTTGCTTCTTGAAAAATTAAATCCTAAACAATGTTTACAACTATTTAATTTTTCAACTTAACGTTTCCAAATTGTGAGGGTCCAAAATATCTGACCGGTTCAAATTGGGTTTTGAGGGAATTTGTAAATTCTATCGTACTCATTTGTGAGAGGTTTTTTGCATTAAAATATTTTTGCAATTGTGTCAAAAATAAAGCAGCAAATTTGATTGTTTTCGTGTGCATTCGAAAATTTATCATAAGATCGACATCTGAACCCGTCAACAATTTTTGAACCCGAAAAATTTGGAAACTTTACACTCAAAATTGATGTAGACATTTTTAATTTTTCAATATGTTTTTAAGTTTTTAAGATATCTCTTGATAATTACTTTTGCACATTAATTGTATGGTAATTGAACTATAAGGAAATCATATAACGAATGCATTTGACAAAAATTATTATTAGCACTTAATCATATACTAATATTTATAATTTAAATCTATATGAAGATAACTTAAATTTGAATATTCAATGTCATTCAAATTCTTAAATCATCTTGATGAGCCTGATTATAATACATGGTTCTTCTTTTTTGGAAGTGGACTTCCGGACGTGTGGACTCATGAGAACATCTCTTATATTTATGGAAAAAATATTTTTATAGATCACACAAATTTCGAAAATTTTGAAGACCGAATTGTTGGTATTTTTTCTAATAATGATAGATTTTTGATTTCTTTCTCCTCAGTCATCAATAATACCCAAAATTTTTGTTCTTTAAATGGTGGTAATATTGTTGCATGCTAAGTTCGGTCAAAATGTAAACCTCTCAATTTTATCGTCGGGGGAAGTAACTCAATTCCTTCAAAATTATTCTTTAAATATTGAATTTAAAGTTATTTAATTTGGATTATAAATAAATAGGCTAATACAATATTTAAAAATGAGAAAAAATAACTTTTCAAAGAACTTTTCATAATCTCAAACAAAATTTTTTATTCAATAATTATATAAATTAATTAACATTCATAATGAAATTGGATTTTTTTTTATAAAAAATTGGTCCTACTTAACTTTTTGAGAGAATTTGGCTTTCTCGTAAACGAAAAAGGGGATTTGACGGAGTCAAATCCCCGCTCACAAAAAGTGGACTTTACATGTCAAATTTTATATGCATGTAATGTCCACTTTTATGAGTTTTAGGAAGGAATTGGAAGCCATGAGTTACTGACATTGCATCAGTATCTCATCGCCTCCAATTCCTTCAAAAAATGGGAGAAACTTTGTCCGAATAGTTTAACATTCGGACAAAGTTTCTCCCATTTTAAGAAGGAATTGGAGGGTAAGAGATATACATTCATATGGTATATCTCTTACCCTCCAATTCCTTCTAGAAAGTGTCCAAACTTTGGGTTAATTGCAAAGTATTAACCCAAAGTTTGGACACTTTCAAGTGGAGATGGAAGGCTTTGGTGTATATATTAATACAATATACCTCAAAGCCTTCCATCTCCACTACAAATGGGAGAAACTTTGTCCGAATAGTTTAACATTCGGACAAAGTTTCTCCCATCTTTCAATGTAATTGCTACCTGTGAGGTACTGACTTGAAGTCAGTGCTTCACAGGTAGCAATATCCAAAAATTTAAAAACATTTTATCAGTTCGTTAGAGAACTAGAGCCTCCTAGGTACTGAACCAGAATCAGTGCCTAGGGGACTCTAGTGATCTATATAAATCTGAGAAACTTTGAGGAAATTGTTCGAAATTTCCTCAAAGTTTCTCAGCAATTTAGCGAGGAATGTTCGTTATCGTGTAGATATTTATAATATATACATGATAACAAACATTCCCCGCTAAAAGATGTAAAATCTTATAAGAAATAATTGCAAAAGAATAACAAATTGCAACAAATTTTATATGAAACTGAACCTTATGAGGTAGTGATTCAAGATCACCGCCTCATAAGATTCAGTTTCAATCTCAAGTATCTCAAAAGTAAGGCTCTATTTTTTGCCATGTAAAGTGTCACTTTTCTGTTCAAATGATAAGTTATTCAGAGAAAGTTTCCCAGCTATCAAGAGGGAATTGTTCCTTATGAGGTATATATTCATACTGTATACCTCATAAGGAACAATTCCCTCCTTAAAACGAGAAAACTTGTTCGAAATTGTTTATCATTTCGAACAAGTTTTCTCGTTTTTAATAAGAAACTAAAGGCTATGAGGCACTGATTATATATTAGTGCCTCACAGCCTTTAGTTTCTAATAGATAGCTGGGAAACTTTCTCCAAATGATAAGTTATTCAGAGAAAGTTTCCCAGCTATCAAGAGGGAATTGTTCCTTATGAGGTATATAGTTATAATGTATACCTCATAAGGAACAATTCCCTCATTAAAATCGTAGATATTTTTACTTATTACTCATGCTTTCAAAATCACAATCCTCTGAAAAGTTATTTTTTATTAAGAATTTAGAATTTTGATAAATACCTTTCTTCAATTTGATATTGTTGTAAACAGAAATTCATCAAAAGTGACACCTCAGAAAAGCTAAAATATTGAATTTTTGGAACTTTTGATAGAGCACGTTTTTAAATATTAATTAAAGTAAATGTATATTTTGTAAAGATTCTTTTTAATAAAAAAATAAAATTTTTGAAGAAGAACACAAAATCTTCTGAAAAATAATATCACATAAACTCATATTATTTTCTAATATATAACTATTTTATATAAAAATCAAATTCAATGATCTTAAAAGCGAAGGATAAACCTCAAAATTTACGAATATAATGAGTGGGAATATAATGCTTATCTATCATAAAACCATATGAAATATCAATTTTTGCTTTACGCCTAATTTTTGACGACAATTAGCAAAAAATGTTAAATGTTAACACTCAGTCCATTTGAATATGAAAAATAAAATTGATATTTCATATGGTTTTATGATAGATAAGCATTATATTCCCACTCATTATATTCGTAAATTTTGAGGTTTATCCTTCGCTTTTAAGATCATTGAATTTGATTTTATATAAAATAGTTATATATTAGAAAATAATATGAGTTTATGTGATATTATTTTTCAGAAGATTTCATTCTATATGCCTATGAAAAGTACTCTCAAAACTAACCTTTTCCTAATTATAATTAAATCTAGAATATTGTATTATGCTTAGTATTATTTCATTTTTCTCATTCAATTTAGAATTTACAAATGTCAAAAAATTGAGAGCTGTCACTTTTGATGAATTTCTGTTTATTACAATATAATACTTATATATTTTCAAAAAGACATTTTGAAAAGATATCTCAAAAGTTCTCTGAAAACCTATTTTTGATTAATTTTGAGAAATATCCGTATTAAATTAATCAATAAATTCATTCAACACTACTTTAATTTTTAAATTCAAAAAATTATATGTGCTTCTTAAAATGTCTCACAAAAATTTTATTATAAAATTATATACAATATTAAGAATCCCACAACATTTTTTTACTTTACATAATCGTACTTCCTCGACGATTAATTTCCTCTCAATTCCTATCGTTGACCGAACTTAGCATGCAACAATATAGGGTGTCCAAAGGTGCGTTTAGCACAGCGCTCTATATCAGACTATTAA